ATCCAAGAACTTTTTTTCTATCATGAAGATAATTATGAGGAATATGATGATGATGATGATGATCTCTTTCTCTCTCACTTTATTGTAAAACTTAACCTTTTCTAACTTGATGGTTTATCGAATTACAAAATTTATCTAAACGATGAATTGATGAGAAGATAATTTTCATGTTACTCATTCAGTCCCCTGAAATTTCAGGTTAATTTCTTACAATTTTTTTTTCATCACTTTCCATTTGATAGCAATTAAAGTTACACGATAATGATTCAGTTTGTTTCATCCTTATCGATTAAATTTCCACCCACTCATCATAATAATCATCATGAACATGATAAAATAGATACAAAGAAAATGAATCTCAATGAACATCTCATTATAATTGAACAATACGTTTCCTTCATGGAGAAAGAGAGGATATAAAAAAGTCTCGAATTAAAATTTTTCCATGTAATTCATTTGATGATGAATTTTCATGATACTTATGGTATGAACCTTGTGAACAATTTATTAATCACTTAGAAACTTAATGAGTACTTTTCATCATAAATTGAATTAATTGAAACACTTACAGTGTCAGTTTGAAAACTGTTTTCACTTAATCATGAAATTTGATTCAAATTTGATCAAATATCTTCATGATAATTTGATCATAATCTCGATGTAATTGATTCAATTAATTAATATAATTCTCTGAAGATTAGTTGATTTTGGATTGGGAAGTAAAAAAGTTACTAATTCATGATGATTTTCCCTGTATTCTCATGAGAACTGGAGATAAAATGTAAGAATTTTTTATGTTTGTTTCACTTTTTCATCTCTGATTCTGAATGAACTTCTCCTCTTCATTGTTTTTTTCTCACTCACTCAATAAATTAAGATTATCCTTGTTCATCTTGACATCAATTCCGTTTCCTTTTTTCATTAATGCAATTAATTGAAAGCAGAAAACTAATTCTGATAAATTATCGTATCTCTCAAATTATCTGGTGAAAAGTTTGACTCTCGTTCTCAAAGCAATCATCATTATCATTGGTGACTCTAACAATAAGTGATACGTTATAACGACCCTAAATAAACAGCATGATGACCATGAAAAGGAGATTCAGTTGTGCGAAGCAAAGTGTTAAAATCATGAATACCAAAAAAATACAGAACTTTCTGAACTATCGATAAGTGTTTACAAGTAATTCAATGTTTCTATGTTGTAATAGTCACCCTGATAATAGTCATGAAAAGTATTCATGGTGATGATGATGATGATCATCATCAACTATTAGAAATCGACAATATGCAAAAGACTAGAATTGAAGATGATGATGAAAATGGAGGAAAAAAAGATTTTCTTTCATGATAATAATAGAATCACCAATAGATATGAGAATAATTCCCAGAATTCTGAGTTATAATAATGATAATAATAGTTTATCCTTTGGTAAATAAGATCAATGTTGAAATGGAACGAAAAAAAAGTTCTGATTACTTTGATGATTTACTTTTGATAATAATAATTTCCCCCTGATACCCATGGACTTTTGTTTTTTTTTATCAATCAGAATCGAGTTATTGACAAATAAAAAAGTGTAATATCATTATCAGAATCCAATATTATCCTGAGTATCCTTGTGTTATTATTATCAATTTTCAGGAACTTTTTTGTTTTCATTTCCATGATTCTGAGATGAGACGATTTTCCCTGTGGAATTCACACTTTCGTCAGAGTTTTGGTGGTTAAAGAAAAATAGATGAAAGTATTTCTAGCAGTCCAATGAAAGAGACAAAAATAACCACTGAGATGAATTCAGGGAGGATGAAAAAGAAAACCAATTACAAGATAAATATTATTATACAGAATTTTCAGAGTTTCTCCTGATAACAATACTCGTAATAACTTTATAATGGATTCATCTTATTTTTTTACTCTTATGAAAATCATGAAAACTCAGCATGATGATAAAAGAGGAAACTTTGTTCTATTGAGTCTGAACTTCTTCTTCTTCTTTTTCCCTCAATGGGAAAAAGAAAAGAGATAAAATTGGCCGTTTAGAATTTTAAAAATCTATTTTTTTTTATCGAAATTTTCAAAATAAACTTTGTTCTAACCAATAGAGAAACAGTTCGAAAGTTATTGTTTTCAAAGTGTTTGCAGTTTATTCGAGATACTCACAAGTATTGAAGCTAATAATTTTCTCTAAGGAGAGTTATCATTATCTTCATGATGGTGATGGAAAAGAATTGAACATTCTTCATGTTCAGTAGAAGGATATTATGAAGATGATGATGTTAGTTTTTGCTTGGAATGTTTCAAAGCCTCTTGGCGAAACCTCAAAAATCCTCCCTAAAGGTGAGTGCAAGCGAGAATGGAGGTGGGAATAGACTCCACGGTGGGAATAACTTTAACTCGTAGCATCTGCAAGAACCAGGAAGAGGAGAAAGGGAAATATTTCCTTTTGTTTTTATCCATCTTCCTCATCATTTTCTCTCTATTTCGTTTTACTGTTTATATACTCAATGTATAATCTTTATCATTCTGAATATTATGATCCATCGGAAGAGTGAGGAAGATAGAGAAATTATCATGAAGCTGTGTTAGATTAAAGGTTTTTTGGTGATGAAAAAAAATGAAAACAAACAACAAAGTTTTATGATGATTGATTCATGTACAAACTGTACGACTGTGGAGTGAAGAAGGCTGATGAAAGTAACACTGAGAAAATAATCTTATTCATGGAAAATTATTCATTACAAAAGTAGAACCATGAAATTTGAATTGAACTCAGATTCAGGGAGGGAAAATATGAGTGAGTGGAAAGATATTCTTGTTGAAATTGAGAGTAAGGTTGGAAAATGATCTCGGTAATATTCAGACATTTATTAAGATTCTCAGGGATGATAATGATAACAACTGAGTTTATATTATCTTTTCATCAGAACTTTTCTTCCATCTGAATTATTTCATTTCCATGATGCAGTGAGATGATGAAATATGAGAGAGAGAGAGAGAGAGAGAGAGAGACAGAAATATATTTTTTCTTTTTCGCTTTGATTCTTATCAGATAGAATAGTTTCCCCCCTGAACTCTCAGAATAACAGAGTAAGATAATTAAATGCTAAGAAAATGATCTCAATCTGAATCATATTCGTAGATAATAATTATGTACTAATACTCATCCAGAATTGTAACAACATGAGGATGATCATGTTACCTTAATATTTTGCTATTTCCATGAAAAATATCAATCGAGCGAAGGAAAATTTCAAGAGTCTGAATGATCATCTTCCTTGTAATTTGATCAATCATATGGTTGTAATTATTTCATTTAATTATGCTCAATGAGAAAGATACACAGACAATAATTTCCATTGGAAATATACAGTAATCATTACAACTCGGAATTTACATGATGATTTCCAGGGTTAAAGTCGTAAAGTTTGGTTCATAGAACCGTAATGAAAACTAAACACTCCAAGTCTAATTTGATTCCCTGCATAGGAAATTAACTTAACCATGAAAACTTGGAATTTACTGAATACAATTTACAGAAAATTATCAAAATAATCAAGAGACAAAAATTTAAATTCATTGAAAGTTAATCAACATCTAACAAACCAAGACGATTTAGTTTTACAACCCATCGGTAACAATTTACAAATGATTAGATTACTCTAATCAGAATCAAATGTGATAACTAAAATTGGACAATAATTGTAATCATTTTGATTATAATTAAGTTTTCATGATAATCATGAAGATGTTGAAATGCAATCAATTTAATAAGATGTGATTATCTTGTGTTTGCATTTGTATAATAAACGTTTATATCATTTGTTGATTTATCAACACAAATTGAACTAAATTAACTCATTAACCAACATTTGAAAGTTCAAACTTTATCCCATTCATTACCATTAAGATAATGATAATTTCATGGTATCATCATCAGGAAACCTTATTATCTTAAGGATTAAATGATAATAAATGTCAACAGAAAATAAAAATAAAAGTAAACATAATCATCTATTAATAGTATTTTTTTCATACCTTTCATTATGATGAACAATTTAAATTGCAAATCCTCATGAATCACCATGAGTCTGAATTCTGATTGAATTTTCTATCTACTCAGAAATCGTTGGTTTCATACTAATTCCTAAGTCTTTCCTATTCTGGCTTCTCTTTAACTCCATGGCAACTTGAGAGAAATTTTTTTTCCTTCCGTTGTCAATATCATCTTTTCATGGTGATTTTTGATTGTTAATATTTCCTTGAATTTCCATGATATTATTCAGTTGTATTATCCCTTAGTAGCAGTTTAATCTAATTCTTGGTCAAGAATTGAATTTCATCTGGAAAATGTATTGGATTCAGTTTCTTGTTCAGGAATTCTCAGTTTTATTGGACTATGGTGGTTACTCTGAGATATTCAGGGTAGATAGAAAAATGCAAATTCTTTTTCCATGTAAAATTTTACTCATTTCCCATCTCTCAGCTTTTACATTTCTCATGAATATTTTGTCCTTTTTGCCTTCAAGGGCTAAAGTGAAATCAATGGGAAAATAATAGAGCCCAGGAAAAAAAATTCTGATTCATTTTTGATTACATTGAATTCTGATAGAATCCATGTTATCATACTTGGAACTTTCCAGCAGAAATCTATTTTTCTTTCCCTTGTTATATTCCCATGAATATGCAACCATGAGAATACATATCATGAATCATTCTTCTGTCAGATTGAGTTGAACCTTTCAAAGTTATCAGAGAAAAAAAAATCAGTTCTGATGATAATATAATTATCGAATTGAACATTTCATCCTGAATGAAAAGTAAATACATCAAAGTATCAAATGGATCCATGAACCTCATGATTGTGTTTCAATGAGTTTGATGAACATTTAATTTGATATTTCAATCGATTGAAAAATTCACAATCAATTGAAATCTGATTGAGAATAAAACTAAAATTGAGTTCTAATGAAAGTTTATCTCCTTTTCTTTCATGTAGATTTCGTATGCATCAACGTCAACTGCCCTTTCGGATAAGAAACGATATGAATTTTTCGCTCGAACCGTTCCACCCGATAAGTATCAAGCCTTGGCCTTAGTGGACTTGATTGAACACTTTAACTGGACTTATGTGAGTTTAATTAGTTCAGAGGGTCAGTACGGTGAATCGGGGAGCAGTGCCTTTCGAACCCACGCTCGAATGAGAAACATTTGTTTCGCGGTTCAAGAAAAGGTTGTCCAATCGGCTAACGATACCGAATACGATAGAATCATCGAAAGCCTTAAACGTAAATCAACCGCTCGAGCTGTCGTTCTATTCCTACGTATGGAAGATGCTAAAGGTTTACTTCGAGCCGCTAAACGTGCCAATGCCACGAACAGTTTCACTTGGGTGGCAGCCGATGGTTGGGGTAAAGAGATGAAGGTTGTCGAAGGCGTTGAAGATGTTGCCCTTGGTGCGATAACCGTTGAACTTTCATCAACTGTGATAAGGGAATTTGATGATTACCTTTTAAAGTTAAATGTCAAAAATAATCGCCGTAACCCTTGGTTCAAAGAGTTTTGGCAGGAAACTTTTAAATGTGACCTTTCACCTCGAACCTTTCGAACAGGTCGAACAGGTAATGAGGTTGAATATACCGCTTGTTCACCTCATCTTTCACTTTTCGATGTAACTGATTATCGGCAAGAATCAAAAGTTCAGTTTGTAATCGATGCAGTTTATGCCTTCGCCCATGCAATTCATAATGCGTGGTTGGCACTTTGCTCAGGTAAAGGTACCATTTGCTCAGAGCTCAAGGAACTTGACCCAGAACTTTTTTACAAACAATATCTACTCAATGTTGCTTTTACAGGTAAGCCTAAACATGTTATCACCATGTTCACAGATAATATCATGTTATTATTCAATTTCCTCCTTGCATCAACATTATTATTTTTTTTACTCTTTTTCCCTGGAAAGTCAATAAATCATTTGTATTGAACTGCACATATAACAAAAAAAACATTATCGGTCAAGGGAAATGTTTATCTCTTATTGTTATTACAATTATGTAGCATCTGATACTTGATTGCCCACTTGACAAAATTTGACCAGTTCATCATGATGATTATTATGATGATGATCAGAGATGATAAAGAATGAGAGAGAGAGAGAAAAAAACTCAGTTTCACCTTGAGTTCAGGGTAAATACAGGGTGATGATGATACATCAAGATGAAACTAAAAATGACCAAAAATCAATGATAATGATCATTTGGAAAAGGTCATCGGTTGACCTCATTTTTTGCTTCTTTTTCTGGTCTCTTTCTGTCTCCTCAAGTCAGAATTGATCATCAACATTCATGATCGAAAGTTTCAATAGAAACTTGAAACTGAAACTTGTTCATTCGATATCCATACATGATGTTTCGAGAAAAAAAAATTCGCATGAAAAAATGAAACCGAAACCGCCAGAGACAATGTTAATATACTTTGATTGAATTCGTTTACTGACCTTTGGTCATTTCTTATCATCTTATTCTTTGGTAAAAAAGTTCATGATAAACATGGTAATGGCCATGAAGAAGGTCAGTAAGGTCAGAAAGTAGAGCATCAAAATATGAAGAAAAAATAAATTTCCATTATTTCTGATTCTGATTTCCCTGAATTAAAGATAATTTTTCTCTCTCTTGTTACTCCTCACGACTGATTCTGAGTTTACCATGAGATTAATGATGTTTTTCTGTTACCAGGGTAGTTTTTTTCTTCTTTTGATTTGCAGAGAAAGATGAAGTTCTTAGAAGATGAATTCTGAACAAAGAGATATAGATTGTCCTTCTTGATAACCAGATTGATTAGTTACCTTATTAGTTCATTTATATTACGATTAAATGAATCAACTGAATGAGATTCACGATGAACATGAATGAACAAACCAAATAAATGAATATCTCAATCTTTTCCTCTCTCAATCTTTTTGTTTTCATGGTCATGATAGAGAAGAGGAAAAGTATATATCATTGGAAACTGAACTTTACTCAATAGATGCTCATAGAAAAGCTCAATACATGTATTGTTTTTTTTTCTCTTACATCTTTTCCCCTGAAATCCTTGAGTTCACATGAATTTTTTTTATACCCTTACAAGTTAATCTATTTAATCAAAAGATAAATTATCTACAAGATGAGGATAAAACCTCCTTAATCCAGTAGATTCTTATGATAGAGGAAAAAAAGTTAGATTTATATCTTGATCTGGTTGTTGATTAATCCTTCAGAACTTTTTTTTTCATAGTCTGTACCTTGATCCTGAACTTTTTGACTACATTCAATAACTTTTAAGAGTCATGATAATGATGATAATGAACAGGGAATCAGTTTCATGATCAGGCAGAAAAAGACACAATGATATTAGTTGAAATTATCACCATGAAAAGTCATTATTTTTCAATGAGTTTCAATGGGTAATGTTTAAGTTGAAAAGAGCAAAAAAAAGTAATCATGTTTATTTTATCATCATGAATGAAAACAACAACAATCAAATGATAAATGATATTATATTTGATTCAGCAAGTTGTTTGGGTTAACTTTTCAAATGATGATTATTATCATGAACCATGTTCATGGTAATCATGTTTGGTGTAGTGGTGGTGGTGGTAAATCAACTGTGATTTGTCAGCATAAGTACAAAAACAACAATACACAATTTACAACAATTTAGATTGATGATGATGGTGGAAGAGGGAGAGAGAGAGGAAAAGTTCAGATAATAATCTATCATGAAAGTGTTCAGGGTATTGATTTTTTTTTTCGTTCACTAAAAGAGTTTTGGAAAAAATTTTCATCCCATTTTACTTTTTCATTTTTCACCCGATAGATTTGGAGGGATCTGATGTCCGTTTCGATGAGTGTGGTGATGGACTTGGACGTTACAATATATTCAATTTTCAAAGTTTATCTTCCAACCTTAGCGCCTATGGTTACGTTAAGGTGGGCCAATGGAGGGATAATGAGTTAAACATTAACGAACCGGTGATTATTTGGGATTCATTTGCCTCTCTTGACATTCCCACCTCGGTTTGCTCGGAGCCCTGTAAGGTGGGTGAGATTAAGAAGGGTGGTGATCTTTCCTGCTGTTGGATCTGTCAGGAGTGTAAACCCTGGGAGATTGCGGTTAATGAGACCTCATGTGTTCCCTGTGATGTCGGAATGTGGCCTCACTTAAATAAATCTTCATGTTATGAACTTCCCTTGAAATATATTCGCTGGAATCAGCCCTATGCATTTATACCAATGTCCATTGCCATTATCGGTATAATTACGGTTCTTTATCATTTTACGATTTTTGTTCAGCACGTTAACACTCCCATTGTTAAGGCTTCCGGTCGGGAATTGTGTTACGTCCTTTTATCGGGAATCACTTCCTGTTACATTATGGCTTTCATTATACTCTCAAAGCCAACCTATGCTACTTGCCTTATCCAAAGGCTTGGGGTATGTCGATTGTATTTTGTACATTCGAATTTAGAACAAAATTTATTCTCTTTTCTCTTTCTCTCTTCAATAGATTGGTGTTTGTATTTCAATGATCTATGGTGCGATTCTGACCAAAACCAATCGTATCTCTCGTATCTTTCATAGTGCCAGGCGATCAGCACGTCGACCAACATATATCAGTCCAGTTTCTCAGCTTTGTATAACCGGGATAATTGTTTTCATTCAGGTGAGTTTAATTTTTCACAATTTAAGGTTAATTATGAAGTTAAATCAATTGAATTACACAACAAAACATCAAAACAATAAGGTTAGAAAGTGTTAATCAACAGTCAATTAGATTAGCACAAACACTTTGCATTTAAATCATTAAATTTTATAATTTAATTTCATCGTCATCATGTTAATAAACTGATATTCAAGTAACTAATGAAATTAACGGTAACATGGTAAGAAGATTACAATTTGTAAAATTGAGTTAAATTTAAATAGCATGAAAAATGCTGAGAAATTAACTCAATTATTGTGACAATAAATTTAAGCTTTCAAAGTTTTCATGGTAAATTTATAATCTGAATAGTTAATCGTAAACCTTTAATGTTAAAACTGTTATGCTTTTTAATATCTTTCAGATCTGTTTGAATATTTTATGGTGTATTGTTGAAATTCCCGGTATACGACATGAAATATCCGAGAAACGGGATGAGGTCATTTTAAAATGTGCGGTAACCAAGAACTCGGTACTGGTCAGCCTTATCTATGGGTTTGTTCTGGTCGCTACATCAACTTATTATGCCTTTAAGACCAGAAAGATACCCGAAAATTTCAATGAAACCAAATTCATCGTTTTCACCATGTACGCTACATGTATCATATGGATCGCCTTCCTTGCCATTTATCTTTCTACTGAAAATAATTTTGAGGTAAAAACAATTAACTTAATTGTCCTTAATATTTGCTTGACCAATCGCCTATTTTAATGTCCATCAGACAAAAAAAAGTTTGAACAAAAGTTTAGATTTTGGTTCACCTTTAAAAATTATTCTTGAAAGTTAAACTTAACTCATAGGAATTGATTTGATTTGATTTGATTAAAACTTTGATGTTGATTAATTGTTGTTTAATTTGTTCTATAATTAGAAGTATAATAACTTAATCAAAGGGTGTTGATTAAGTTTTAATAAGGTTATCATTATTTAAGAAATTAAGTAGATAATGATTAGTTGTTCATGTTAATCATGAATAGACAAGAGATAATTAATTAATCTTTTATTAGGTTAATCGTGATTCAAATTTACAATCATTTATCATTTTCTTTCCGATTATTTTCTTGTTTCTCGTTAATTACAGTTTCATTCACGAATTTAACTCAACCATCATCATGGTAGAAGTTTATTTTCATGGTAACATGATTGAACTTTTCTCGATAGTTTCAAGTTGAAACTCGAAAGAAAAGTTTGGCTTGAAATGTGAATTCGCAAAGGAGATGAAGAAAAAACTTTTCTCAGTTTCAGAAAAACACTAATTCGGTAGGATGAACTCATGGAATTAACCATTATCATGATATATTAATGACTTTGATTATAATTGTCTGAATGAGTTTTGATCCAAATGTCAACAATTAATGAACCGATAACAAGGGGAACATCAACTCTCATCAACAGATAAAGAGACAAAAGTTATTATCATGATGATGATGATGATGAAGATATGAAATAAAAATATATTAACAATAACGATGAGTAACCATAAGGACTGGTGATTTTGTCTCTTAAAGTAAATAAAGATGAAGATGAAGTTCAACTATGGTCAAAGATGACCAGTAGAAATAGAGAATGAGAAAGTCATGTCCAGAAGGATAAGTTTATCCTGAAAGATGAAGTTGAAGATGAGAGAGAAAGAGATGACAAAAGATGATGATGTGATCCGTTAACCCATTAGATTTTGATACTCACTCGATTTATCAAAAGTAAACAAACATTATCTTCACTGGGAATGGATGATTAATATAATTTCATCAATGAGAAAATTATAAGACGATGATGATCATGATGATAATCTTTAATTTTCCAGAAAAAAAAGTTCCGAACTCATTGATTTATCTCATGAATGAGAATAATGGTCGATAATCAGTGAAATTTAATTTATAATCATAGATGAAGACAGAAAATCAATTCAAATTAGACAATTAGATCATAGATCATTCAATATTGATCATAATCATATAATTCAGAAATTATCATATCATTCAGCATTAATCTAATCGAAATTAAAGATTAATTGGCAATATTAATTGAGTGTTTCAAATTAATTTAATTTAATTATTGAAAATTGTTTATAATTGACCTATAATTTAGTATTAATCTTATTATTAATTTTATTCAATAAAAAATTCATCAGGACATATTCAGTAGTTTAAAATATGATAAATATCAATCGGTATCAACATTTCATTTCCATAATCAGATGATACAAAATTAATAATTACTTAACTAATCGTTAATTGTAACAATTTAAATAGATATATTGATCTACAGGTCATTCAATTCAGTTGATTAATTGATTTAATTGTTGTGTTTCAAATGTTAAACATTATTAAACTTTTTTTCCATAGGAAAACATAATTAGTTTTAATTAATCAACAACATCAACACCAGTAGGATATTAATAAATGTAATTAATCAAGGGTTTAATTAATTTCTCAATGTTTTCTAAGTGTAATAATTAATTTAATCATTTCCCCATCGGTCAGAAGCAAAAAGTTTCAATATTAATAATTTAAATATCTGATTAATCAAAATGAACACAATCGTTAACTAATTACAGTCCAGTTGACTGGTACAAGTTAATTAATTAATGCTTATAGACTCAAATCAATTTCCTACCAGTTAAATTGTAACAAAAAATCATGATCATGATTAACTTATGAATAATTTTTTCTTAATTGTTTCATCACTTGAATAGATTCAATTAACTACCCTTGCGATGTCATTAACGTTGAGTGGCTACGTTTGTCTTATTTGCCTATTTTCCCCCAAAATATACATAATTTTACGTCATCCCGACAAGAATGTCCGAAAACTGACCATGAACTCGGGCACTTATAAGAAAGGACCCACCGGTGGGGGTTCAGGTACCAGTGGAACCGGAACAAGTTACCCACAGGAAACTCCCCCGCCCTATTCACCAGGACCTTCAAGTTCAACTCCAAATCGTAACAATTTACCTCCAACATCATATGGTAAGTATTTCCCTTTGTTTATAATATTTCATCATTTTGATCTGATCTTGATTAGCTTCATTGATCAACATATCAGAATAATATGATTTAGTTTTCAACATGATTACCTGATGAACCAGAAAAACATGAAACTATTTCTATCTCTCAATTGATTGGATGAAAACATTGATACACTTTTCATTCATCAATCGAGTTCCAAGTTTTGTAACAAATTTCAATTTTCTCATCAATCGTGATCTCTCATGAAAAAGATGAACATATTTCAATCCTGTCAGCATTTTTCAAACTCATTTCTCCAATAATTTCTATTCTTGTATTCTATCCGAGAAATATAATATTATAATATCATGAGAGAGAGAGAAAAGTATCTCTCATATTATTTCAAGTTCTGTAGATTTTTCTGCTCTTGAAAGTTTTGAGAACAAGAAAGTTCCAGTTTTCATTTCACTCAGAATTAAGCTTTTTATCAGTTAATCTAATTCATGATTGGCCATTGTTTTTATCTTCCTTCCCAGGAGCTTGTAATGATCAGGCCACTTTCTCATCTTCTGCCGGTGGTATTGTCAAGAATCGAGGTAAAGGTAAAAAGAAGAGATCATCTTTAACTGGATTAGATGATAAAGGAATTCTGGTAACCAAAGATGACTCACAAGCTCTTCCATTGACAGAGATTAAACGAGATAATGGAAAACTTAATGGTGACGATGAAGAGGGTGCAAGTGATGAGGAAGAAGATGAAGAGGAAGATGCTAAAGATGACAGCTCAGCTGTATTATAACAGGAATCATAATCATCATCATGCTAATCACAATGATAATAAAATGATAATAATCTTCTCCATCGTCATAATCAATGAATCGCAAGTCAGCCTTTCATCATCATTATCATCACTCCCACTTCCTTTTCCTCCTCCTCTTTCATCCTCTACTGACCAACTGAATCTTTCTCATATTATGATTCCTAATACAATATGTGAAGATGATTACCTTTGATTATTTTATCATCATCATCATCATCATTCTCTCTCTCTCTCTTTCCCTTTCTCTTTCTATCTCCCCTTTTCTTGTCTTTACTTTTTCTGAAAATCCTTCTTACCTTTAATACTAAAATAATTGTTAATTTGACCACAAAACTTGAATCTAATTAACTAATTGATGCCAAGACAATAATGGTGAGAGTAAAGAGTAATCATTATCATCATCATCTTCATTGAAGATCCTCAGGTAGTAAATTGTTTCTTGTTTATTATCATTTCCATTGGGAAGCAAAAACAATGCCTGAGGCATCATGCAAAAGAAGACCATGTAAAATCATCATCTTCACCATAACTAATCCAAACCTTTTTCGTCTTGGAATGAGACTGAAAATTCAGACACACAGATAATTAGCTGATTATCTTTTTTTCCTCATGATAATCAATGTAAAAAAAGAGACTCACAACTTATCCTTTCTATCCCCTTCCTTACCGATTCCTCTCCTCCATCTCCATCATCTTCATCATCTATGCATAGATATCAACAAACGGAAGTTGATCAGCAATATAATCATCATCATCATCATCATCGTAATCATCAACCGATAATTAAAAGCAATAATATAACACGAAAAGTTGAACGATTGAAAGAAAAGTTGAGAAAAAAATTGGATTTTTTTTCCATTTCATCTTCGAGTCCCTCAAGATACTAAGATCTTTCAATAGACAAGGTGATCTATTTAATCGTTGAAATTTTCTTCCTAATTACCTAATATCCTCTTTCCGGTTTCAATTAAGGTTATTATCTTTCATCATGATCACAATTATTATTATCATCATGGTTATTATTGTTATCCAAGAAAATGATGAACTTTTTTTTTCTAATATTAATTATGTATAAAGGTAAAAATGTTCATCTAAAGATTAGACGATTTAGATGAAGAAAAATTTTCTTTTCTCACTTTCCTTTTCTGTCTTCATCTCTTTCTTTTCAACCGGAAATTCAGGTTGCTTGAAACCGGAAACAAAGAGATTCGGTAAATTCCGGAAGTTTAATGAGGTAAAAATTGTCTCTATAAAAATAATCTTAATGAAAACAAATATATTATTATAAGTAAGTAAAAAAAAGAGGAAAAAATTATATATACAAAAAACTTATTACAATAACTTATTAAAGGAAACACTGTGTTGTGATGATATCTACTCTTGGGATCAAAATCAAAGATCTTTCATCTCATCAATCATCAATCATCCCTCATCATCTTCATCTTCATCTTTTCCTCTCTCACCCTCTCTTGCTTGTGATTTGAAAATCATAGTTTTCCTTTTCCCATCCTCATCATCAAATACTCTTTGACTATGTATCAATAACCCACCAGCCAGTTTACCTCCTCCAACTCATCTTCATCATTATCATCTCTCCTCCTTCATCATATCAGTTTGGTGATAAAAGCAGCAAAAAAATCCCACCGACAAATGATGTGATCAAAAAATGATTCCGACTCATTGTTTCATCAATATAACATTTTAAACTCCTTAACTTCATCATCTCAGCCCCTCCCTTAGTCCACCTTGTTTACTGCTTCATCCACCTACTATCACTCACTTTATCCTCTGGAAGATAAAATCACAATCTTCAGAAAATGACACTCATTTAATTCAATACTTGGAATTGATTCATAAAGAAAAACTCACAACTTTTACTCTTCATGATAGAAAAACACAACACCCACTATACTCTCTCTCTCTCTCTCTCTCTCTCTCTCTCTCTCTCTCTCTCTCTCTCTCATAGTCATGCACCAATAATCTTTCACTATTTTTTACTCCCGAAAATCGTTTCAATCTCACTACCTTGTGGTTCAATGGAAACAAGGAGTTGCCACCCCAACCAAATAATAGGATTATCATCAATGGTAAATAATGTTATCATCAATAATTGATTTGTTTCCAATTATCAAATCACTGATTCCTATGTAAACAATTAAACCAATTAATCAATTATCATCATCATCATCATCATCACTATCGTTATCATTATCACCACCCACACAATTATCATCATCATCATTAATAAACTTGTAACTTTGATTAAGTTTTTTTTTTCTAAATTGTTTTCTTCTTGCTTATTGTTAACTCTTGATTCTTGTATCATCTCAATTTTTGATTTAATTGTGAAACAATTAACGATGATAGTAATTAACTGTCCCTGAATATAATACAACAATAAACTGTTGATTTATAATCTAATTAAAAAACTATTCACAATTTAATTATCATCGACTCACAAAACTTTACTTTTTGTTTCATTTTCATTTAATTGACTTTTAATTGTTTTCCTGTTTTTAATTGTCTAGACTCTTGATTACATTGATTTAATTAAAAATTAGGTTAATTGTTGTTTTCTTTTGATTTACTGTTTGATTGGTAACACTTACGTTATGAAAAGTTAATAATTAACTTGAAGAATCATCTTAATTGTTACAATTAACAAATCAATATTCCTATTAATAATATTAGATGATGAAATTGTTTCCTTGTTACATTTTGATCAATTATGATTAACAATTAACTTTCATCACAAACCTCAAACCCTAAACATATTAATCAATACAATTAATAATCTTATTTTTACTTGATTAAGATAATTAATTGTAAGTATAACAATTAAGGCTTAATCATATTGACCCATAAACCTAATTCAATTTTCAATATGTAACTTTCAAGGTAAATTGTTAATTACACTAATTAATTAATAGTTACCAGTAATTAATAATAAACAAAATGAAAAAAATTTCCTACATGGACATTAATTATTAATAATTAAACGATTAAATATAATTATGATTAAAATAATTAACCAACAATCAATGATTAGTTAACAAAAATAAAACACTCAACAGTTATTGACACTGAAAATTAAATCATAATCATCAATTTTGAGACATTAATTAGTGACAATTAACTTTTCTCGTTAAGAGTTATATTGATTAACTATTTGAAAACTTTTCTAATTGCATTTGATTTGATTAAATTGTTTGGATTCCACAAAAAAGAAACTCTTTCTCTCTCTCTGTAATTGCAATCAAAAAGTTAATCAACTGATTTAGTTATATGAAAAATCATAAATCATAATTGTTGATTAAGTTGAAACTTAATTATTAGTTGAATTAGTTTTGTATTTTTATCAATCTCTCTTAATGTTTCAAGTGAATGGATTCAAATTGTGAAGATAAAGTCAATTAGTAAATCAAAGTAATTAGATTTAATCCTTTTCCCCAATAATTTAACCATAATTACAATTGAGATTGACAATAATCATCATAAACTTGATTACAATTAATAATATGTGACATTTTTGACAGATGAAAACTCAAAGAGTTGATTAATTAATCCACATCAAGTAAATGATTACAATGATTAACTTTAATTTGAAACAATTGGATTTGATTAGTGTAACAATTGACATTTAAATAGCTCTTTAAAAAATCAATATTAATTGTTGGTGAAAATAAAATTAACTACAACTTGAATCTAAGGTTTAATGATAAGATACTAATAGTAAATTGTGATTACCACTAATTGTCAACTAATTAAAATCAGGTAATATGATATCAAGTTTAATCATCTTCCTCCTGGAAACTGTTATCATAAATTTGGTATTGGTAAACAATTTACTGATTATAATCAAGAAAATTATGTTTTATCAATATTTGACAATTTAACTACAATACAGAGACACAACAATTAACTATTAATAATCTTAATTTCTGAAAACAGATAAAGAGGATCAATAGGAAGAGACTTTTGAATTTCAATCAAATTGTTACATTGATTTTTTTTTGCATGGAAACTTTTCTTAATTCAGTAAATTAAGATGATCTCATCTTAATTGTGAAGGTAAATTGTCATTGATATCATTTGTTGGCCTATTGAAGGCTATTGAATTCAAAAATATTCAATATTACGTTGAGATCATCATCATGGTTATCATGATAATCTTCATCATGATTAACCCTGAAAATTTCAAGTGCTCATAAATTAACGATAATTTTTTTCTTCTAACAAGATTTGTCATCTCTACTCTTTCAGGTTTCTCTCTCTCTCACACACTCACTCCCACTTCTCACTCTCCATCTTTAGAAAACAACATTGTGATAGTTTGCTCCTTCATCTTCGTCTCTCTCTCTCTCTCTCTCTCTCTCTCTCTCTCTCTCTCTCTCTCTCTCTCTCTCTCTCTCTCTCTCTCTCTCTCTAATCTTGATCTTCGTCTTTATTTACCATCGTCAAGTTTTCCTAATCAATTTTCATTGTGATCTTTACTGTTTCCTATCAAACAATAATAACAATTGGTAACAATTAACTTACAAATTTTTGCGACTTCAATTTGGGTTCTTTGATTGTGTTTTCTGTTGCCTTGATTGTGATTTAAATTGTTATTTACTCGGATAATTTGTCTCTTATTGTCTTACCTTCAGCGATCATCAATAATATCGGATAACTTTACCAAAATCAATCAAGATCTGCCGATGATTTATCACAGTTTAGCCATTGGTTTAATCCTTACACTTACATTTATTCAACCAACTTATCAAGGTAAGAATTAGTGATTTGAGTTAATTATTTGTATTCAACTGATTAATTCAATTGTTTCTATCATTTTTGTTTGGCAAATCCATATTCTAGTGATTGAAACTACTTAAATTATCAATGAATAGAAAGATTTAATTTATATCCTTGAATATCATCTCATGAAAATAGTTTTAATCATGATTGTATTTCAGATTGATTTAATGATGATGGGAAAATAACAATATGTTTTCAATAGTTAACAATTTACACACCAGTAAATTTAATCAAATCAAATTAATCTTCCAGGATTAAGTTATCATAAACCTTGAAAGAGTTGAAGAAAAACAAAAACCTTTTTCGATCTCACTAGAATAATAATACAAACTAAAGTTCTAAATCTTAATTGTTTACACAATTAAGAAGCTGATTGAGTTGATTGAGTGAAAAAGTAACTGTTCTTTAACTTTTTTTTTCTTATAAAATCGAAACAATTTCCAAAGTTCTGAGAAAAACTTTTCGATAACTTTTCTTTTTTTTCTGACCTTCTCTCTCTCTCTCTCTCTTCTTGACCGCTTCATCCTTAACCCGTTGACCAGCATGTAACCCTGTATATCAGTACGAGTGCCCCAAAAGCAAGGAGTGTATCGGTAAAGCTTGGATCTGTGATAATGAACCTGATTGTTCAGATGGTGAAGATGAGGAACCATTTATGAATTGTAAGGAATTGAAATGTGATTTAAATAAACAATTTAAGTGTAGCCATGGTCAGTGTATTCCAATGCATTGGCTATGTGATGGTTTCAAGGATTGTCCCATTTACCATGACGATGAAGATCCAGTGATGTGTTCAAATCTTTTACGACGATCAAATCGACAATCTCGTAATTAAGTGAACAATTAACCAAACCGTTTGATTTAAAATTACTGAAAATTACTAAAAAACAGCAACAAACGACAACAATTAACATTATAAATGGTTGCGATTGAAAATTTAAAATAGGCTCCTAATTGTGCTTGTTTGGGTGATTACAATTAAGAAAAGTTTTGCCTCACAATTAGCAATTTAATTGCTAATTTATTTTGATTTGTATTTTTTTTTGTTAAACCTTTCAAAATGTAACAGTAAATATTGATTATCTTTATTTTAAAAATGGTTTTGCCCTTCACAACAAATTGTTTACAATTAGTTAATTATTATATTAATTTCATTTTCGTTTTCATTATCAATCAATGATATTTATACTCAATCGATTTACCTTGACAATCAGTTTGATTGTTGAAATTAAATTGCTCACCAAAAGTAGGAAAATGTTTACCTGTTAATTGATTGTTTATCATATTGACTCAGGTTAAAATGTTATCTTTATACTATGGTGATTAATTAGTTGATTAAATCAATTGATTAACTGTTAATTAGCTACAAGTAATAAGAGATGGCGGCACAATTTGATCACAATTTAAATTGAACAATTAAGTCTGATTAAGGAGGATCAGGCAAAAGGGTTAATGGTAAAATCAACTGTACAGGTAAGTTAATCAATGTTTCATTTAAATTGTTTGGTTTTTGTTTCTTTCCAATTGATTAATAATAAACATCATTAACAATGATAATTACAGTTTTAAATTTACTTGACAATTAGTGATGATTATGATTGAATTGATTTAAGGTGAGGCTTTGCAATTAATTCCTATGATTAGCTTCCTATTTTGCCAGAGAGATGATGACTCATTCTAAATGATGAATGATTTAAAAGTAAATGAAACTAGTTTCAAATTTATTTTCATGAGTAATCAACAATTAACTAATGATGGTGATCGTCAAGCAGTCTACCTTTTCTTGATTGCCTCAGGTAATGACAAGGAAAAGGTTCACCATGAAGCTGAATGAAAAAAAGTTCACAGTCAATCTGAAAGTTGTGGTGATTGAAGCAGAAAAATATTCACTTGAAATGGAAAGTAAATTTCATGAAAATGAGTTAATTCAGTTGATTCAGTTTTCTATTAATAATTGAGAAAAATGAAAAGGATTAAAAAAAAGCTTCAGTTCACAATCACTAATTGTTGCAAAGTTCTGATTATGATTTATCATGAAAACTGAAAATAATGATCAATCTGATGATCAAATTTATCTTCTAATCATTAACTATCATCTATATCACATGGAACAACATTATTAATCTTTATTTACCTTTTACTTTTTAGATGGTCAAATTATCATTCACTGGTCAGTCTGAAAACTAATCTTTCCCAAAGTGACCTTTTCTTTTTGGTTAAAAGGTCAACAATTGTTGTCCATTTGTCCGAGTAATTGATTTTCATTGATTACACTTTTTATTTGTATTTTGTATTTTCATCTATGAGCTTAATTGGTTGACCATTCATTGACCTTTGTTAATTGTTGATTAACTTACAACGTTTATCTTTACACAATCAGCTAATTTCTTGCCTTTCAATTATTACCTTTGGCTCTTATGAGAGGGTAAAGGTTTTAATTGTAACAATTAAATTTCCTAATGTTACTTTCATAATTACCGGAAGTAATTGTTATTGTTGATTAATTATTCTGGTTAATCATTTCATGTAAGGTTAATTGTTTACCCTTGTTAATGATGATACTTGAATATACTCAATTGCTTGTTGGTTGTGATTAAATCAAATAAATTGATCAATTTTACAAACTGAATTAACTTTCATTGGGACTTGTAACTTTTTTAATTATTATAATCATTCAAGTTGTGCAATTTGTTTTAATTTGATTAAATCAATCATTAGATGAACCAGCAATTTGTTTAACTAATTCATTCACATAACAACAATTTAATGTTGACCATTTGTTTTAAACAAGATTCAAGCAATCATTAGATTGTAATTGTTAAATTGTTAATGTCATTTGAATGATTAACCTTGAAATTGATTATCTTTAATTGTTGGAATGGCGAAGAAAAAAATTAAGATCCGTTAATTAATTGATAGTTTACAGTTATAGCAATTGAAGGGGTTAACCTAATTAGCTTTTTTTTGTTAATCAAATTAACTCTTTCAACATAATTAAACTAATCAAATGTCATTAACAATTGTAATTAGGATTCGGTATCACAATGTTGGTCATTTTTGATTATCATGTCAAGGTTAACCGGTTTATTAACCAATTTGATCACAATTAATAAATTGGTACAAACAATTAAACGGTAAAAGTAAATCAGCCATGTTACAATTAAATTGCTTTGACAAAAAAAACAACAATTAAGATATTGACCAAAGGTTATTGTTAATTGTATTTGATGTATTAAATTAACCAGAAATTATCAAAAAAGAAAGTTAATCACAATTAAATCAACTAATAACTGGTGATGATTAAAAAACGATAGTAACAATTGACTAATTGATTGTGATCAAACTGATTTACTTTGATTAAATTGAGGCATCAGCAATTGAGATGAGATCTTAATTTTTTTTCACTTATTAATTTGATTCCCAGATAATTGATTGTTGTTAAGCATTCATTGCACTTAATTGTTGCGACAATGAACCAAGGTAAGGTAACAATCAAATGGTAATTAGTTTGATTGTTTTAAAAATAAATCACGTTATCTTTAGCTGATTGTCGTGATGTAATAATAACTGGTTTTAATTAACTATCGCATTTGAATAGTCAACAATTAAGCATGCATTTTATAAGGTGTTACTAAACATTCAACAATTAACTCAATCACAATTAAAATAAATTCATTTTCCTAGTGATGAGTCAGTTGAAAAAAGTTAATCATTCCATTGATTGAATCTAAATTTATTACAAATTAAAAATATACCTTCAGGTAAAACTAATCAAAGTAATTGCAATGAAAGTAATCATTAAATTGTTTGCAAGTTTGCAAAACTTACCATCTAAATTAATTGACTTAAATTGCTTAAATTGTTTGCAATTGTCATTTTAGAATAAGTTTAAATGTTTATTATTAATACAATGGCACAATCAACAAACAATAATCAACAATTGCATGTTTACTTTGATTACTCACATGATGTTGTTCAGTTTTGTTCATGATGATGATGATCAGTATGTTATGATGATGATGATGCTTGTCAAGATGATGATAGGACATGATGAACCTTAATAACCAATCCTAATCATCCGTCATTAAAATCAATTGATTGTTTTGGTATCATTGATCAATAATAAATCACCGAGAGTATAATAATCATTATCTTCAGTTATACTTATTAGTTTTCTCAAGCAATTTAATCAAGGTTGGGCAGATTCCTTGCAAGGAAAGTAAATATTAGATTGTTAATCAATTGCAAAATGATGATGAGACTAAACAATTAGCAAATTGTTGCAGAAATAAAGACACAATTAGGTTTGAATTGCAGAGGAAGATGAAGACTTTCATTCTGCAAGAAAAAAAAACTATTAATGGAATCAAATCAAGCGAAAGGTAACTTCCGTTTCCTAATCTCGTGATTGTAATCAATTTGTATCACATGAAATCAGGTCAAGTAAAAGATCAGCATCATTGTCCTTTCAATGATGATGATGATTGTGATGATTATAATCAATTCAGATCTCTTCAGAATCTTCAGAATCTTCGGAAAGATCGGAGAAAAAATTTTCCCAAAATTTTTCTTTTTCTCAATCAAATTGATGTGGAATTGGCAAAAACACTCAAGAAACAAATCAATTTCATCATGATGATCATCATCATCAGTGTCTCCCCTCTTACCTGTATCATCATCTTCATTTATCATCATTCACCATCTAGAGGATAGTAAATGGTTCTGCCCCTCTGGTCCCCAGGACCAAGGGTTGAAACGTAATCAGGAATCAGCTTGATGAATGCAGGGTGGAAAAGGGGAAGGTAACGAAGATGATGATTCTCATCATAACAACAATTATCATGATGATTAAGATGATAATTGATTGAGGGTCGTTCCAACGAATCGTTGTTTTAACCAATGAGCTTTTTCCCGCTTCTAATCAGCAACTTTTCAAATGATTAACTTGATTTTGTTCATCATTGGGATGTAACCAAACAAATCACAAATGAAAATCAATTCTTATGATTATCATTAATAATTACTCACTTACTTTAGTGTCTCTAATCATCTCACTTAATTATTTTCATTTTATATATAAATGATTTGATTTAACAAGATTGTTAATTAGTTTTATGTTTACACGGTTAATGGAAACACCATCGTATCAACAGTTATCCCAATCAACAATTAATCAACAATCACAATCAATGGTGATCAACTTGATTTACTCTCTGGAACCAAGCTAACAGTTAATTAAACCAATTTACTTTCATCTTTCTCCGTAATTATTTAATTTAATTGCAATCGTTTGATTGTTTTGCAAAAAAACTTGAAAATTATTGTCGAGTTTCAAAAATTGTGACAAATTGTTTTGCTTTTATAAAGCACATTTTACATTTTAATTGTGATATTTTTTCATTATTAACTTTAATCAAGTGCTAATTAATTGTTGTATTAAAATGACAATTATGGTTAACAAAAGTTTCGTTAACAATCAACGTCAATCAGTATCAATTTTCACTAAGTTTTTGACTAATTGTCAATGCGGTAATTTGCTTATGGCTTTAATTGCGATCAATCTGTTTAATTGTCAGTTAATTGCTGCTCGTGAAATGAATAGATGTTCACTGGCTAAGTCCCTGTACACAAGATACAAGGTGTCCAAAAGTATTATTCCAAGTCTATTATGTTTGGTTGAACATTCTTCCAAGTTCGATATATTCAAAATAACGGAAACTCGAGAAGGCCGAAAATATGGAATCTTTCAGGTAAGAGAATCAAATCAATGAGAACAATTAACTTTCACTTTCACTTTTTCCATTCAAATTAATTGTTCATTTTTCTCTCTTAATTGGACTAGTTTAAGGTTGGAGATCATTGTGGTGATAATGGTCAACAAATTGACGATTCTCTCTGTCGAGTACCTTGCGGCAAAATGATCGATGACCAGTTGACCGACGATGTCCGTTGTTGGCGTAAAATTTACGCTAAATATGGTTTCTCATATTGGCCTGAATGGGTCAACAATTGTCGGGGGAAGTACCTAATGTCCTACCTTCAAGGGTGCCCACTTTACTAATTGCTGTTGACAATTAACTCACCTCAACAATTTTACCGGGAGTTTGATGATTGTAAATTATATTATCATCAGTTGATTGTAAATAATTATTGATATTTATTACATGTTTGTCCTTGTGTTGATCAAGTTTTAATTGTTCAATTGGGATGATAATTAACTTGATTAAATCAAACCATCGATGTAGATCAAGTTAATCATCTTGATTACTGTCCATTTGATTTTATCTATCACTTAATCTGATAATTGTTTGTCTCCTTAATTGTTATCGATATTGGTAATTTAATCCGTTTTATGGATTATAAGTAATTGAATAATATTATTTTCCAATGTATTATTATGATTTAAATTTAATTACGATGATTAATTTAAAGAAGAAAAAAATTCTACCTCAATTTGTTGATTAAAACAAGATTATCATTAAAACCATTTACAACAATTAACTTTGTGTGTCTCGTGTTATTTACTTTTGATTAACATTACAATTAACAACACTTTTGTCAAGTGATTGATTGAGTAGAACAACAATAATTAGTTAATTGTGTTGATATGTTGTTAATTGTTGACTTTACCATTGATTGGATATCGGTGGATAAATAGTAATTGGGGTGAATGATAATTTTGTTTTTGTTGATTTTTGATTGGTATCAGTTGATTGTTCATCTTTAATTGTCTCATTTTCTAGTTTACTGTTTAAGGAAATAATTTAATTATTGAATTAAATTAGATTCCAATTAGATTACCTTGATTCCAATTTTCCACTTCGAGTCACCTTGAATTGATTAGTATTTATCCTTTCAACAAACTTTTCTCATCTCGAGAAAAAAAATAATCTCCTTCACTTGTATTGACCCTCCGGGTGTTTGATTGTTGACCAACTTTGTTGATAATGGTGATATAATACTCATTGATGATGATGATAATGATGATAAAATCAATATATTACTTAGTTAACAAATGAACATAATATTAGTTTACTTGATAATCAGATCATTTGAATCATTTGATTTGGATGGATTGTCAATAAAACCTGAACATTATGTTAATTGTTATGTAATCATTGGTTGTTGTTGTAATAAAGATGGTAAATTATTCAAATTAACCAACAATTTAAATATCCAATGATATTAATCAATTGATTCTCGTATTTCTATTATTTCTATTATTGCTGTTCAATTGACGTTGATGATTTTTATTATTGTTATTGGTTCGAGATATCCAAATTCGTGGTTGATTGTTTCTTAATTGTTTACGTCCTTGTCTTGAATTGTCTATGGTCAATAGTTTTATTACTCTTTGATTGTTGGATTGAGACATCTGATAACGATGATAACGATTGATATTTCCATGTGATTGCCAACGATGTCGATGTTTATTATTTTGTCTCAAATACAAAGGTACAACTAGTATTTCAATAAATGGGTTTAGATTAACGATTTATCTAATAGATGAAGTTTTTTTCTAAAACAAATTAATTTGTATAATCACCTGAGGTTTTGGAAACGGTCAATCGATTTGTATTGAATTTACTTATGGTCAAAGATGGAGTAGTTTGTTTTAAGGATTGGTCATTCTGTCCATTTTGAAGAAACAGTTCTTGGGAATTTGAGTAACGAACCGATGGAAGTGAAAATCCCGACGGAAGTGAGAATCCCGATGGAATAGTAAATCCTCCAGGAATATTTCCACCAGAGCCTTGGCCACTCTGTCCCTGTCCCTGCCCTTGTCCTTGTCCTTGTCCTTGTCCAGGTTGACCCATTGGCGTAGTTGGCCTAGGCATTTGCATGGACGATCCACCAGGCATTTGACCAGAGCCCCCTCCGGACATCATACCTTGATTACCAGATATTTGTTGTCCAGACGATGTTGACCCAGTATCTTGGCCATTTCCTGATGTACCTTGATTGTTGGAAGGTAAATTTATGACAATCGGGCGCTGATTAAACCCTTGAGTAGTTATAATTGTATATCCATTAGATGTTGAGATGGAAATCATCTGATTAAACTGTGTAAGACACGGTAACAGAACACAAAACACCAAAGCACCAAAAATCTGAGATTTGAATGGATTAATATCACTTGCGATTGTAAAGTCTTCTGGGACGATTGTTGTCAAATTAACATTCATTTTTAAACATGCAATTAGATTTGTATTTGGTTTTCATGTAACGTTTTTATAAGAAAAAGAAATAAAAACAAAATAAAACATTGACAGTTTGATGGAAAAGCAAATAAATCACAATCAAATCTACAAGAATTAAGATTAGTCACCTGTGGATTTTATTATATTCAGTAATTGTTTACATCCTTTTAATGAAAGTGTCAACATTAGAGGTTAGATTAACTCTGTTTTCTAACATTGACCCAATGGAAATCAAAATAAATCCTCTTATCCAACGACAAACAACATTCAATTCAATATTCATTGTTGTTATACAATAACAAACAATCATATTAACAATTAAAATCAGCCAACTCGGAGTCAAGGTAAACAAGATGACCGAGAATAACTGATTAATCTTGATTGTCGTTTGTGTTCAATTGCCATTATTTAGCTTCTAATTTGGGTTATATTATATTAGATGAACAATAAAAAAATGCAGGTAAGTCTCATTGAACTTTATCAGATTACATTGTATACGATAACTAATATTATATTATTATTATCGAGCTTGTATATTTACAATTACGAGAGGGAAAAAATGACGATGACAATTTGGATTTGGATAGGTGAGTGTTTAGAGTTGGACAATTGTCTTCGTCTTTTTTTTTGCTGATGATTGTAACTTGGAAAGATCATTAAATTGTAATCAATTGCATACCTGACCATTTGATTGCTGAATAAACTTGCTGATAATTGGAACCATTGATGTCTTGTTAACCCAGAAAATAAAGAGAGACCAAAAAAAGAGAGAAAATTGAACAAGCAAATCCATTAGATCAGTTGAATGATCAATCCTATTTAGCTTTTGTTTTCACATTGATTAAAATGTCTTTGTTTACATTGATTCCTTTCCATCCTACTGGTTTGCTTGAGTGAAGATACAGCGATCAACATGAGATATCCATGTGTGTGTATTTGTCTTCCTTGTTGTAAATAGTTGAATTAATTGTTTACCTTGATGATATAATAATTTTTAGCGAGAAAAAAAGTAACAACATTGAGGACACAATTTGGTTGAGAGATTCAAACCTTAGGTCACCCTTTTGATTGATCCACAATTAGAATCCCCTTATTACCTATTAACATCTTCTTGGTCTCTTTCGGTTGACGAGATTTAATAATTGGTAAATTGTCGTGTTAACAGTCACCATTAAATGAATAGTCGAAAATTAAATTGATTCCTGTAATTGGAGAAGCTGATGATAGTTTGGTGATGATGATGATGATGATGGCGATGAATGTGTTGAGTGTAAAGAGCAAGAATTTGATGAACAGGGAGAAACAGCGAAATTAAGGTGACTCGATGAATCTAAAATATGATGTTCATGAGTGTGACTAACAAGTGAAAGGGTTAATTAGAAAAAGAGAGAAAAAAGAAAATATAAAAAAAACAATTAAAATTAATAAGCAACAATTAAGAGAATCAATGAAACGATGAGAGGCAAATCATAAGATTTTTTTTTCTTCTAAAAATAAATGTTACAAAAAAAGCGCCAAAAACGATTACCCTTTGTTTTCATTTCTCTCAATTGGATTAACGAGATTAAATTGATTAATGTTTTTCTTTTTTCAATTTCAATTAATTGTTGACAGTTTTTCTTCAGTTTTTTTTTCTTTACTTTAATTTATTTCCCTGTTGATTAATTATCGCTGATGATGACTAATTGGATAATCGTTTTGATGGTCATTTGATAATCGGTAATAAGTTGATGATTGATGTTACATGAATTTCTGTTTGTGGCTCATTGATGTTTGATTACTTTATGGTGACACATTTGCAAGTGAAATTAATTTTTTTAGTCTTGTAAACATGATATTTTTCTGTTCTCTCAGACATCTCTTAAATCTCTATTAATCTTAATCCATTTTCTGACATTTCTCTTTCTATTTGTTTCTAGATTTTCTTTTTTCTTCTCTCTCACCTTTGCTTCTCGACGATTCCAGCTAATTCTGTTGATCTTTGTAACCATTTTCCTTGAGGTTTGTATGTAAAACTAAATGTCCTTTTTTCTAGCTAATCATTTACATTACCGATGGACATTAACTTTGCCTCACTAAATCTCTCTCTCTCTCTCTGTCTTGATATTACATTTACCTTGTTCTTTTTGTGACCAATTTGTTTCTCTTCTTTTTAACCTAAATCAATCTTCCTCTTATTTTATATTTTCTTTTTTTTCTATTCTCTTCTCGTTCTTTCCTTGTTTTTTTCTCTCTTCTTCTCCTCTAGAAATTAAATCTCTCCACCGCTGTGCTAACAAGGACTACAAACCATTTTCCTCTCTGGATAATCAATCAATCTTGCTACTCCTTTTTTCAATATATCTAAGGTCTGATCAATACCTGAAACATTACATCAATTAACCACAATGAACACACTTTCTACCAACAATTCTCAACAATCTGACCAGTTTTCAAATTCTCACGTTTCTATTTCTTCAACTTCACGTACTGACATTTTCCTCTTCCTCCTCTCTCTCTCTGAGGTTATTTGCATAAGCGGAAAGATCGTGTTGGAATAAGATGGTAACGAATATGATGAACAAAAAAAAGTAACAAATCAAACAAAATTACGATGTAATAATCGTTGTCCTGTTTAAAAATGGAAACAAATCAACGCCCTTGGAAATTTATCCTTCTACCAGTGAAAACGAACCAAAGAAAATCTTTACTCAAGTAACTAGTCTCATTTGGTGGGTGATTAAGATGTCCAATGTATTAATCACTAAGTGGATTAGAAATGGAAACTTAAGTCTCTCCCTCTCTCATTATCAAGAAAATGATCAATCAATATCACCAATGATAATAAATTGGTCAACATTAGGTAAGCCATTTGGATTCGCCGAAAGTGAATACAATGAAACACCTCATTTATCTCTACCATTTTGTTTACTTTTACCATTTTTAACATTCGAAATTCTCTCTTTATGAAAAATATTCTGTTCATGTTTCATAGTTTATTTACTTTGTATATTAGTGAGTGAGAGAGATAGAAAAGAAAAAGTATTTTCTTTTCTTTCATCATTTTTTAAAAGAAAAAAGAATCTCATCTATTATTCTTTCTCTCTCACACCAGGTCTTCCATCACTAAGTTGATTCAATTTTTGGATTAAAATGCAATTGATTGGCTGAAAAAAGTTCCACCATGAGAATATGCATCCGAAGGATAAATGGAGCAAAACAACAAGACAATAAGGAAAAATCTCTGATGTTCTTTCAAGATGCTTCTTCTCATGTAGTACCTTAAATTGCCAATTCCTCCATCATCAGCATCGTTTAAATTTGCTTCTCATCATCATTTACATCCAAAGAGAAATTCGTATGTTTCTTGATCGTTTTTTTTCTATTCTTTTCTTTGTCTACATGTTATGGTTTAACTTGTTCACTTTCTACTCATTTTCTCTTCTGTCTACTTGCCCATTCAAATATTATACATATTCTTTTCTTTCCTCACAGTAAATTCTGTAAATATTACCTGCGTGTAGAATCTGAATCAATGTCATTTTCTGATTATTCAACTGTTGAAAGTTGTTCTATTCAGTTTACTGACGAATGATTGATTGGTGATGTCTGTGTTTCTATTTCCAATTGTTATCAATTCTAACTTTTCTCTTTCTCCCAATTATAACAATTAACACAACTTGATTCCTATTATTATTGTTGTTGTTTTCTTTAGTTTAATATAATCAATTGATCGATACATTGATTGAACATTTTTAAATGACCATTGACTCGAGGCCCATAGGAAGATCACACAATGAGAGGAAAAGATAGAGAAAATCGTTAATGATGTTGGATTTTTACTATTTAATTATCGTTAATCTGATGAATGGAACATTTGTGAAATTTTCGAGAGAAAAACATTAAACAAGATTAAAAAGTTAGGTAGAAAAATCGATTGATTTTCTATTCCCCAATCAGGTAACTAAAAGTTGATTCAACTAATCAGAAACAATTTGTGTCTAAAGTGCAGTCAGATTAAATCTCTCTCATAAAATCGCTATTTAGAACCAAGGTAAATACTCATGAAGGTGATAGAATTGATTGTTACAGATTTGCAAGTTCTCTTTGGAAAACTTGATTGCAGATAAATCAATTTGATTGTTGAATTACATTTAAGCTTCTATTGTTTCCTTCATTTTCTTATTCAATTCTTATTCTTATTCATTTGTCTTGCAGAATTTTTTCCCCTTTTTTCCCTATTTACCTGAGAAGATGAAAGGAGAAGGCGGAAAATGGAAACATGAAGATGCAGATCAAGTCAAAAATAGAATCAAGAAATGATGAGGAAAATGCGAATAAGAAGAAAATAGGAAAATACACATGGATTAATATCACTCAAATTCGAAGGTAGATGATAATTGGCAAAAAAGAATCACTATTGAATTATGCAAGAGATGATGAGGATGATCAAATCATATCGAATTAAATTAGTTCTGCTTTATTTCAATATCATAATAATAGATTATTTTCTATCGTAGAAAAGTTTCAGAAAGAGAGAAACCTGAGTCTCTTTACATGATTTCTTTTGTATATTTGTTACACTCTTTGATCATCGAGATTTCATATTTCACTCATCTTCATTTTCTCACTCACTCATTCACTCTCTCATTATAATGCTGATTAAATGCTAAAAATACTACATAATAAAGGAGAGAAAGAGTTGAAGAAAAAAATCTTCGAAGATGAAGGTTGAAGACTTATCACTTTCATCTTTTTTTTTTTCTCTTTTTTCTTCAAGACTATTATTATGAGATTTTTCCATTGCATGATTAATCTGATACTTATTAGACTTAATAGACTTTAAGTTATCATAATAATAAAATTATCTTGCGTAAAGAAAAGGTTGGAATCATTTTGATTAACAATCAATCATTTACTGTTTTCCCTTTTTTTCAACATCAACTGTCAATCGGTTTTGTGTGTATTCATTTTTTCATACGATAAGTTGTGAGTTTTTTTTCATCAATCCTTTCAATCAACATTAAGACCAATTACTAATTTGATGTTTTCTTTTTTTTCTTCTCAATTTTACTTAAATCATTTAGAAGTAAAGTGATTAAATGATTTTTCAACTCACATTGGAACATAAACTGGATAATGTTGTGATTCAGATCTCGGTGGATGATGATGACCTCGACATCTTGGAATATAAATTGGAATTGGAATGACCTGTTGTTGTTGCTGCTTTTGTCGACGATTTTGAATCAATTTAAGCAACAATAGCTCCATTTCCATATCACGTCGACCCATGAAAGCATCGGCAACAATTAGAAATGAGGAAGATAATATGACGAAAATGACAAGCGTACTGATCACTTTAATTGATGATTTATCCATTTTGCGATTTTTGTAACACTCGAAACGGCCTTATTTTGATGGAAATAAATTAACAAAGGAAGAAACAATCAAATTAGAAAAGGAGGCGAAACCTTTGATTTCTGGACGGATACAATTGGAAAATAATACAACAATTAATACGAGATTGAGTCAATTTAAATCACTTCAATCATGATGATGACAGATCAATATAATCAGAGAGATGAATTCACAATACAAAAGCTTTGAATATCTAATTGTTTCTACAATCTGTTCGCGATTTATTCAAATTGTGAATGAGAAATGAGCTTAATTGTCGTAGCCATTTTTATAATTTATTCAGATATGCTCGAATTGTCGCTCCCGCTAAATTGTTCACTTCGACTTTTAAACTCCTTTTATTTTTAATATTGTTCACCACTCGATTTATCCTATTGGGATGATCCATAATCAACGAACCATTTCCCAACCTGATTTGGATAATTAGTTTAATTCCAACTGATTGTCTGTCTTTCCAACGTTAAATGACAATTTAGATGTTTAGGAAAATCGTGTGAAAGCAAAATTTGATCATCCTCGATGATGAACAAAAACTTTTCTTCTTCCCGAAAATGTTATTTACTAATTTTCCATCTTAATCAATGCTAATCAATTGAACTCTAAAAACGTTAATCATTTCAAACGATTTGATTGCATCCTCTTCATTGAGAGGTGTTTATTGTTACTACTTTTGGTAATAAAAACACTTTCACAAATTTCACTGATTAACAATCAATGATTGGTGAGAAAGTGAGAAATTGGAAAAGCATTAATTAGAGTTAACTCATAACAATATTAACTAATCATTCATTTGATAATCTAAATTGTTTTAAACTAAAATTGGGGATCGTTGATTATGATTGACATGTTTGACAACTAATCACTTATTTTTTTTATATCATTTAAGGTCCGGAAGACAATTTAATTTTATCTTTTGATTTAACGATCAGGTCCATCAGTTTGTTGTCAATAATTTACTCCAACTATTAATATAATTTAATCATAATCGATGAATTTTTTGATCGTAATTTAAAAAAATTACCTTTTTAGTTGAAAATTAATAATTAGTTTTTCTTGGCAATTTTTTCACTCATCATCAAGGTAATAATTTGTTCCGGCTTTTGATTTGATTTTTGTTGGTTAACAATAACAATCAACTTAATCAGTGTCTCTTTTAACAAATTAACAATTTTTATATTAAATCATTTGAAACCACTAAATGGTTATGAAAGTTGAAAATTTTTATGAGACAATTAGTTTAAATTAAAGTGGTTTCGTTGATTCATTTTTCACAATTTACAATTAATATAATATCTACAATTAGTTAATATTGAAGGGAAAATAGTATCAAATTAATGGTCTATCACTAGTGGTAGTAGCAATTAATTTATGTATTTGCACAATTTAACCATTAATAGACATTTAAATTGCTTCGTTTACAAATATAATTGTAAATATGTTTTGCTGACAATTAATAAAATTGTCTTCATTGAAATAACTTATTTACTTGTGAAAGTAAATTGTTTTGCTGATTCAACGGTAAATAGTTTTATATAATTAGCTTATGACTCTAGACTATTATTTGACCATCACTTAATCCTGATGATGTTGATGAAAGTTGAGACAGTTGATGATCATCACAATTTGATAATTGTTGATGACAAATATTTTTGAGCAAATTCAAAATGGTCTCCAATTGATTAAACCGTTTCTTTTGGACAGAAACTGGTATTGATTAAGTTTCTCCATGACAAATTGTAACTTGGGTCAGATGAAATGTCTCCAATTGATTCATTGATTTGATTTGGATTTTGATTCACCATTAACTTGAGATCTATCGGATTGAGTTGCTTCTAATTTAACCGGATCTTTCATGGATTCTTCTTGATTTGTAGCACCAGAGGATAACATTTCCTTTCGTTGTTTCTCTAATAAAACATTCGGATTCTCATTAATGTCTGGAATATAAAAGCCACTACTATTCATATATTCTTGTGCTGGTGTAAGCATTAAATCACGATAAGTGGGAAACAGTGACACTGGATTATAGTTTTTCTCGGCCTCTAATTGTTTCAATTTAGCATCTAATTCAGGCCAATTTTTCCTCTCCTCACTTTCCAATTCGTAAGCACGTTGTTTCTTGATGTAGGCAATTGCTGCATTTCTTATCATCTCTTCCTCGGTCGGTGGATCTTCACGAGTTTTCCTAAAATAAACACAAAAACCAAATTAATCACATTGGAGAAGTGAGAAAGAAAATTGAACAGAAAAGCAAACATGAAAAACATAACAAATCGATACAAACCTTAACCATCTTATCCATTCTGGTGAAATGGTTATCTCAGGAAGCATTGGTATAGCAATTGTATCAACGTGTTTAGGTTCAACAGTTCGTAATCTGCGTCCGTATTTATCGAAAGTCTCAAAATAAAGGTTACCATTCAAATCTTCACCTTGGAAAATTGGTTCATTGATTTTACTTTTCGGTTTTGCAGAAACTCTAAGCCAATTGAGGACAGTTTTCCAAAGACCAGGTAAATATTTCTCACTGGCCATTATGAAGACGATTAACAAACAGACTAAATGTAATCATAAACCAAATCAAGACAAAAGAAAATAAAATCACAAGAGAAACGAACAAACCAATTGACTTTCCAATCCGAAAATTCAAAACATCAAACACATGATCCAAATTCTGAGGGACGATTAACTAATTGCAAATGATAAATTCTACGTAGAAAAACCATTTGCAATTTAGCCCCCTGACGAACCTTGTTGAAGGTTGGAGTAAATTGAAGTGCCTTCTTCTTTTAGATTAGTAAATTGTTAGCCCGGTCAGGGCTTCCAAAAATTGCCAATGCCGACGGTATTTCACGTCGTCATGGCGGGGTATTGGGAAAAGTTTTCAACCAGCAATAACCTCGGCTCAGGAAATCCTTCATTGCCTGAGGTACTGCCTCTGCGCAAAGCTTAATTATAATTTAGATGGACTCATTTATATATATTGCCTCTTGTTAGTTTCTTATTACAGGTAGAATTTTTAATTGTGATTAATTGATTTCCTGCGATTTTCATTGAGTTTTTATTTTCTTTTTGATGGTTGATTTGGTTTTTTGCAGAATAATTTGTGTTAGTTTCAGTTATTCTCTCTTAGAATTCAGTTAATCTCCTTGTTGTTTTCTGCCGATTCTCAGTGTTCTTGTCACGTGTTACGAGCATTGAAAGTATCGATTTGAGGTTTTCTGTTTAGTTTTGGTTTTGTTGCTCTTTAAATTGGTGCTTCTCTTTTATTGTGATTTGGTTTATTTTCTCTCTCTTTTCTATTTTATTTAATTGACAATTATGTCGGACAGTGAAAGTGATGGTCTTGGCGATGTTAATGATGAACTTATCGATCAAGATCCTCCATCAGATCGAGAAGATTTAAATGAAGATGGTGATGGTGACGATGTTACTTTTGAATCTCTGGTTTGTATTTTTTTTCTAATTCTTTCCAGTTGATCACTAATTCTTTTTTAATGTTTATTTTTATTAGGGTGTTTCTCCTGTTATATGTGAAGCTATTGAAGCGATGAAATGGACAAAACCTACGAAAATTCAAAGAGAAACATTACCAGTTGCTTTGGAAGGTAATTGATTATTTCTGTTGCTATGGTTGATTTTTATTTCCATCTTTTCTATGGTTTATTTTGGCCGTTTCTTTTTTGCTCTAGAAATTTTTCTATATTAACAATTTTTATCATCTCTTATATGTCACACAGGTAAAGACATTATTGGTCTTGCTGAAACAGGATCAGGAAAGACTGGTGCTTTTGCTATTCCCATTTTGGAATCTCTATTGGCCAAACCTCAAGGACTTTTTGCTCTTATCTTGACACCAACACGTGAATTAGCTTATCAAATTAATGAACAATTTAATGCTCTAGGAGCCAGTTTTGGAGTAAAATGTGGTATGTTATCATTTTTTATGACTGTTTATGTTTGATTTATTTTTCTAATTTTCTTTATGTCTTCTTATCAGCTGTGATTGTTGGTGGTATGGATATGATGTCTCAGGCCATGGCACTTGCAAAGAAACCACATATTGTGATTGCAACTCCAGGAAGATTAGTTGATCATTTAGAAAATACTAAAGGGTTCACTCTTAAAACGCTTAAATTTTTGGTTCTCGATGAAGCTGATAAAATATTAAACATGGATTTCGAGAAAGAAGTTGATAAAATAGTTAAAGTAATTCCAAGGGAAAGGAATACTTATTTATTTTCAGCTACAATGACCAAAAAAGTGCAAAAACTTCAAAGAGCTTCGCTCAAAGATCCGGTCAAACTTGAAGTATCATCAAAATATCAAACTGTTGACAATCTTCAACAATATTATATTTTTATTCCTCTCAAGTACAAAGTACGTTCAATTTTACTTATGTAAAACTGGAAAATCTTTTTAATTGAAATTCATCTAACTATCAATTTTTCTCCCACATTACAGGAAATCTACTTGACTTATATTTTGAACAAATTTTCTGGTAATTCTTTCATCATTTTCTGCAATACCTGTAATGCTACCCAAAAAATAGCAATGATGCTTCGTAATTTAGGATTCACAGCGATTCCTCTTCACGGACAAATGAGCCAAAGTAAACGACTTGGAGCTTTGAATAAATTTCGTTCAAAAGCGCGATCAATTTTACTAGCAACCGATGTGGCCAGTAGAGGATTGGATATTCCCCATGTTGACATAGTTATTAATTTCGATATACCCTTTCATAGCAAAGATTATATTCACAGAGTTGGAAGGACAGCTCGAGCTGGACGATATGGTAAATCGATAACCATAGTTACCCAATATGATGTTGAACTCTATCAAAGAATTGAATTCTTGATTGGTAAAAAGTTACCGCTGTTTGAGACAACCGAACAAGAGGTGATGCTATTAACTGAACGTGTAATGGAAGCTCAACGAATCGCTAATTCGGAATACGTTGAAAGTCAGGATAAAGGGAAGAAAAGAAAATTCCGTAAAGATGATAATGATGATACAGGTGAAGCTTTATTAGGTAACAAGAAGATAAGACCTAAATCGAAATTGAAAATGAAACCCAAATTTAGATGAACAATAATCTTATTCCAAGGTTAATCAATTGTTTTCCTCAGTTGAGAATTTCATTTTCATCCTTTACATACATGAGATTTGTAGATCATATTGTTGATTAATTTTTATCACAATTTGGAAATGATTCAAATTAACTATACCCCATTGATCATCATCTAAGTAATCTAACAATCAAATATACTGTTTGTATATATAAATATATTTTTTACGCATGAAAAATATTTCTGTCACCAATTGATCATCCAAACTGATTGTGTAAACAAAGATATACTTCCTGACTGCTGATTATCATTTATTCATAAACTCGTATCATCAAAAGTTTACCTGTTTAATTGTAATCAACAATCAACTTGGATTTTTCTTGACGAACAAAACAAAACAAAAAAACATCGAACGAAAAGTTATTCTATCTCATCTTCAATTCTACAATCAAATGGAACATCATCTTTACTTTTCTTGGTTAAACAATTTACAGAACTAAAAAGAAATTGATTTAATTCACTAATCAATATAACTTTTTCTTTTGTAACTCTTTCTCCATCTCTCTCTCTCCCTCTTAATCTCAACTAATTATCTCTCTCTCTTACTCAGCTTTTCTCTACCTAATTAGTTAACCAACCATGTAAAGAGATAATCAGTAATAAAAGACAACAAACAATAAGTTAACACCCCAAATAGATTAAGATTAAGGTTTATCTTTAAAGATTAAGTTAGATCGAGTTACGAGAAAGCGAATTATTATTTTTACTACAAAGAGATTAACAACCTTAATCGAAAAAGAGAAAAGAAAAAGATTGTTTATTATTTTCTCCTTTTTTTCTCTTTAATATTTTCCTCTCTCTCTCTCTTTCCCTTTAAACCACAAAGAATTTAAAATAAACAAATTTTCTCGAAAATCAACGTCAATGAAAAGTAATTAATTCGAGTGATTAAATTAAATTTTTCGTCAATTTCGCTACAGTTTGTTATTGGCTAATGTTCCCTTTTTCTTTGCGCAAGTTTCGCTTAGAAAAAGAAAGAGTTTTGTTTCTCTCTTTCTTCGTATTGAGAGAATATCAAGAGGTTGACTGGTGTTCAGGTCTATCGTTTTTGTTCCCTCAACTTAGAAATTAAATTGTTAATAATTAGTCACTAATTTAACATAAAATGTTATTTTAATTATGTCATCTAAGGACGAAGATAAGGTAAGGATTACGATTATTTGATTAAAATACTACCATTCAAGTGAAAATATTGAGAAAATTGAACTCCAATGATCCCCATTTACCTCTCCTTTTTTACTGTATTGCCTTTGCTTTGCTTATAACCACTCATCTTATCATCCCCTCTCTTTCTCTCTCATCTTTATCTTTCTACCTTCTCTTTCTTTTCTTCTTCATTTTATTACCTCTTACTTTCCTTTCTTTTAAACTCAAAGTGTCTCTCTTTCTTTCTCTCTCTCTCTCTCTTTATCAGGCTCTATCTCTTAAACTTTCTTTCTCTCTGTCTCTCGTTCTTCTCTTTCTTTTTCCTCTTAATAATTTTAAGTCTTTCTCTCTCTCTCACTTTCTCTTTCAGTCTTTTTATATTAAACTAGCGATCATTTTTTCCTCACTTGATTAGCCGAAAATGAATTCTGTTAAATTGATTATCGTTACCTTTAAATTCTCTCAAAATCACATGTAAATAGTTTGATGTTCTGTTTTTGGGTAACGTTTTCATTTTCGTTGCTTTTCTATTGATCTCATTTCACTTCTCTCTCTCTCTCTCTCTCTTCTCTCTCTCTCTCTCTCTTTCTCTCTTTCTCTCTCTTTCATTCGTTACTTATTACCCTAAATAAGTCAGTCAAAAGGGTTCTCAGTTATCATGACCCCTTAGGAGAAATGAAATTTAACCTGTTCAGAATGATGATGAATCATGATTGTAAAAAGGTAACTGGGCACAGGCTCTACAATCTATTAAATTTTCTTCTCTTTCTACCTATTAACTACTCCTCTCAATCTCTGTGCACAATTTTCGTTATCCCTTTGAATCCTCTCTTTCTATTTCTATTCTCCCTCTCACTTTCTCGTTTATAATAATTTCTAACCTTTTCCTCTACTCTTTTTTCATTATCTTTCTATTTTTTTTTCTTTCTCTTTTTTCCTTTTCTCTTTCTCTTTCTCTATCCCTCTTTCTTTTGCCTTCATTTTAATGTCATTTGTCTTGGTTGGTAACATCTCATTCTGTTATATTGATGAACTAAATTCGAATTGTTTTTGTTTTTTCTTTATTGGATGAATCAGACGAGTCCGCCACCACAAACACCACCAACCTTAGTATCAACATCTTCATCTTTACCAATCTCAACGTCAAGTATAACCTTATTATCTTCTTCATCAACATCGTCCGTGCCCCAGCCGTTACCTACTTCTTCGTCAACAACATCCTCATTTGCTTCATCTCTCATTTCTCTACCATGTTCATCAACCTGTTCAGATCCTTCAACCTCAACGACCACAAGCACAGTAACATCTTCGCCTTCATTAGCAACAACAATTCCTGCAATTGCAGCATCCCCACCACAACTACCTTCAACTGCATCTCTGTCGCAAAAGCGTCCAATGAATGCATTTCTAATATTCTGCAAGCGACATCGAAGTGTAGTTAAACAAAAATATCCACACCTAGAGAATAGACGTATTACTAAAATTTTAGGCGAATGGTGGGCAGCCTTGGATGGAGATGCCAAGAGAAAATACACTGAGCTTGCTAGAAGCTATAAAGAAGCATTTATGAAAGCAAATCCTCATTTCAAGTGGTACAAAACAGACTTTAAAACTCCACCCGCTCTTAAACCACCATCACCATCACCACCACCTCATGCGAACCAACCAGCTCCAGTAGCTCCGCAGCCTGGTCAAATTAGTGAGAATGTGAACCTCGAAAACCATAGAACTGGTTCTCAGCCCGCGAATTCCTCCAATTCTAATTGTAATTCAATTATTAGTTCAAATTCAAATTCAAATTCAAATTCTACTCCCAAACCGCCTAAAAAACGATACCTAGAAAACTTCGAAAATGGAGAGTTTAAAGGCTCTACAGAGTCTACGGTTCCTTCTGCCTCTACTACAACACTTACTACTAGTACGACAACAACCTCCTGTCCTCCTCTTAATCCGGGTGGTCCTCCCGTCCTGGACATTGATACCATGAATCGTGTGATTGAAAATGCTCTTGGTGGTGGATCTAGTACAACTTTAAATTCAACCATCAATTCATCATCTTCTTCTTCATCTTCTTCTTCTGCAGGCGATAGACCCTTGGATTATTCTGCTTCCAAAGTCCTTCATACCTCAAATCAACAAATTATTGATCATTTTATTGAAATTTGCTTCAAAAAGCACGTTACGCAAAGCGAAATTAATTAACCAGCAAAGAGCAAGACAAAAAAAGGATTAAGTCACAAACGAAGTGAAATTTAAAAACACAAAACCACATACATACACAAATTACACATACACACACACACATACACACCACTTACACATACGCATACACACACAATAAAGAAGAGATTTTCAAAAGGCCATCGAGAACAAACGACGATCGGGACGAAAAAGAAACAAATGTATGAATTGGAATTTGAAAAGCAACAAAGTGCGAATGCTCCTTTTGTTTTAAAAAAGCTTAAGAAAAACCCTATGGGCTGAAAAGTGTTAAAAGTTATTGTTACAAAGAAAAAAAAATGTTACGTTGAATGAATTGTAATTAACAGCTACTGTTGATCACTTTAAATGATTGTACATATTGTTACCCTCGATTAATTATCGGCATATCCATCCACTAGTTATGTTTGGTGTGTAGAATTTTTTTTAGATGGTCGATATATATATATAAATATAAATATAAATACAGAGAGACACAAGGTAAACAATATCTACAATCATTTGAAGTTTTTAACTGTAGTTAGAAACAGAAACATAAAAAAAATGACAATAAATCATCCAAGAAACCAAATTAATTAACTTCACCGGTTTCTCAGCGTCACCATCATCATCATCTCTAACCAACTATCATCAACTTTTATTGTTATTTGTAACAATTATTACTATAGTAATGGTATAGTAATAATTTATATGTAATTTTTATTATTTCATTACAGCGGAAATGCTTTCAAAATTTAACTGAATGAATTGCTGATCTATCAAAGTTTACCTGGTATGGACCATTTTTGGCAACTTCTTGACTAATTGTGTTATTAATCACCTTAATATCGCTGTAAATTTGTGGTCGAGTTAATATTCGTCCAGTTCCTCCTGTGACCAAAAGTGATACAACAAATGAGAGAACAACAATTAATATTAATTATTTGGATCAATTTTGTGATCATCTTTTTTCTTCATCAACAAAGTTGATTAGAAGAAGAAGAAGAAAACTGATTAATTGCAACTCGTAATTTGATGGAGAATCGATTAATCTAATTTTCTGGTTATGTGATAATTTGTGTGCTTATACACTTTACCTTTTTCTGGTATTCCTGTTGATTTAATTGCTGCTCGTGTTGCTGGTATTTCAACTGTTAAGGTTAAAAGTAGTGCCAACCCGTAAATTAGAATTAAATTGGGTGCTAGATGGTAAATTAACCAATCAATTATCATCATTGTGCTCACAGGAAACTGATGAGTTGCATTACGAAGTCGAATAACAAGGAAATTGGTTAATAGAAGTGAAATGTTAAGTTTAGAAAGAGAACGGAAAAAGGGTTGAGAAAGGAAACGATTAATCCATTTAAATTGGTTTTCACTTTCGATTAAATAAATTATCCAACCAAAAGAAGCAGCCCAAGAGAGACGAATACAAATTCCATAAGCGATTAACGTGAATCGATTTGGAAGAGAAGAAGGTGAAGATGAGGACTGAGAAGAAGATGATGATGATGACCAAGAAGACTCAAGCCAATGAACGAAAACAAATGAACCAATGGATAAAAAAGTGCCTACTCTTTGTTTCAACTGAAAAAGAATCATAGAAATGATGATGAGAGAAGTTGATGATCATTTAGTGAATTTATCTTCTCTTTCTCTTCTCTCATGGCGATCATGATGTTTCTGATTCTTTCTCTCTCTCTCTCTCTCACTCTCTATTAACTGAATACTAACCTTGGATAAATTTTGTCTCGGTTTTCTCATATGAAAAGCAGTTAGAACTCCCATCATGTAACATACTCCATGGATCCATGGTTTTGAAAGGAAAATATTGATGAAATCAAAATAACCCGGAGTAAATAACTGATTAGAGACAATTGTTGATGGATAATTAATTTTGTACAGACTGAATCCAGCAGCAATTAAACCTGAACCAAAGGAAAGAATCACTAAAATTATCATGATAAGTTTCATCTCAAGCCAAGGGATCACAAAGTAAAGGGAAGATGAGAAACTGAGCAAGTCAATGCCCAAATACCATGAGGATAAAGTACAATGGTTATAATTAAATCGCCAAAGATCAATTAGCAAAATCTCGGACCACCAGTGATCCTTACAAGCGGGTATAATGTCCCTTGCCCCGAAAACCGATTCCCATAGTGGACCAGCGACTTTTGACTTGACATAACCATTGAAAAGGGCAAAGTAAAGGGCAACCGTTACCGTTATCATGGAAGAGTATTTGAAACATCGGACAAAGATCACTTTCCTTGATTTGATGCTTCGTAATCTAGAATAAGCCGATCGTAATGAAAGAAAACCGGAGATGAAAAAAAAAGTGTCCATCAAATGTAAATAAGTGTTGACCGGTGAACCAATTAGCGGGTAATTGTTACCCTTAACATCAACTGGATTGAACTTCGATGGGATAGCGGTAAGATATTGAAGATTACCGAGAACCAGAGCTCCCATGCAAAGTGCTTTAAGGCCATAAATAGAATTGACCTGATCATCGCGATTACGAGTTGATTTTCCAATAAATGACTTCCAACTTTCGGCAATATTAAACGCGGACAAAGGTTTATCACTTGTGCTACATGGACCCATTAAATGACAGACAACCAGGAAGCCCAAGTAAATGAGAGCGAAAACTTCATGACGTGATAATTTAATCGGCGTGGGCTGAGGTTTTTCACAGCGATCAAGACGAATCGTTAAATTGGTGTGAGATAAAAGTGTCGATGAAAGAGTCTCAACATCGTCGCCCGCACAATTGGTTGGAAGACAAAGTCCCAGAAGAAGCGACGCTTTTCGGGTAACATTTAGATGATGATCTAAATCGAGCATATAATTAATTGTCGAATTTTTCTCATGCCAAGCTAATTGATCAACCGATTGGATCAGGTTATCATTTGATGTTCCCGTTATCAAACAGTAACCAGATGATTTAAGTTTCATGCATTGTTGATACGAACCGAAATCAATGAATGATTTACTTGATTGAGCTGGAACACGACCAGAGTAATCAACCACTACATTGGAATGGGAGGAAGAAAATTGAAAGAAAATGAGTGACAAATTAGTCTCATCAACAACGACAACAACTTGCAGAGTAAAATGTTAAAAATAGTTAATTGACAAACCAGACAGGAAGAAGATCCTAGCAATTTAATTAATTGTTGTCTCTAAATTTCCTTCTTGTCAAAAAATTGAAAGGAAGAGATTTTTTTCTCACTCTCTCGATTTTAATTTCAATTCTTACTTTTCTTTGCTGTTGGATCATTTTTCTCGAGGTTCTTAGCCAAACGACGTAAATCATCAAGACAATTAAATCCACCTTGATTATATTCCAATCCACGGATTAGTAAATCAACATAAACAATTGCATAATCAGAAGACAATTTATCAAGTGATGAGTCGAAAGCAGTTTGATTTGTAACATTTTCAAGGGAAACACTGGACCATAGATGAAGCATGAACAATAACAAACTGACCAATCGTTTGGAGGCCATTATCTTAACCCACTTGAACAGTTAAACAATCAACGAGTTTAATTACACTACAATCAACTTGATTTACTTCACTATGGATACAATCTCTCTCTCTCTCTTTCTCTTTGTCTTCTTTTTCCTCTGTCTCTTTTTCCCACTCTGGTCTTTTTTTCCTCATTAGACTTGACCCAAAGATTTACAACAAGCTAATTAACGGAAAGACCTGACGAGTTAATTGTAAACGATAAATCATCACAATCAATTGAAACCATAACTTTCAATGTTACAAGCAACATGGAAATAATTTAATGTGATTAACTTTTAAAAGCAAATGGAGGATTACGGAGCAATTTAAATCAACTAATTGGTTGATTAATCATTTAAAGTCTATTTCTTTGGGAAAAATGTTAAAAATGATTAACTCTCAAGTTAATTGTTGTTTAATAATTAAGTAATTGTTATATTTACAAAATGATATTGAATGAGTAACCCACATTTAGACAATTGTGATTTGTAACAAGTAATGATGAAAATAATTATGCTGATTATGATGATGATGATGATGATGATGGTAATGACGATGAACTGATTTAAAACCAGATTTGTTTTAATTGTTAAATTTCTGGTTTTAATCGTCATTGCAATTAAATTAATCTCATTCCCATATCCTCTGCTTTTGCAATTTGAGCTTTTGCTTTAATGTATACAGACCCAAACACACATACACACCTAACAATTTGTAAAAAATCAAAGTTATATTATATTAGTTAACTGAATTAATATGTAAATAATAGTCGCAATCAAATTAAATTGTCAACACTAACTATTAATACAAAATTGAGGAGAAACAAAAAAAACATCAACAAGAATCAACAAGTTAAACATAAATTTCTGTTTATTATTTGATTTGTTAATTGTTGTAAATTGTAAGAAAAAACTAAAGCTTAATTAAAAAAGAGGAATTAACAATTAAATGATTTGATTTTCCTTTACCATTTATAATTTGAAACAAATTTCCATCACAATTAGAACCACAATTAAGATTAGAATTGATTACATTATGATTGTATTAATAAAAGATGATTAAAACAATAATCTTGATTTTGTTTTACAATCAACAATTAACAATCACACACCAATTTACTCACAGTAAGTGTAACTTTTTTTTGTTCATATTAATTATATCAACACAATCAATTGGGGGAAGGAAGTGAATTAAAGTCTTAATTGTTTATAATGCGATTTTGATCAATCGTCAATGAAAATGAAAAAAATAAGCTTTTAAGATTTGAGATAATCAATCAATGGAAATCAAATTAATAGTAATTGTAGGAAAACAAGTCGCGTTAAAAGTTAATTGTTGTCTATTGCTAATTAACGTTGAATGTTAATCAATCGCGGAAGGAACAACGATTAGTTTCAACAGGGAACGGGAATGGGCTTTGACCTTAGATAATTCGTCAGAGAGAAAGAGATGATAAATGTCGCCAATTAGTAAAAGAAATTAATTGATGATGATTAGAGATATTGATTAACATCTAATTGGAAATAATTTGCTTCTGTAATTGTGATCATTGAATTAAGATAAAAAGGCCTCGGTTTCTATGAGTGATTCTAATCAGAACACCAGCAATTATTTTCTATGGTACCAACGAATCAAGATGACGAGGGGGTGGACTTTTTTTCTTCAATCAAAGTATAATCACCTTTTTCTTTCGCGTTTCTCTGTCTTCGTTTCGACGTATCAGCCGTTTAATCCGTTGAATAATTAGATTCTCTAATTAGAATCACAATTATCTTCATTTTCTTACACCTTTTCTTGGTGTTTCTCTCAATCAACAACTTGTTGGAACTTTTCATTTTCTTCTCTTTCTTTTTCTCTTTCTATTTACCATTATCTTCGTTATCTCTTCCCCAACGGAACATTAAGTCTTCATCTTTACTTTTTCATCTTTTTTTATTCTTTTCCTTTTCTTTTTATCGTAATAGTGAAACAAAAACAAAATCAAAGGAAAAACTTTACATAGATTTTTTGCTGATTTCCATGTTCCATTATTGTTGGAATAATATGAAACTCGTTAATTTAATTGTATCATCATCTCTTCAATAATCTATTCACATAAACGTTTTTCGTTCTCACAAATTTGGATTATACTTCACATTGAGATCGAAAGTTTTACTAATCAGTGACCTCTTTCTGTCTCTTTGTTTCCATCAAATTGGTGTAGATTTGACACTTTTGTAAAACTACCTGTTAATTGGTTTTCTTTTCATCGACAATCATCTACAGTTAATTTTAAATTTGGTTTCTATTTTCTGGCAAGTGTGATGCCTCTTCCTTGGAAATGTTTCCGTTCAAAGAATCCACAAAGAAGAGCCAGTAAAGAGATTGACAAACTGATTGGAACTTGGATGAAATGTTACAAAAAATCAATCAAATTGCTCCTTTTAGGTAAGAGATTGAGAGAGAAATATAATCACTTTTCTCTCTAATTAAACTAATTGTTGTTCCTCTCCAGGAGCCGGTGAAAGTGGTAAGACAACCATCTTGAAACAAATGAAGATCCTCCATATTGAAGGTTTCACCGAGGAAGAAAGGAAGGAGAAGGCTCAATGGATAAGGAGAAATCTTTTAGAAGCGATGAAAGTAAGTTAACGAAAAGAAAATGTCACTGGTGAGTCACAGTTGATAAGAGAATAAAAAGAAAAAGATAATAATTTATAAAAAGAACAAAAATTAAAAACGAAAAACTAATTATCTTTTTCTTTTATTCTCTTAAAAAAGGTAAGTAAAACTCTTAATATCTTTTATTTAACCTTCTTTTTTTATTCTATTCTTTTTTTCTCTCTTTCTTTTTTCCCTCTCTTTGTCTGATATTCTATTCTTTTCTAATCCAAATGTCTTTATCTTCTTCTTTATTAACTTGTCTCTCTTTCTCTCGGTGTGGTTAATACTCAATAGGAAATGTCAGAAGCCATGGAGCAATTAAATCCACCAATTGAACTAATCAACAGTGAAAACAAGGAGAGCTTTGAATATGTTAAATCAATGGAATTACCTGAGGATGATTATAATTATGATGAACGATTTTACAATCACATTAAATCACTTTGGTTTGATGAAGGTGTTCAACAATGTTTTAACCGATCCAATGAGTATTCACTAATTGACAGTGCCAAATAGTAAGTCCAATTATCTAATCTAATTGTTGTGTGTTCATCTTGTTTCTATCCGATTTAATCGTTTGGTCTTGTTTTCATTTTCTCTTTTACTAATTTTTATTCTTTTTCGTTCTTTTCTTCCTTTCATCAGCTTTCTAGATAAAATTGATATTATTTCATCTCCTGATTATATTCCAGATGATCAAGATATTTTAAGATGTCGCAGGAGAACCAGTGATATTCAAAAGATTGAATTTGAGGTTAAGGTTCCTCTTAAATATGGCGGCGGAGCTCAATTGTTTTGGTAATTATCATCTCTAATCAATAGACAAAGATTGAGTCAAGGGTTGAATGTGATGATGACTTTACAGAAATTCAACTCTTACAGTTTTCTACTGTTTTCATTTTTTTTTCTTGTCTTGATTTCCATTCTATGTTCATGACTAATACATTGTCATGAGATGAATATTCTAGTTAAAACATGATACATTCAATCGTTGACCAATCAAACTTTTCCTACCTTTTCCAATCAATCAAAAAACCTCTATCATTTATGCATTAACATACTCTTATTATTATTGATCTAAATTCAACACAATAACAATTACTCTCCACCCTTACATATTTAATATTTACTTATTGATCCTTCCAATAGATTGTCATTCCATTTTCTCATTTTGATATAAATCACCTGTTATCTGTTCTGTTTTCATTTACAAATGAAACTAATTTACTTTTTTCTTTCTCTTCCCTTTTGATGATTATCTTGTTTGGGGATAATTTTATTTACCTTCCATATCTACTTGACAACCTGAATGTCCATGACGACACCAATAAAATAACCTAACACATTAAGGATGTTTGATGTTGGTGGACAAAGAGGTGAACGGCGAAAATGGATTCAAGTATTTGACGGAATTACTGCTGTTCTATTTATTGTGGCAACCTCAGAATTTGACCAGAAACTTCGTGAAGACAAGACAACGAATAGATTAAGAGAAGCATTAACTTTGTTCGAGGAGGTTTGGAGTAGTCGATTCCTTCGAGACTCTGGATTCATCGTCTTCCTAAACAAACAAGATCTTCTCCGGGAAAAGATTAACAAGGGCCTCAAATTGCAAGATTATTTTCCCGAATTCGACACCTACAATGGAACTGTTCCTTTCGATGAACCTGATTATGAATATAGACGAGCTCGAGCCTTCATCAAAGATAAATTTGTCTCCATAACGAAAAAGTCTATCGACGAGGGAGAAAAAACTTCCAGCGATTACATAAGTTACGATACTTTAGAAAATCGAGGTCGGGAATGTTTCTATCATTTAACAACCGCAACGGATACGGATAACATTAGTAAAGTTTTCCAAGATATTCATACGATGATAATCATTTGGAATCTAAAGAAAATCTCAATAACATAAAAGTGCACCCGTTTGCCATATAAATACATTATACCGAGTTTTATGCATACAAATTATACATAAAAATTTTCTTTGTATATTAATTATCCTGTTGAAAGAAAGTTAATTGGAAATTACCTGTTTCTTTAACGTGTGAGATGAAATAACCAAATCATAATCAGAACTAAAGAGACTTGACTTAGGAGCAATTTGTTATAACGTAAACAAATTAAAATGATGGTGTAATCATTTTATATTACATTTTTCATTTCAACAATCAGTTAAATAATTGTTTTTTTTGTTTCAATATAATGTAATAATATAATGTGATATAATATAATAATACAATCTAACAATGATGCATTTGTTTTTCGATAGCAATTTGTTTCTCTAAAAAATTAAACAACTCAACAATTTAAATGTGTAATGTTGACACAAAAAAGCTATTTGATTGCCCGCTCTACGCTTTTTATGCAATTAAATTGATGATTATTGTTGAGTTAAACTCCTTTTCAAGTTGATTGTGTTGATGGCTGGAGATGATGATCGTGAAGATGAACATTTGATAAGAGAGGGAGAGGGAGAAGACAGAGAGGGTGATAAGTGGATAAGATTTAAAAATGATAAGGAGTAATTGTAACAGTCTAATAGATGAAAATAAACTCAGCAATTAGAGAATCTATTTAAATCTGATTAAGCAGAGACGCGGAGGTAAAAAGAGAGGGAGGGGAAGAAGAAGAAATTGAAAGTGGTCGATAACAGGAAAGGTGAAAGAGAGAGAGAGAGAGAGAGAGAGAGAGAGAGAGAGAGAGAGAGAGAGAGAGAGAGAGAGAGAGAGAGAGTAAACAATCCCATACATACACTGCTCGTATTGATGATTGAACATTTGAACAAAGAAAAGGCAAGAAAAATTTTGTAAATAATAATGATGATTGTTGCATGACAATAGATTAATTGTTAACCAACAATGAACTGTGTATGTATGGGTAAGTTTGATTTTCTGCAAGTAGAAGGATAAAATATGATTGGTTAAGTTAATTTCAAGAAATCAATCAATTGATTTGTGATTGAAAGATTTTCGATAACTGGAAAGGATCACTGGGCTTCACAGGTTTGAGAGTTGCTAAGGCGATGGAGAGCAAGTTCTGAGATGCCGCGATAATGGACCATGGCAGCGGCGATAACAAGGATATGGAAAATTTGGTGACTATGGAACCAGTAATCACATTTACCAGGGAAAAATCGCTCAGGAATACGACAAGCGTAAAGGAGAGCACCGCTCAGGTAAAGAACTGCCATGATTACAAGGCAGGTAAAGGAAGCACGAAGAGTCTCATCAGAAAACCAGTTATGAGAAATTAACCAATGGCCTCCGGGGAAAACACCAGACAAGCCAAAGAGCACGAAAACGGTTGCACGAACTGGTCTGAAATTAGGCTCACTGAATTTATCCCAAAGCGATAATATGATAACGAAAACGCAAAGGGTTGTGGTAAGTGCAGTGTACAAAAGTTTTGGATAATATTCACAATAGAATGCGTAATAGAGCCATGGAATAATGGACCCAGTGATGAGTAGAGCGATTCCACAATAATCCAATCTGAGAAGAAAATGATTATTGATAGAGAAGAGAAGAGAAAATTAAAACAAAGGAAAATAATAAGATGCCAATGATAATTGATTGAAAGTGAAACAATTGCGATCATTATCAATCTGGAGAAATCAAAAGACAATGGAGATGATAAGAGCCACCCACTCATGGACTGAATCGAAATAGAAAACACTTACTTGCTGAAAAATCTGCCAACTTGAGGTGAATGACAAGAAACTGTGTGATAGAAGGTTGAAAATCCAAGGCAAAGAACAGCACCAAGGAAAAAAGCACTGAAAATGAGTTTGTCCATGACAGACCAAGGATGGGGAGCAACGATTAATTTATACAGCGAAAGAAAAAGAAAGATGAGAAAACCGATTCCATGGGTCCAAATGTTACCTGTCTCTGTGTGTTTACGGAAAACTGACCAGAAACAGGCCTTGAATGATTGGAGTGGTGGTCGATGACCAGTGTGCAAATAATCATTATCTTGGAGCCATTTTGGAAGATGATGAAAGTGACAGACATTCCAAGCATCTTGAATGGTTTGCCTTACATAGGCTTCAGCTGAATCCTTTTTCTCGTAGGCTCGTCTTACCAGATCTTCAACTTGATGGGCCGCTGCTTTCGAGGCTCGGCTATGAAGTTGACACAGTTGTTCATACGCTGAATCCATGTTTTTAGCTTCACTTGGCTCGTAACAATCCCAAGGGAAAAGATCACCAGAATTGGGCAAAGTATCTGAGTTGTTATTCTCAATAGTAGATGATGATGGCGATGAAGATACAATTGAAGATGTTGTTGGTTTAGATGATGATGACGATGGACTGCAATACCAATCGATATTTTCTTCAACGGTTGTTGTGGTTGTTGTACTGTTGCAGTTGGTTCGTTGACGCTTTTGGACACCAAGAGTATTGATTGGCGATGATTTCTGAAAAGAGGCAACCATGATTGTTGATTAAATTTGTCGTTGATTAGAATATTTTATTTTTACAAAGTAAAGAAGATGAAAACACTAGTTAACAAAACAATCAACAAGAAGTGATTGTCACCAAATGGACGCAATAGTTGGCATAAAAATCGAGTTGAAACAAGAAAAATTGACTAATCAAATGGAAAAGAACAAGAAAACGATTAATGAAAATCAATATAATCTTTTAAGGAAGACGAAAGGTAAACAAGAACGTGAGCAGGGAATGGGTGAGATGTATCAGCGAATTGATTGTAAGATGATTGTGATGATGAAGAAAAAAAGGTGAAAAAATGGAGAGAAAATTTGAAAATGATCTTTTCTATCGATAGAAAAGATATAAATGAGAAAGAGAGAGACTTTAAAGAGATAGGATGTTGATTGAAGTGGTTAAAGATACAAGAACAATTTAATTAACCAAAATGAATTAACTTTTGTCTCTAAACAAAACAATTATCTTGTCTGTCCACTACGGAAGAATCAACAATCAAAGTTAATAGTTGATCATCTCACTATCATCAACATACTGGTCTCACTGGACTTTGAGCTCCTTTAATTTCTGGGTTAGAGACACTCACCGATCAACGATAACAACAGACTCACTCATTATCATCTTTCTCTCTCTCTCTCGCCTTTCTTTCACTTTTCAGCATCATCAACATCGTCATTATCATCATCATCATTTCAATGTTTGAAGGTGGTTTGCCTTAAGTGAAAAGGAGGCCAAATGGTTCAATGTTAATTGTAAAGGACACCCGGAAATGACCCTCATAACTTACCTTCTCTCTCTTTCTCACTCACTCTCACTTTCACTTTCACGGTTTACACTAAAAATTAAAACTTATCTTCATAATAAAATAATAATAATGTATATACAAAATAATATATCAACAACAATAATCTCAATATCAGTTAAATGACTTGAGGCAAGGTGAAACGGATTGCGCTGATTATGTCTGCGAACAACTCACTCGTTTTATTGAGTGATTTGATTTAATACTGATAAAGAGTCACTGTTAAGGTCAAGAAGGAGGGATTAGGAGAGATTGGAGGATGAAAGGGATGGTGATCATGATAATCATCGTGATTGGGATTATGAGATGAAGACAGGAACAAAGAATCATAATGATGGTTTTCTAAATCATTATTATATGAACCTTATTAATTTTCAATATTCTAAACATCAACATGTATTATATCCTTTGATGGTGCTAATGATTATGGTGGTGATAATGAAGCAAGAGAGAGAGAGAGAGAGAGAGAGAGAGAGAGAGAGAGAGAGAGAGAGAGAGAGAGAGAAAGGAAAGCGTAAGGCTAATTACACATAGAATTTCATGCAAGAGAAAGGAGAGAATAGAATAAAATTAACCTTTTAGCTGTTGAAATGCCCTTGAAGCACTGGAATAAAAAGAAAGCCTGTTGGGTAATTTTATAATTTCTTTTTCTCTAACAATTTAAATCTCTTTCAGCGACAAAGAGGGTAAAAGAGTTACATTGATAAACATCGTAGCTGTATGATCACAACGTCACATGTAGGAGGCTTTCAATCAACTTTGAACAAGGATCATGTTACCATAATTATGGACAGAGAGAGAGAGAGAGAGAGATAATAAAGGAGAATTAAATAAGAGAAAAACATCAACACTCAATAAGAACTAAAGAGTTTAATCACAAGGCCAAGGATAATCTTAATATTATCACACCAATTGAATGAAGAAAAAAGACTATAAACAGAAAGTATCATCATCAAGACTCTAACCATTTATATGGAAAAAAAATGAACAAAGGAAATGAGATCAAAAACGAAGAGAATAAATAATGGAGAATAATTTGATATGATAAATGTTAACTTACATGATCAATTTAGAGAACAATTTACAATTAGTAAAAGGTTAATAATCTAAAAGGTGATGATGATTCCAATAAACAATATAGAAACTAAACAACAATCAAGGATCCACAAATGATTAACATCTACATCATCAAGAAAAAAAAGGAAGACCAGACAAAAGAACAAATTTACCACAATTTAAATAGTAAAACACTCTAATTTAAGAGATGAAAAATTAGTGAACACTGAATAGTATTTCAACGAAATAGACTTATAACAATTAAAAGGATTAAGATGATTAATTAATTGTAATTAAATGCAACAACAAAGCTCAGCATTAACCTGAGTTTGTTTATCTTTCAATTGGAATCAAGAAGAACAAAAGTCAAGGAGAACCAACGCCATCTACCGTCGAATCACATGTCATTCATTTTATTCTTTTTCTTTTTCAAATTGATTGTTACCTAATCGAGTTAATCAACTGTGATAATCAAGAAGCAATTCTATTTTTATTAATTATGTTTTTCTTTTATTCATTAGCCAAACCTCCACAATTTCCATTGTTGTTTGGAACATGATAATTGCTACCAGAGAAAAGGAAAGAGTAAAGTTCATCTGTATGTTGTCTATTAATTCATTTCATTTGATTTCTTTGTTTACTTTTTTTCTCTTGTGTATTTTTTTTATATGAAAGAGGAAAGAAATTATTTATAAATTATAATCATGATGATTTAGTTTACAGTTTGATGATGATTATTTTACTTTACCAACTCTTACGTATTCATCACACGTGAACGTCAACTCTTTTTCTCTTTTTCAGTTTATCTTTAAATTTCTGATGATTCTAATTACCAGACTTTTTCTCTTTTCTCTTTGCAGGATTGGTTTATAGAAACGAGTTCTTTAACCAAAGTAATAAATCGGGTTTTCTTGTTTTCTTTTCTCTGGTATAACTTTCCTGGTTTTCCCTTTTTTCCATCTTCATCTTCTTCCATATTCCTGGTTCATCATCATTCAACCTTCATCAATATCTTTCTTCATGTGATAACCTTTTATTGGTGCAATCATATTCTCATTACCTGTTTGTTTACCTCTTCTTATCACTTACAACTTGTAATTAGCTTTAGAAACAGTTGCTGGATTAACCGATTATCTCAGATTATCATCATCAGTATCATCATTTCATGGGGGAAAATTAGGTTGATTTGTTGGTAAAGGTATTTTCTTTTTGTTGGTAAAAAAAGACAAACATTTCAAACTCCATTGATATTCTGACTGTTTGTTTCAATCGAAACAAAAAATTTAGAATAGAAAAAAAGAGACAATTGTTTATTCCTCCAATAAGGATACATCTTATTGGTTCATCTTCTTTTTTCCTCTTCTATTCTCTTCTTTTCAATCAGAATTTATCATCTAATAAGTTCCATTATCTTCTCAACTCTTTCCCCTTCTCTTGTTCTTTCAATTAATTAGATGAGGGAAGTAGAAAATTGTTTATTGTGATAAATCATTTTTCCATCAACATCATCACCATGAAGAGAAACAGTTGGAAATATTTCTTGTCTCGCTGAACATTAACCATGATTAAGATGAGATATGAACAATAATGGATCGAGATATGAATTCACAATCGACTCAATTGAACGAACAAGGGGAAAAGTAGCGAAACTTAGTTTCTATGGATAAACGTCAACGATATTCAAGTCGAAACTTTTTTCCTTGTAACTTTGTATTAATGGTGAAGAAAGTTGATCACCAACTGATTGTCTCCATTGCAATTTAATCGCTGTTCTAACTTTAGATTAACCTTAAGTCTTTTTCTTAATTGATTTACTTTTATTAATAGATTGCAACTGGTTGATTTGATTGGAATTAGATTGAAATTAGATTTGAATTGAATAACTGGTAATCAACGTTGGAAATTGAAAGACATGATAAACGAGATTTAAAGGAAAGTTAATGTCCAAAGGTCGGTGGATGACCTTTCATTTACTTCATCCCTGGTTAACAAAGAGAAACAAGGTTATCATCTTTAATCATCTTCTCCATCATCATCATCATCATGTTGAGATGATTAGAGAACAACTTTTCTGGTTCTTAAATTCCTGTTTCCTCTCTTTCTCCTTCAATGGTTAGAATTGTAATTAACTGGTTGAATAATGAGACTCATTGATTGTTACAATTTTCTCTTGTTGATTATTAGCTGATTTACTTTTCAATATAACAATTTGATTGTCTCATTTGATTTTCAATCTATGCGAAATTCAAATGAAGGAAAATGAAGTTTTTGATTAAATCACAGAAACAATTTGCTTGGTGCAATCAGCAGTTTAATTGCATAGAATTGAGCTAAAATCTATTACAATTTTTTTTTTCAACGAATTGAAACAAAAAACAATCCGATTTGAATGGAAACTTTTTTCTCTTTGATTTTCCATTGAGAGAAATCAAAGATTACTTAATTTCTTTGAAGATTCTGAGGTCGAGTTGTTGACCTCGGAATCGATCAGATAGAGAGCTGCTTTTCTTCCTGTTAGAAAAGCCCCATGAACCGTTGAGAAGAAAGAGGGATGACAAGCCTCACCAGCGAATAGAAGATCGGGTTTCTCTTGACCTGGATTCGAGTAAATTGGTTGTGCAAAGTTTTCAATATCATGGACAGAAGATTCTGAGGCTATGTAAGAATAAGATCCTTGAGAGAAAGGATCTCGTTTCCATTGAGTAACAATTAAGTTAATTGGATCTGGAAGATCGGGTGCTTTCAATATCTTTCTAATAAGTTGAACCAGATGAGTTTTGACTTTGGTCACTTGTTCGGTTTCAACGGCGATCGCTTCCTCTCCCGATAACCAGACCAAAAGACATCGATCACTAACCTTAGCGATTGAATATATTTTCGAAGCCCAACCAACTGATTGAAGGTCTTGAGGTAACCAAAATGTTAGAATCTCAGTTAACGTTGGATCGATAAACTTTGGGCTTAATGATTCATTGAATTCGATGAAAACTTTATCAACTATTCCAAAGCCCATTCGTTGGATACATTCAGATTTGTACTGAGGTAAAGGTGGATCAAAGAGGTCGACATGGGTCACTTTAAGGACTCCCAAAGGAATTGTACTGACAACATGGGCACAGGAATATATTTTCCCCGTACTGGTCGTTACACGAGTTGATTGGCTCGAAGTAGAACCAATTCCAGGCCAATGAATATTAGTAACCGAATGATTAAGAATAAGTTGAAATTTTTCTGGTCTCGAATCTCGTTGTAATTTAAACTGAATCTCGTCAAGTAAACAATCAATCAACTGACCATAACCTCCAGGTATTGTGACATTGCCTCCAGGCAGCTCTTCATAGGCACCGAAATAAGGTAGAGACACTTGATCCATTGAATGGCAGCCCGAAATACACGTTTCTCGAGCCATGAAATTGGCGAAAATGGAAGAGATTAAAATTCTATCTTGTTCATTAAGAGTATCCAAATATTTATCAATCTCTTTCTTCAACCATTTACCAACAGAATCATTGGTTGTCTCTTCTTGGAAAACGTTTCCCTTTTTGATTCCAACGTAAACGTTTTCACATTTCTTCAACATGGCGAAGTACAACTTGTAAACGGAAACAATTGTCTTGTAAGGTACCGGGTCACCGGCCGATGTGAGGCCACCCATTCGTGTGAATTCATCTTTACAAGACAATCCATTAATGTCCAAAGGATCAATCAGTTTATACCGAACTGCAAGATTGTAAATTGGATTGTTGATTATCCCGTGGATCCAATTGGCTCCTAATTCAATATTTTTACCACCAATTGTTTCACCAACGATTCGTCCACCGACTCGATTACGTCCCTCCAGTATAATCACCTTTCCCTTGTAATTTGATTCAACAATCAAATGGTAGGCACAAGAAACACCGGAAATACCAGCGCCTATTATTATTATATCACAATTTTCAGACTCGTTTTCTTCAATCATTTTGATGATATTGATAAGGAAAATTGATTCTCAATGAAACAAGAAAACAAACAAAAATTTACAAAAATTTAAAAGGTTAACAATTAATTAGTCATGAATAAGTGACAATTCCTTTGGGTGAAAACATAAACAAGTTCAGTTCCTTATCAGCTGATGGAGTCATAGTTACATAAACACTCAAGTGTAAGTAGGGAGAGTGATTGATAATTTAAAAAGAAAGACTTGATTCTTAAAAGTCTAACAATTAAAACTGTACAATTAATCATTTGGTCCTAAAATTAATTACAATCGGCAAACGAAACAATCAGTTGTATCACAACAGAAACCATTAGACAATTACGCATGTGTATGATTAGTTAATTGTTGAATTTCAGTAAATTAAAAATTTGTTCTAAAAAATTTATTTCTTTTCTTTCTACAATTAAAATAATAATAAATCATTAAATGTCCAGCATCTTGAAAATGACATTTAAGCTCTTGAATATGATTAATTTTTTTTATTCAAGTGGATAAGCAATTAAATTGATCTTTTCAATAACCACTTGGAATTGAAGTTGACAAACTTAATTGATCAGCAACGGGAACAAAAAGAGATCTGACTCGACCAAATAGTGAGGTACAATCATCGAAATTAGTTAAATTAGTTAAATGATATAAACCCAAACTAATCTGAACGCAGTTTCTTTATTCATTTTCCGCAGACTTTTGAATAACTGGATGAAATCAACCAAATAATTGCAAACAAAGTTAAATCAAATTGATACAATCAATTATTAATACAATTAAACTGGAAAATTAATTGGTAGTGATTAAAATGAGAAACATTCGCCATCTGGTGACAGCGAACCGACTCGGTTATAAATTTTCTTTGATCGCACTTAAAATTGCTCTAAATTAATTCGGTGATTAATTATATTAATTGTGTCTAAGTAACTAGCTATTTGATTAAACTAGTGAATTAAAAGCCTAAGTCTTCACGACAGACAAAAAATGAATATTACAGGCAAGAAAATAAGTGATAGATTATGTCGACGGTTACGAAAATGATGGAGAGGATAAAGATTATGATTTCATGTCCAAAGAAATGTATTCATTAATACTTTGTTACTACTTGAAGCAAATGTCAAATCTTGAAGTTCTTCGTCCTAGAGATGCACCGAGTAATTGTTATAATGATGAATCTACTAAGCCTTTCAGTTCTTAGCTCGTTTTTCCAATTTGCAAAGTGTTGTTGATGAAGTTTTCGAAGTTTCTAAAACTACAAAAGTGGACACACTTAGAACAAGAAAAGAGCCATATTTAGAAGGGTTAATCTCTTAGTGAACTAATCTCTTTGGTTATTTATTTAATCACATGACAAATGCATTAGGCATTTCTGCCAACAGGCTGCAATCACCATTAATAATCAAGCTCAACTTTAGCCTTTAACTTTAGCCCGATTTATTTCTAGAAAGGAATAAACTAATTAAATTTTTCTTTTTTTCGATTAATTAATTGAGCAACTTTTGATTACACATTGAAGTGATTCTCTTTTAATCGAATTGTAAAAAGTAGTTGACTGATCGGTTATGAGCTTTAAAAAGAAAGAAAAAGTGCTTGTGTTGGCGAATTTTTTAGCCGAGTGTACCCTTGCGCGCGGATACGGAAATCAATGAGTACAACCTCAACTTTTAACTGTTAAATGATAAAGAGATTATCATTGAAGATACCCTAGAGGTGTTACAAGTAGCTCTCGAGCTGTACCTCCATTTTTCAGTTGAAATAAATACCTAATCAAGTTAATCAACTGTGATAATCAAGAAGCAATTCTATTTTTATTAATTATGTTTTTATTTTATTCATTAGCCAAACCTCCACAATTTCAATTGGTGTTTGGAACATGATAATTGCTACCAGAGAATAGGAAAGAGTAAAGTTCATTCTATGTTATCAAAAATGAATAATTATTAAGCTAAAATGATAGAGAGGTTCAATCGTTGAAGGTCACCTAGAGGTGTTACCACCTCTCGAGCTGTATCCTCGTTTTTCAGTTCAAATAAACCTCTGGATGATAAAATGATGATAAAAAATAGAGTATAAACACTGAATATATACAGAATTCGCACTTGTTAGAAGATTAGCTATTCGCTAATAGTAAATCTGTTAATCTCTTCGATGTTAATTTTATTATTTATCAGTAGATGATTTGATTGATTTTGGTAAATTTGTTGTTTGTTTTCTTGTTTCATCGAGAATCAATTTTCCTAATCAATATCATCAAAAGCTTTGCTCATATCCAGGCTTAGTATAATCTCGTTCGTCAGGTTAATCACAATCTCTTTGATTATATCTGCAAAGAAGCTTTGTCGGGTCTTAAACCTTTGATATGCACATCGTAGATTTGGATATAATAATCTGGGTAATAATATTTGAACCTCCGCAATTATTATTTAAAATAGATAATTCTGTGTTTGTTATTTAGTTTACAGTTTTATCTGTAATTTCTTGATAGTCAGGTGAGTAATATTGATTGATCATCGTCGTGAGTTGAGGTTGTTTAGTTGGTAATGAGAGGGAGGTAATCATTGAAGGTTACCTAGAGGTGCCACAATCTCTCTATCTGTACCCTCGTTTTTTAGTTCAAATAAATCCCTGGATGATAAAAAATAGTAAATGGCAATCGAGTATCAACACTGAATATGTACAGAATTTGCACTTATTAGAAGATTAGATATTCAGAAATGGCTAAGTCTCTTAGTCGACTAGTCGAATGTTTCCTGGCTGAGACTGAGCCGTTAAAATTTTCACTCACTGATGCGACTATTTAAGGCCGTCCTAGTAAGGCGTCTAGTGTTACTTTAACAGAGGTGTAATAGCGTAAGTTTTTGTAAACTTTTTGTTTGTTTTCTTGAACAGTTTTGTTAAACAATATCATCAAAATGATTGAAGAAAATGAGTCTGAAAATTGTGATATAATAATAATAGGCGCTGGTATGTCCGGTGTTTCTTGTGCCTACCATTTGATTGTTGAATCAAATTACAAGGGAAAGGTGATTATATTGGAGGGACGTAATCGAGTCGGTGGACGAATGGTCGGTGAAACGATTGATGGTCAAAATGTTGAATTAGGAGCCAATTGGATCCACGGGATAATCAACAATCCAATTTACGACCTTGCAGTTCGGTATAAACTAATTGATCCCTCGGCCACTGATGGATCATCCGAAGATGGATCATCTGAAGATGAATCCCCACGAATGGTTGGCCTCACATCGGCCGGTGACCTGGTGCCTGAAAAGACAATTGCTTCCGCTGACAAGTTGTACTACTCCTTATTGGATAAATGTGAAAACGTTTACAATGAAATCAAAGAGGGAAAAGTTTCCGCAGATGAGATAATCAATGATTCTGTTGGTGAATGGATGAAGACGGAGATTGATAAATATTTGGATACTCTTGATGAACAAGATAGAATTTTACTCTCTTCCATTTTCGCCAATTTCATGGCTCGTGAAACGGGTCTTTCGGGCTGTCATTCAATGGATCAAGTGTCTCTACCTTATTTCGGTGCCTATGAAGAGCTGTCTGGAGGCGATGGCGTAATACCAGGAGGTTATGGTCAGTTGATTGATTGTTTACTTGACGAGATTCGGTCTAAATTACAACGAGATTCGAGACCAGAAAAATTTCAACTTATTCTTAATCATTCGGTTACTAATATTCATTGGCCTGGAATCGGTTCTACTTCGAGCCAATCAACTCGTGTAACGACCAGTACGGGGAAAATATATTCCTGTGCCCATGTTGTCAGTACAATTCCTTTGGGAGTCCTTAAAGTGACCCATGTCGACCTCTTTGATCCACCTTTACCTCAGTACAAATCTGAATGTATCCAACGAATGGGCTTTGGAGTAGTTGATAAAGTTTTCATCGAATTCAATGAACCGCTAAGTCCAAAATTTATCGACCCGTCGTTAACTGATTGTCTTACATTTTGGTTACCTCAAGACCTTCAATCAGTCGGTTGGGCTTCGAAAATTTATTTTATCGTTAAAGTTAGTGAGCGATGTCTTTCGGTCTGGTTAACAGGAGAGGAAGCGATCGCCGTTGAAACCGAACAAATGACCAAGGTCAAAGCTCATCTGGTTCAACTTATTAGAAAGATATTGAAAGCACCCGATCTTCCAGATCCAATTAACTTAACTGTCACTCAATGGCATCAAGATCCTTTCTCTCGAGGATCTTATTCTTACATAGCCACAGGATCTTCTGTCTCTGATATTGAAAACTTGGCACAACCAATTTACTCGAATCCAGGTCAAGAGAAACCCGATCTTCTATTCGCTGGTGAGGCTTGTCATCCCTCTTTCTTCTCAACGGTTCATGGGGCTTTTCTAACAGGAAGAAAAGCAGCTCTCTATCTGATCGATTCCGAGGTCAACAAATCGACCTCAGAATCTTCAACTGGAACAATCGTACCATAGATGAGGAGTCAAAAACAAATTGGACAAATCATTTGGACTAAGACCAAATTATTATTTCAAATATTGTAACATTTAATCTATTGTTATTAAAAATGGGTAATTATAAGTAAATTAATTCGATGGCAAAATAATTCAGACCATTTTCCCGTTTTGGGATGAATTTCACTAAAAGCGCTCAAAGTCAGAACAAAAAATTACAAATGTGTTGATTTGTTTTTACTCTTAAGCTCAAAATCAGATAAAATCGCATCTAAAATATTAGGCTAAAAGCAGCTTAAAATGTCTGATGTCCTTTAAAAGGTTAACAATTAATTAGTCATGAATAAGTGACAATTCCTTTGGGTGAAAACATAAACAAGTTCAGTTCCTTATCAGCTGATGGAGTCATAGTTACATAAACACTCAAGTGTAAGTAAGAAGAGTGATTGATGAATATTTAAACCACTATGATTAGTTAATTGTTGAATTTCAGTAAATTAATCGACAAAATTTGTTCTAAAAAATTTATTTCTTTTCTTTCTACAATTAAAATAATAATAAATCATTAAATGTCCAGCATCTTGAATATGATTAATTTTTTTATCCAAATGGATAAGCAATTAAATTGATCTTTTCAATATCCACTTGGAGTTGAAGTTGACAAACTTAATTGATCAGCAACGGGAACAAAAAGAGATCTGACTCGACCAAATAGAGAGGTACAGTCATCGAAATTAGTTAAATTAGTTAAATGATGTAAACCAAAACTGAGTCCAATAATTTCTGAGTCTTTATCAATCCATCCATAAGGAATTGTCGGTCTTGGTGTTGACGGTGAAGCGACGAAGATGCTTGAAGGATAAATTGCATTAAATTCATCGAAAAATTGCTTAATTGTCTCAGGTAATTCAACAATAACAATTAGGCAACTATTTCCATACAGTAAAATGGACCCAATTAGACCAAAAATTAACGATTGATCGGGAATCGCTTCAATCTTATCAAAATGAACAGAAATGATACCAATCGGTTCGAGTTGACGTAACATTAAGCATTTGTTGATTGTCTCAAAACTGGAATGATTAAGTTGAGCTTTTCGAACCAAGTCGATGGCCTGTGGCGTGATTCTTTCATTTCTCCATAAAATGGAAGCGATTACGTTGAATCGATCTTCGATTCCCAATGAAACGAAATTCTTATTGCCTTTCAATGGCATTTTCCACAAATTAACATCATCAATATGAGGTGAAAACGAAGCCATTGGAACACGACTTTGAAATGATGGTTCTCCCAAAAGTTTATATTCAATGTTTGTGTGATTAAGGAAAGTGTGAGTTCTCGGTGAAGGACAATCATTAATTGTATTGACGGTGAAAAGGTGACAATTAGTTATTTCTTTGGTTATTTCAAATGCACTTGAAATATTGGATGTCCACAGACTCGTACTGCGGATCATTTGGTATCGTTTAATTATGGAAATCAGTTCATCAATCTTTCGAAAGGTCAACAATTTAATGCTTTCCTCATCAGGATTATCAGAAGGTGTTAAAATCGGATTAATTGCATCAATTTGTAATGCAACTTGTAATCTCTCTGATTTGGTTAATTTTGCTTCAAACTTTTCAGCAATTTTTTTTCTGACGCTTTGTTGAATCCAAATGTCAACCTTACGATGGACAACTGGAAGGCTACTCAACATGTCCAGCAATCGGTCAACGGATGAAAAAATATCAGCATCGTCAAAGATAATTGCCAAGGTGGGTGGATATGTAATTGTTTTGGTTGTAGACGGAGGTGCAAAGTCAGGGGCTGGTGATGGTTCATCTTGAAGTGCGACTGTTACACTCACTAAATTAGACTTCTTGATTGCATCAACAATTAACTTCAATCCTGCATAAACATCAGCATTTTTGTATGGCACAAGGAACTCAAAATGATTGACAAGTGTTAAATTCGGGATCAAAAGAGTTTCCAAAATCTCTAAGATGCTTTGATTCGGGTTAAGGCAAATTTGTAAGGTGGTTTTTGGCTTATCCTTTGGTTGCGTTTTCAATAGTAACTTTATTGATGCCAATGAAGTTTTCACTCGACTCAAAATCAAACCATAATCGGTGTTAGTGATGATCGATTCAAGAGAAGCAAACAATTGACAGTCATCAATTGATGACAAGATTGTCCGGAAAATTATAAATCGGGTAAAAATATCAGCATCAGATTCACTTGAAGTGAATTCAATTTTAGAAAATTTTATGTATTGAGTTAATGATGAATAACCACCAATGTAGATTGGAAACAGAAAATATCCTTTACCTGTAAACAGAAATAAGAGTAGATAATTTTAATGAGACGCTCTAATCTAATCAAATTAATCACATACCAGGGTGACTTTTGTAATCAGCATGGAATTTGTTACTCGGAGCTTGAATCCAATTCTATTAGAAATATAAAGGAATCAAAAGAGAAAATAATTACAATAGAAAATGGTAAACAATTGAAAAGATTTAGCATAAAGAACAGAAAAAGTTTCATAGATTACCACTAATCTGACCGCAGTTTCTTTATCCATGTTCCACAGACTTTTGTTTAACTGGATGAAATCCACCAAAGAAGCGAAAACAAGTTAAATCAATTACAATTAAAGAGAAACTTAATTGGTGGTGATTAAAATGTTACAACAATAAGTTTATCAAACAGATGAACAGAATCTGTTCAACAGATTAAATTATCGCCGAAAGAGAAAATTTCGCCATCTGGTGACAGCGAATCGACTCAGTTATCATTTTCTTTTCTTTTCTTTTTAAATCAACAATTGATTAATAAGAGTTCAATTTAATCCAGTTTATGAAAATTTGTTCTTTCTTTTATAATTTTCATTCATTTTCTAGAAATAATTACATTTGTGAAAATGGAATTGGGTGATTTACCGTACGAGTGTTTATTGTGTATATTTGATTGTTTTTCGAATCTCAAACTGCTTTTGAATCTGTCAACAGGTAAGACAATTTTGCTGCTTTTTCTATTTAGAAATGAGATTTAATTCATGTTTTCATCGTTTTACTTGATTGGTCAGTTTGTAAACAATGGAACATTTTGGTGAAACAGCGACTGAAAAAAATTCGACATTTACATGGTAAGTCAATTTCATATCGCTCATTGGAAAGGTAGAATTAATTTTGTTATTCTTTTGCATTATTCTTCTAATTAAGTCGAGAGTAAATCCGATTTATCATATGTCCCTTTTTCATCTGACAATCACATCTACACGGATGATATTGGATATTTGGAAAGAGTTAATGTCTCTCAGTTATTACCGAACCTTAAGGTGAGATCATACCTGTCTATAAGAGAGGAAATGAATAATCAATTTATTTTCAATTCGAACTTTTCCAGTTTTTTACTAAAAAACCTTATCTAGGGTCAAGATGTACCTGTAAAATGATGGTAAATGTTTTGTCCACTTCGAAACCGTTGGTTGGACTCATTTGTAAAGCTCAATGTCTTGTCGCAGGAAGGATGCTAGGCTTTTACTGCCACGTCAATGTCGATGAGATGGTTAAACACTGTGGTAACCTCGAGTATCTGGACACCTTGTTTCAACCTTTTCTGCATAGCTATTTCTTAAAATATAAATTCGGACAAAATTTGAAATATTTTGAAGGTTCAATCGAAAGTTACAACGAAGATCCGGAAAATAAAGATTATGAAACGCTGTTGGAGGAAACAAATTTGCTATGTTGCTACTTGAAGCAAATGTCAAATCTTGAAGTTCTGAGTTTGAGAGAACCACTAAGTAATTATATCAAATAAGTTATTGGTCATCTATACTAATCGTCTTTTTTTCGCATTCAGTTGAACCTCGTCTTTGGCCTTTACCAAAAATGAAATTGGAAGAGATTCGATTTAAGGATATAACCACAGAAACGCCAGTCTTCCAGTTCTTGCCTTTGCTCCCTGATTTACGAAGTATCGATTTGGGTATTCGTTATGTTAACCATGATAATGAAGCTTTTCGTGATTCGTATACTCATCTGAATGTCCAAGATGTAGCTCTAGACATCCAGGTCGTAAGTTTTTTATCTTTATTTTCCTTATTCTAATTTTAATTTCATTTATAATTCAGTTCGGAAGGTCGAGTATCAGATGCTTGAAGCTGATTAGAAGTATTTTGATCAAGTTTCCTAATCATAAAAGACTGTTCATTCGTCTCACTTACCAATTTTCGATAACTAATGAGGATTTGGTTCAGATAATCAAAAATTCACCGAATTTAACTCTATTTGTCTTGGATGTAATGAGTTGGGGAGATGCAAATACTATTGAGACAATCGATAAATTCTGTAAATCAACAGGTCGTCGAATATCCTTTTACTTGCTTCGCGATGATCGCACATGGAATTACTCTGTTAGAACTGGATCATATACACGATATGTATTGGGAGAAGATTGTGCGAATCCTGGAACGACTGATAACAAATTCTTACAAAAGTACGTTTATTTAAATTCGTATTAATTAAGCTCGAATTTTTAATCACTCCAACTTTTTTTCTCAACATATCAAAAGAAAATTCGAGTGTTTTTTATTATTCGTTAAATTTTTCGACAAAATTAAAATGTTTCTTTGAGAAAATAGTTGTTAACTTCATACTGAATTCATATTCTAGAAACAATTAAATTTTTGACAATGGAATTAACTGATTTACCTTACGATTGTTTATCGTATATATTTGATTGTATTCCTGACCTTAAATCGCTTTTGGATATGTCAACAGGTAAGACAATTTTTTTGCTTCTTATTTAGAGTTTAGATTAAATTCATATTTTAATATGTTAATAAGCAATGGAACATTTTGGCGAAACGAAGAATCAACAAAATTCGATATTTACATGGTAAGTTAATAATAAGGTAATTTAATTTTGAATTACAAAAAGATTAAATTAACTGCATCTTTTCAATTCTCCTTATCCATGGACAAAGTTGAGCAAGATATCGAACCTGATCTTGCAGCGTCTCCCAATCATCTTTATACGAATGAATCCATTTTCAGCAGAATGTTGATTAGCTGGATAAGATTAACCAAAGAAATGAAAACAAGTTAAATCAATTAAAATTAAACAGAACTTAATTGGTGGCAATCAACAACAATAAGTTTATCAAACAGATAGAAAATGAGAAACTTTCGCCATCTGGTGACAGCGAATTGACTCAATTTTCTTTTTAAACCAACAGTTGATTAATAAGAGTTCAATTTAATTCAGTTTAGAAATTTAAACGTTCTCTTCAATATTTTCATTTATTTTCTAGAAATAATTAAATTTGTTACGATGGAATTGGGTGATTTACCTTACGATTGTTTATCGTGTATATTTGATTTTATTCCTGATCTTAAATTGCTTTTGAATCTGTCAACAGGTAAGACAATTTTGGCTGCTTTTTCTATTTAGAAATGAGATTTAATTCATGTTTTAATCATTTTTCTTGATTGGCCAGTTTGTAAACAATGGAACATTTTGGTGAAACGGCGACTGAAAAAAATTCGACATTTACATGGTAAGTCAATTTCATATCCCTCATTGGAAAGGTTCAATTAATTTTGTTATTCTTTTGCATTATTCTTCTAATTAAGTCGAGAGTAAATCCGATTTATCATATGCCCCTTTTTCATCTGACAATCACATCTACACGGATGATATTGGATATTTGGAGAGAGTTAATGTCTCTCAGTTATTACCGAACCTCAAGGTGAGACTATTACTTAAGGATTAGAGACAAAATGACTCATCAATTTACTTGCAATCTGAAATTTTTCAGTATTTCTCCAAAAGCTCTTATCTGACTGGAAAATGTACCTGTAAAATGTTGCTCAATGTTTTGTCATCAACATCGAACCCGTTAATTGGACTCCATTCTGAAGTTCCATGTGATTTCGGCTCTGGCTGCCACGTCAGTCTCGATGAGATTGTTAAACACTGTGGAAGCCTCGAATATTTGTATTCATTGCATGAACCATTTCGTGACAGTTATTTCTTTAAATATAAATTCGGGCAAAAATTAAAATACTTTGATGGGCATTTCGAAGGATACTTTGATCTTGAGTCAGATGAAGAAGAAGAAGAAGATATAGATTATGATTCCAGATTTGAAGAAATAAGTTTACTATGTCGCTACTTTAAGCAAATGCCAAATCTTGAAGTTCTGAGTTTGGATAAACCACTAAGTAATTATATTAGAAAAGTGATTGATCATCTATTCTAATCGTTTTCTTTTCGCCTTCAGTTGAACCTCGTCTTTGGCCTTTACCAAAGATGAAACTGAAAGAGATTCAACTCCGAGACATAAGATCGAGTTCGTCAGTCTCCCAGTTCTTGCCTTTTTTTCCTGATTTACGAACTATCCGTTTGCATATTCGTGAAGTCAAGGATAAAGGTTCTCCTGATTCGCATATTCATCTGAATGTCCAAAATTTTTTTCTAAACATACACGAAGTAAGTTTTTTATCTGCATTTATTTTCGTAATTCTAATTTTAATTCTATTTGTCATTCAGCCTCAGAGCTCACACGTCGAATCATTGAATTTAGTTAAAACTGTCATGGCAAAGTTACCTAATTGTACAAACCTATGCATTCTTCTCCTACAAGGGGTTATCACGATAACTAATGGAGATCTTATCGAGATAATCAAAGTTCTGCCAAATCTAACTCTATTTGTCTTGGATGTAGAGAATTGGGAAGATGCGAATATCATTGAGACACTCGATAAATTCTGTAAATCAGTCGGTCGAAGAATAAATTTTATCTTGCGTGGCACTGCACATCACGGAACAAAGGGCGCTCGCTCATATACACGATACATATTGAACGAAGATGTTTCGAGTCCTTTAAAGATCGATTATGAATTCTTACAAATGTGCCACGTTTATTGAAATTCGTATTAATTAAGCTCAAGTTATTAATCACTTCGACTTTTTTATGCTCATCAAAAGATACTGTAAATGTTTTCTATTCGTTGGATTTTATTGCCAAAATAAAGTTGTTTTTATGAGAAGACAATTTTTAATTGTGAATCTTTGGTTGCATTTTAATTGAATTGCTGTTCTAAAAATGGAATAGTAAATGATGATTTATTCTTTTATCGATTAATCGACAAGGATTAACTCTGGAAAGTTAAATATAAGAAATTGGTCGGCGTGTTGGGGGCGAATTAGCCAAGGGGTATTTTGCTTTTTTTTAAAACTCCAGTTGAACTACTCAGTACAGAAGATTTAACTAGAAAACTAGAAACTTTTCTACAAATAATTACATTTGATACAATAGAATTGACTGATTTACTTTACGATTGTTCATCGTGTATATTTGATTGTATTCCTGATCTTAAACTAATACTTTTGGATCTGTCAACAGGTAAGATGATTTTTGTGGTTTTTTATTTAGAAATGCGATTAATTCATACATTTATTGTCATCATTGACCAGTTTGTAATCAATGGAACATTTCGGCGAAATAAAGACTGAACAAAATTCGACTTTTACAAAAAGATTGAATTAACTCTGCCATCTTTTCAATTCTCCTTAACCGTGACCACAACGCGATATCGATTTTGACCTTTTAGCATCTCCCAATCATCTTTATACGAAAGATGTCGAATTGATGGAGAGGGTAAATGTCACTCAAATTTTCCTCAATCTCAAGATTTTCTCCAAATGTTATACTCTCGAAAAAATGTGTACCTGCAAAATGATGGTCAATGTTTTGTCAACTTCAAAACTGTTGATTGGACTCATTTGCGACCTTTTCGCCGTAGTTATTTCTTAAAATACATATTCGGCCAAAATTTGAAATACTTCGAAGGTTCGATTGAAGGTTGCGAATATGAGGAAGATAAAGATTATGATTTCATGTTCATAGAAATCTATCTACTGTGTTACTACTTGAAACAAATGCCAAATCTTGGAGTTCATCATATGAAAGAACCGCCGAGTAATGATGAATTATTAATAATATTTGTAAATGAATTTTCATATTAATGACTTTTTTATTTACTTAGTTGAACCTCGTCTTTACCGGAAAACAGGAACCTAAACAGATCATCATAGCGACGAAACATTGGCCTTCGATATATCGTTTTCTAGATTTACGGAGTGTTTCTCTGGATATTCGATCAGTGAGAGGTGAAGATGATTCTTTCAAATTTTCTAATACTCACCTGAATATCCAAGATTGCGATTGATTTTCTTTGGTATCTTATCATTTTTATTCTAATTCTGAATTCTACATAGGATTGTATTTATCATCCAGTATAAATACTCGCCTGTCGTTGAAGCTGATTAAAAGTGTTATGGTCAAGTTCCCTAACTGTACAAACCTGTGCATTCATCTCATGAAAAAGATTTTAATAACTAATGAGGATTTGATCGAGATAATCAAAATGTTGCCCAATTTAACTCTCTTTGTTTTGGTGATAAGCAATTGGGGAGACACAAATACTATTGAGACAAGCGTTAAATTCTATCAATCGCCAGGTCGTCGAATATCCTTTTACTTGCTTCGCGATGATCGAATACGGAATCGCACGACCAGAACTGGATCATATACACGATATGCATTGAACGAAGATGTTGCGGATCATTTGAAGACCGACAACAATTTCGTTCGGAGCTTTTTTCGTTGTGAAAAAAAAACCAATTTTTCTTCAAACAATTGGTTGTCCAACATTCGGTTTTTCTTATCAATTGTAACTACAAGTTAAAGTTATCATTCATCTCGATAATAATCTAGTATATAATAGTTTTCTACTTTGATATTAGTTCAATCCAGTCATCTCTCTCTCTCTCTCATGCTACCACCTTTTTGATTGTCAAGACAATTTGATACTTCAGTTTCTAATTGTTATGTGTGCATTGTTGTTCATTTATTGATTCAATTTTTCTTCTAACAAAAGGAAAAAGTCTTATTTAATCTCTTATCGGTTGTCAAATAAGATTAACCATGGACAATTAAATACAAGTACTTTGGGGGTCTGTTGATAGCAAATCAGTTTTGGGGCTCAATCATTTTGCTTTCCTTCTGGAAAACTCCAATTGAACTTAATTAGTATAGAAATTGTAACTTGTTGAATATTCTCATTCTGGATTTCATTCATTTTCACAAACTAATTACCTTTGTGACAATGGAATTGCGCGATTTACCTTACGATTGTTTATCGTATATAATTGATTGTATTCCTGACCTTAAATCGCTTTTGGATATGTCAAAAGGTAAGACAATTTTTCTGCTTCTTATTTAGAGTTTTGATTAAATTCATATTTTGATCACTGATCAGTTTGTAAACAATGGAACATTTTGGCGAAACGAAGACTGAATAAAATTCAACATTTACATGGTGAGTTGATAGTAAGATAATCTTATTGTGATTTACAAAAAGATTGAATTAACGCTGCCATTTTTGCATTTCTCCTTAGCAATGGCCAAAGTTGAGCTCGATATCTATTCTGACCTTGCAGCATCTCCCAATCATATTTACACGAATGATGTTGGATTGATGGAGAGAGTAAATGTCTCGAAAATGTTTCCAAATCTCAAGGTGAGTTCACTTAACAAGCAAAAAGTCTTTCTCTAATCCATTTCTCTTCGAACTTCAAGTTTTTCACTAAAAGTGATATGCTTTATACCCAATGTACCTGCAAGATGATGGTCAATGTTTTGTCAACTTCGAAACCATTAATTGGGCTCATTTGTAAAGAGCCATGTCTTAGTTCAAATTCTCTAACCAGTTTGTGCTGCTTCGATATCGATGATATTGTTAAACATTGTGGTAGCCTCGAGTACCTGGATTCCCATGATGAACATTTTCTTGAAAGTTATTTCGTAAAATATAAATTCGGCAGAAATTTGAAATATTTTGAAGGTTATGTCGTAGGTTACGAAGATGCTGAAGAGGATACAGATTTTGATTTTTTGTTTGAAGGAGTCTCTATACTTTGTTCCTACTTTCAGCAAATGCCAAATCTTGAAGTTCTGCATCTGAAAGACCCACCGAGTAATTATAATGATTTGTCATCTGAAATCTTTTGGTATACTAATGACTTTTTCTTTACTTAGTTGAACCTCGTCTTTGGCCTTTACCTAAAAACATGAACCTAAAACAGATCGATTTTGACATCATATCGACAAAAACATTGGCCTTCGAGTTCTTATCTCGTTTTCCCGATTTACGGAGTGTTTCTCTTGATATTCGATCAGTGGAAGATAAAGATGATGTTTTCAAAGTTTCCGATGCTCATCAACATATCCAAGATTGCGCTCTACATATTGGAGGAACAGTAAGTTTTATGTGCTATCTTATGAATTTATCTCAAGTTCGAATTCTATCCATCATCTAGTATCAAAGCTCACCTGTCAGACCGTCGAAGCTGATTAAAAGTGTTATGGTCAAGTTCCCTAATTGTACAAACCTGTGCATTCATCTCATGAAAAAGATTTTAATAACTAATGAGGATTTGATCGAGATAATCAAAATGTTGCCCAATTTAACTCTCTTTGTTTTGGTGATAAGCAATTGGGGAGATGCAAATACTATCGAGACAATCGATAAATTCTGTCAATCGTCAGGTCGTCGAATATCCTTTTACTTGCTTCGCGATGATCGAATATGGAATAGCACGACCAGAACTGGATCATATACACGATATGCATTGAACGAAGATGTTGCGAATCATTTGAAGAATGACAACAAATTCATTCGGAGCTTTTTTCGTTGTGAAAAAAACATTCAACTTTTCTTCGAAGAACTGATTTTTCAGGATTTTGTTTCCTCATGCAAGTGAAAATAATCAAGCATTCCAATAATAATCGTGTATATTATTATAATAGTTTTCGATCTTGATGTTAGCTTAATCCAGCCATCTCTTTATCTTGTTGCTATTAACTTTTAGACTATCAAGACAATATGATAATTTTTTGATTGTCAATTGTTTGTTTACTATTTACTTGAGTCAATAAATGATCCAAGTCATTAATTCAAACAGTAAATGTTTTATAAATAAAATCGTTTAATTATTAGTTCAAGAGAATCAAAAAATATCAGCTAATAATTTTAGCTGAAAAACTGAGCTTCAAAGTTTCGTTGTATTTTATGCAATCCGATCCATTAATCGCTAATTATAAATCGTCAAGTAAATTTAAATAATTGCTCATTGTGTATATCTTTTGATTAAATTTCTCTTCCAGAAAAAGTAAAAAGTCTTATCGAGTCTCTTATCAATTAGTCGAAAAGAATAACCATGGACAATTAAACATAAGTACTTGGGGTGTCCGGTTGTAAGCTTCAGCATTTGGCTTTTCTTTTGAAAAACTCCAATTGCACTTAATTAGTATAGAAATTGTAACTTGTTGAATATTCTCATTCTGAATTTCATTCATTTTCACGAACTAATTACATTTGTGACAATGGAATTGGATGATTTACTTTACGATTGTTTATCGTGTATATTTGATTGTATTCCTGATCTTTTATTACAGTCATCCCAACCAAAAAGAAACAGTTTGCAACGAGCAAGAAACGGTCAATAGTCAATATTTTGCTCTCTCGGTTTTTGACCGATTTACCTAAAGCTCCAGTTTCGTATTATCGATTAAGTTTATTAATCACTAAAATGATGATCAAAAATTAATTTTTGCATCTGATTTGTAGTCATTGATAACTTTTGTATAATTTTTACTCAACTGTTTCACCTAAAATGCAAACTGTTTCTCGTCGTTTGCAAAGTGTTCCCTCTATTTTCAAAGGTTAGGACCTTTGAGTTGGAAGACAAGAGTCGTAAAATCTTCCCCACCCCCGTTTCTTGCTCGTTGCAAACTGTTTCTTTTTGGTTAAAAAGACTGTAATTTGACATTTACATGGTAAGTTCATAATAAGGTAAGTTCATTGTGATTTACAAAAATATTAACTATGCGTCTTTTCAATTGTCTTTATCCATTAAATTAATGCTACCATATTTTCAATTCCAATTGCCACCAAAGTTGAGCACGATATCGATTCTGACCTTGCAGCATCTCCCAATCATCTACACACGAACGTTAGTGGATTGGTGAAGAGAGTAACTGTCTCTCAAATGTTTTCCAATTTTATCAAGTTTAATATATTCAACAAAAATAAAAAAAATCTTTTTCTAATCGATTTCCACACTGAACTTCAAGTTTCCAACTAAAGGTGATACGGCCTGGACCACGTGTACGTTTAGATGGTCAATGTTTTGTCAACTTCGAAAAGTTGATTGGACTCGTTATTGGCTTAGATCCATGTTCTTTGGAAAATCCAGATACATCTGACACTTGGTTTCATGTTGGTGTCGATGAGGTCGTTAAACACTGTGGGAGCCTTTGGATTTATTGTATCGACCTTTTATTCGTAGTTATTTCTTCAGATTTAGATTCGGCCGAAATTTGAAATACTTTGAAAGTTATATGCATGATTATGATTTCAATCTAGTCTATGATCGCGCTCTTGGTTTTAAAGACACGCGTTTTCTGAGCCGGTAAGACTCAAGATATGTCCGTCAGCTCGATATTTAAACTTTGAGCTGATTTTTTTTCGGCTTAAAGTTACAGCTACATATGAAAATGGACTTAATTGTTCAGTTAATTGTGTTTGTTTAAATTAGGTTAGGTTAGGTCTTCGCTAATAAGGGTCACTATGACCAAAGAAAGGCCCGGAGGGCCTGAGACAATCAAACCGAACCTTAAGCCGAGAAAAAAATCAGCTGAAAATTGAAAATATCGAGCTGACGGACATATCTTGAGTCTTACCTCTGAGCCTTATCAGAAGCTGATTGAAAGTGTTATGGTCAAGTCGCGTTATTTGCCTTGGATGTGAAGAATTGGGAAGATGCAAATATCATTGAGACAATCGATAAATTCTGTAAATCATCAGGTCGAAGAATCAATTTTATCCTGCGTGGCGATGGCCAAACAATGGGCGCTCACTCATATACACGATACATATTGAACGAAGATGTTGCGAGTCCTTTAAAGATCGATTATGAATTCTTACAAATGTGCCACGTTTATTGAAATTCGTATTAATTAAGCTCAAGTTATTAATCACTTCGACTTTTTTATGCACATCAAAAGATACTGTAAATGTTTTCTATTCGCTAAATTTTATTGCCAAAATAAAGTTGTTTTTATGAGAAGACAATTTTTAATTGTGAATCTTATGCTGCCTTTTAATTAAATTGTTGTTCTGAAAATGGAATAGTAAATGTTGATTTATTCTTTTATCGATTAATCGAGAAGATTAACTCTGGAAAGTTAAATATAAGAAATTGGTCGGCGTGTTGGGGGCGAATTAGCCAAGGGTATTCTTTTCTTTTATAAAACTCCAGTTTAACTTATCAGTTTAGGAATTTTAAGTTTCTGTTAAATATTGAATTTGTGTTAATACTTTCATTTATTTCATAGAAATATTAAATTTGTGAAAATGGAATTGACTGATTTACCTTACGATTGTTTATCGTATATATTTGATCGTATTCCTGACCTTAAATCGCTTTTGGATATGTCAACAGGTAAGACAATTTTTGTGCTTCTTATTTAGAGTTTAGATTAAATTCATATTTTTATCAGTTTGTAAACAATGGAACATTTTGGCGAAACGAAGACTGAACAAAATTCGACATTTACATGGTAAGTTAATAATAAGGTAATTTAATTGTGAATTACAAAAAGATTATATTAACTCTGCCGTCTTCTCAATTCTCCTTAAACGTGGCCACAGCACAGCAAGATATCGATTCTGACCTTTCAGCATCTCCCAATCATCTTTATACGAACGATGTCGAATTGATGGAGAGAGTAAATGTCTCGAAAATGTTCCCCAATCTCAAGTTTTTCTCCAAATGTTATAATCTCGATAAAATGTGTACCTGCAAAATGTTGGTCAATGTTTTGTCAACTTCGAAACCGTTGATTGGACTCATTTGTGAAGCGCCATGTCTTTTCTCAAGTCCAGAGCATCTTGGCTCTCGCTGCCACGTTGATGTCGATGAGATTGTTAAACACTGTAGAGACCTCAGTACCTGGTTACATTGTATCGACCTTTTCTTCGTAGTTATTTCTTAAAATACAAATTCGGCCGAAATTTGAAATACTTTGAAGGTTCGATTGAAGGTAGCGAATATGAGGAAGATAGAGATTATAATTTCATATTCAAAGAAATGCATCTAATATGTTATTACTTGCATCAAATGCCAAATCTGGAAGTTCTGCATATGAAAGAGCCACCATGTAATGAATTATTTGTCGTAGATAATAGATTGGTATAATAATGACTTTTCCTTTTAATTAGTTGAAGCTCGTCTTTGGTCTTTTCCGAAAAACATGAAACTGAAACAGATCGAATTTGAAATCGTGTCGACTGAATCATTCGCCTTCCAGTTCTTATCTCTTTTTCCCGATTTACGGAGTGTTTCTCTTGATATTCGAACAGTGGAAGATAAAGATGATGTTTTCGAAGTTTCCAATGCTCACCCGAATATCCAAGATTGTGCTTTACACATTGGAATAGTAAGTATTCTGTAGTATCTTATGAATTTTATTTAATTCTAAATTCTTTTTATCAGTTTCAGTATCAATGCCCAGAAGTCGACCCAATGAATCTAATTAAAAGTATTATGGTCAAGTTCCCTAATTGTAAAAACCTTTTCATTCGTCTCATGGAAAGGCTGTCGATAACTAATGAGGGTTTGATCGAGACAATCAAAGTTTTACCCAATTTAACTCTTTTTGTCTTGGATATAAAGAATTGTGGAGATGCGAATACTATTGATATAATTGATAAATACTGTAAATCAACAGGTCGTCGAATATCCTTTTACTTGTTTCGCGATGATAGAAAATGGAATCACACACTTGGAACTCGAACATATACACAATATGCACTAAACGAAGATGTTGCGAATCATCTCGAGGCCGACAGCAAATTCGTTCGCTCGGAGTTTTTGCGTTGTGAATGAAAAAAGTTGAATTTCTCTTTAACCGATCGATCGATCGGAGTTTCTTATTACATGAAACGAAAAGTGAAAATTTTCATAATAAAAAGTATTATTGTTCTCGATCTTGATATTATCATTTCAAACTTTTCATAAATTCAATCAAAAGTCTCTTCCTCTCTCTCGGTTGCTATTAACTTTAAGTTTGTCAACACAATTTGATTTTTTAGTTTCTAAGTTTTCAAATGATTATGTAATTAATTGTATCAGTAAATGGCTCAAATCATTAGTTCAAATAGTAAAACTTTTTAGTTTTTGATAAAAGTGATTAATTAAACTATCCTTTTGTTCAAGAGAATCAAAAAAATATAAGCAAATGATTTTAGCTAAAAAACTGAACTTAAATGTTTCGTAATTTGCTGGAATTTTTTCGATTGATTCGTAATATGAACTTCATACGAATACTTCATAAAATGAGCTAAAACTCATATTTTATAATTGATCAGTTTGTAAACATTCTGAATTTCGTTCATTTTCACAAACTAATTACCTTTGTGACAATGGAATTGACTGATTTACCTTACGATTGTCTATCGTGTATATTTGCTTGTATTCCTGATCTTAAACAACTTTTGGACAAGTCAACAGGTAAGAAAATTTTGCTGCTTTTTCTATTTAGAAATGGGATTAAATTGCTGTTTTCATCGTTTTACTTGATTGGTCAGTTTGCAAGCATTGGAACATTTTGGTGAAACAGAGATTGAAAAAAATTCGACAATTACATGGTAAGTCAAGTTCATATCGCTCATTGGAAAGGTTAGATTAATTCTGTTTTTCTTTGCACCATTCTTCTAATTAAGTCGAGAGAGAAAATTATTCATCGTATGTCCCTTTTTCGTCTGACAATCACATCTACACGGATGATGTTGATTTAATGGAGAGAGTTGATGTCTCTCAGTTATTACCGAACCTCAAGGTGAGACTATTACTTAAGGATAAGAAACAAAATGACTCATCAATCTATTTCCAATTTAAACTTTTCCAGTTTTTATCCTTGAGTCCTGTTCATGGTGACAAATGTACTGGTAAAATGGTGGTCAATATTTTGTCATCAGCAGCGAACCCGCTGGTTGGACTCATGTGTGAAACTACATGTGGTTGTTGTAATCTTAATATCCCTTCTCTTGTAAATTGGTGCCTTCAAGTTAATGTCGATGAGATTGTTAAACACTGTGGAAGCCTAGAGTATATGACTATATTGGAACAATTTTTTCGAGACATTTATTTCTTCAAATATAAATTTGGACAAAATTTGAAATACTTTGACGGTTATATCAGAGAGTACGAAGTTGAATGTTTAGATGAATATGAATGTGAAGACGAAGATAAAGTTAAAGATAAAGAAGATGAAGATTATTATCGATCCATGCTCGACATAAAACTGCTGTGTCGCTGCTTGAAGAAAACGCCAAATCTTGAAGTTCTGCTTCTTGGAAAACCACAAAGTAATTATATCAAACAAGTTATTGATCATCTATTCTAATCGTTTTCTTCTCGCCTACAGTTGAACCTCGTCTTTGGCCTTTACCAAAAACGAAACTGAAGCTGAAAGAGATCAGATTTGACGATATATCCTCAAGTTCGCTGGTTTTCCGGTTCTTGCCTTTATTTCCTGATTTACGATTTTTCGCCATCAGTTGAACCTCGTCTTTGGCCTTTACCAAAAATGAAACTGAAAGAGATTCCATTCCAAGAGAGATCGAGTTCGCCAGTCTTCCAGTTCTTGCCTTTATTTCCTGATTTACGGAGTATCGAGTTGAATATTCAGCTAGTTAGGGATGAAGATGAAGGATTTTCCTGATTCGCATACTCACCTGAATGTTCAAGATGTAGTTCTAAAGACAGACAAAGTAAGTTTTCATCTTTATTTATTTCCGTTATTCTAATTTTAATTCTACTTATCATCCAGTATGTGTTCAGCTCACCCGGCAGATTTTTGAATTTAATTAAAAGAATTATGGTCAAGTTCCCTAATTGTAAAAACTTTTTCGTTCATATCTCACAAGAACTTTCTATAACTAATGAGGATTTGATCGAGATAATCAAAATTGTGCCCAATTTAACTCTATTAGTCTTGGATATAAAGAATTGGGGAGATGCAAATACTAATGAGAAACTCAATGAATTCTGTCAATCAACTGGTCGAAGAATCAATTTTATTTTACGTGTCGATGGTCAAACAAGTGATCAAACCAGGGCTTGCTCACACACATATACACGATACGCATTGAACGAAGATGTTGCGAGTCCTTTAAAGATCGATAATGAATTCTTACAAAAGTTTGTTTATTGAAATTCTTATTCATCAAGCTCAAATTTGTAATCATTTCAACTTTTGTACTCAGCATATCAAATGAAAAGTCAAGTGCTTTTTATTATTCGTTAGAAGATTTCAAAATAAAGTTACAGTGAAAATCATCTTGAGTCCCAATAATAAACTAATATCGTTTTCAATCTTGGTATTAGCTTTTTAAACCTTTCAAAGCGCGATCCAGTCATCTCTTCATCTCTCTGCTGCTGTTGCTATTAACTTTAGATCGTCAAGACGATACGATTAGGTTTCTAATTGTCAAGTGTTTGTTTACTTGTTACTTGAATCAATAAATGTTTAAAATCATTTATTTAACAGTAAAAACTTTTGCAATCTTTGATACAGTCAAATCAGAATGAATATACCTTTAAGAAAGAATTAATGTTTCCAAAGAAAGTCAAAAAACTAATCCTTTAGGAGGTGATTAGGATAATCTCCTTTCAAATTGAATTAATGGTTCGGAGTCAATTCCACAATCTTTTAAGTAAACATTGAAGTAAATCCTTTTGTCTTTAGCTAAATTTGAATAGAAAATTTAATTTTCTAAGGTTCATAGGTATTGCTGCTGAATAGGTTAGAAATTCTGGGCCTCCAGATGATTCATTATATTGAATACTAGGTTGAGGTCCAGGCCCTGAAATTAAAATCAAATTAATTAGATTTACATCTCACACCTAACCAAACCTAACCTAACCTAATCAAACCAAACCAAATCAGACAATCACCAAACTTTTCACCTCTTTTTATTAGTTATTTATATCAAAAAATTTGATAAAAATTGGTAAAAACTTGTCCTTTCTCAAGCTAAACAACCTTTCAAAAGGATTATCCCAAAAGGATTAAGATTTACTTTTAAGGGGATTGTGGAATTGACTCTACACCGAATTAATTTAGTAAAAGAAAGGACCAATGCAGTAAAAGTTTCAATTAACTTTCAATACTAATCTACAATGCAAACTTTCTCTTGCTTTTCTAACAAGCAGCCAGTCTTCAGGGCAAAATAGATTGACTTATGCTTAACACGGCAAAACATTAAATCAATCTGAAAGGAGATTATCTTAATTACCCCCCAACGGATTAGTCTGTTTTTCTTTCTTTTCAAACATTAATTCTTTCTTAAAAGTACAGTCACCTGCCAGATAATGAGACTGCCAGATAATGAGACTCTCTCTGAAAATAGCTTAAAATCACTATTTACACAGAAAATTTGATTTCTATTAATTAAGAAAATTTCGATCAAATTTCTTAAAAATGATTAATTAACAAAAGCAAACAATTAAAAACACAGCTCGGTTGTCTTGGTTACAATAGAAACGTTATTTTAAGAGAGTCTCATTATCTGGCAGTTGACTGTATATGAATTCATTCTGATTTACTGGAAATTAGAATATTATTTAATCATCAGTACATGAGAATCAAAAAATATCTCCGAATGACTTTAGCTGCAAACTGAGCTTCGAAGCTGGTTATTTCTGGTTCCTGATTGGTCGGTAATTATAAATCGTCAGAGTTTAGATAATGGCTTTATTGTTCATCTATTGATTCAATTTTGTATCTGAAAGGAAAAGTCTTATTCAATCTCTTATCGATATGTTGAATAAGATTATTATATAATTATAATTATATTAATTATAATTATAATATTATCTAATATTAATATTATCTTATAATTATTCGAGATAATCTGACCGCAGTTTCATCCAATTTCTGCATATTGTTGATTAACTGGATGAAATAAACCTAAGAAACGAAAACAAGTTAAACCAATTACAATTAAACAGAACTTAATTGTGATTAAATTTCTCTTCAAATTGAAGACTTCAATATTTTCATTTGTTTTCTAGAAATAGTTACATTTGTTACAATGGAAAAAATTAATTACGATTGTTTATCATGTATATTTGATTTTTCGAATCTAAACAGCTTTTGAATCTGTCAACAGGTAAGAGAACTTTTGTGCTTTTTCATCTAGAAATAATTAAATTTATATTTCTATCATTGGTCAGTTTGTAAATAATGGAACATTTTGTGAAACCGCGACTGAAAAAAATTCGACATTTACATGGTAAGTCAAACGCATTTCGATCATTGGAAAGGATAATTAATTCTGTTACTATTTTGAATCATTCTTCTAATTAATTAAGTGCAGAGTAAAGACGATTTACCATTTACCTATTTTCATCTGACAATCACATCTACACGGATGATGTTGGATTAATGGAGAGTTAATGTCTCACAGTTTTATCGAACCTCAAGGAGATCATGTTATCTTATGAATTTATCTGAATTTTGAATTCTATCCACCATCCAGAATCAAAATCGCCTGTCGGATCGTTGAAGCTGATTAAAAGTCATGGTAAAGTTCCTAATTGTAAAACCTTACGATTCGTCTCATGGAAGCTGCCGATAACTAATGAAGATTTGATTGAAATAATCAAAATTTAACTCTCTTTGTTTTGGATACTTGGAATTGGGGAGATGCAAATAGTATTGAGATAATCGATAAATTCTGTCAATCTTCAGGTCGTCGAATATCCTTTTACTTGCGTCGCGATGATCGAATATGGAATAGCAAGACCAGAACTGGATCATATACACGATATGCATTAAACGAAGATGTTGCGACCATTTTTAATTGTGAATCTTTGGTTGCATTTTAATTGAATTGCTGTTCTGAAAATGAAATAGTAAATGTTGATTTATTCTTTTATCGATTAATCGACAAGGATTAACTATGGAGTTAAATATAAGAAATTGGTAGACTTATAAGACTAGATATGTCCGTCAGCTCGATATTTTAACTTTGAGCTGATTTTTTCGGCTTAAGTTACAGCTACATATGAAAATGGACTTAATTGTTCAGTTAATTGTGTTTGTTTAAATTAGGTTAGGTTAGGTCTTCGCTAATAGGGTCACTATGACCAAAGGCCCGGAGGGCCTGAGACAATCAAACCGAACCTTAAGCCGAGAAAAAAATCAGCTGAAAATTGAAAATATCGAGCTGACGGACATATCTTGAGTCTTACCTCTGAGCCTTATCAGAAGCTGATTGAAAGTGTTATGAAGTCGCGTTATTTGCCTTGGATGGAAGGATGCAAATATCATTGAGACAATCGATAAATTCTGTAAATCATCAGGTCGAAGAATCAATTTTATCCTGCGTGGCGATGGCCAAACAATGGGCGCACTCATATACACGATACATATTGAACGAAGATGTTGAGTCCTTTAAAGATCGATTATGAATTCTTACAAAATGCCACGTTTATTGAAATTCGTATTAATTAAGCTCAAGTTATTAATCACTTCGACTTTTTTATGCACATCAAAAGATACTGTAAATGTTTTCTATTCGCTAAATTTTATTGCCAAAATAAAGTTGTTTTTATGAGAAGACAATTTTTAATTGTGAATCTTATGCTGCCTTTTAATTAAATTGTTGTTCTGAAAATGGAATAGTAAATGTTGATTTATTCTTTTATCGATTAATCGAGAAGGATTAACTCTGGAAAGTTAAATATAAGAAATTGGTCGGCGTGTTGGGGGCGAATTAGCCAAGGGGTATTTTGCTTTTCTTTTATAAAACTCCAGTTTAACTTATCAGTTTAGGAATTTTAAGTTTCTGTTAAATATTGAATTTGTGTTAATACTTTCATTTATTTCATAGAAATATTAAATTTGTGAAAATGGAATTGACTGATTTACCTTACGATTGTTTATCGTATATATTTGATTGTATTCCTGATCTTAAATCGCTTTTTGATCTGTCAACAGGTAAGACAATTTTGTGCTTCTTATTTAGGTTTAGATTAAATTCATATTTTCAGTTTGTAAACAATGGAACATTTGGCGAAACGAAGACTGAACAAAATTCGACATTTACATGGTAAGTTAATAATAAGGTAATTTAATTGTGAATTACAAAAGATTATATTAACTCTGCCGTCTTCTCAATTCTCTTAAACGTGTACAGCACAGCAAGATATCGATTCTGACCTTTCAGCATCTCCCAATCATCTTTATACGAACGATGTCGAATTGATGGAGAGAGTAAATGTCTCGAAAATGTTCCCCAATCTCAAGTTTTTCTCCAAATGTTATAATCTCGATAAAATGTGTACCTGCAAAATGTTGGTCAATGTTTTGTCAACTTCGAAACCGTTGATTGGACTCATTTGTGAAGCGCCATGTCTTTTCAAGTCCAGAGCATCTTGGCTCTCGCTGCCACGTTGATGTCGATGAGATTGTTAAACACTGTGGGAGCCTCGAGTACCTGGTTACATTGTATCGACCTTTTCTTCGTAGTTATTTCTTAAAATACAAATTCGGCCGAAATTTGAAATACTTTGAAGGTTCGATTGAAGGTAGCGAATATGAGGAAGATAGAGATTATAATTTCATATTCAAAGAAATGCATCTAATATGTTATTACTTGCATCAAATGCCAAATCTGGAAGTTCTGCATATGAAAGAGCCACCATGTAATGAATTATTTGTCGTAGATAATAGATTGGTATAATAATGACTTTTCCTTTTAATTAGTTGAAGCTCGTCTTTGGTCTTTTCCGAAAAACATGAAACTGAAACAGATCGAATTTGAAATCGTGTCGACTGAATCATTCGCCTTCCAGTTCTTATCTCTTTTTCCCGATTTACGGAGTGTTTCTCTTGATATTCGAACAGTGGAAGATAAAGATGATATTTTCGAAGTTTCCAATGCTCACCCGAATATCCAAGACTGCGCTCTACACATTGGAATAGTAAGTATTCTGTAGTATCTTATGAATTTTATTTAATTCTTTTTATCAGTTTCAGTATCAATGCCCAGAAGTCGACCCAATGAATCTAATTAAAAGTATTATGGTCAAGTTCCCTAATTGTAAAAACCTTTTCATTCGTCTCATGGAAAGGCTGTCGATAACTAATGAGGGTTTGATCGAGATAATCAAAGTTTTACCCAATTTAACTCTTTTTGTCTTGGATATAAAGAATTGTGGAGATGCGAATACTATTGATACAATTGATAAATACTGTAAATCAACAGGTCGTCGAATATCCTTTTACTTGTTTCGCGATGATAGAAAATGGAATCACACACTTGGAACTCGAACATATACACAATATGCACTAAACGAAGATGTTGCGAATCATCTCGAGGCCGACAGCAAATTCGTTCGCTCAGGTTTTGCGTTGTGAATGAAAAAGTTTTTCTCTTTAACCGATCGATCGATCGGATTTTTACATGAAACGAAGAGTGAAAATTTTCATAATAAAAAGTATTGTTCTCGATCTTGATATTATCATTTCACAAACTTTTCATAAATTCAATCAAAAGTCTCTTCTTCTCTCTCTCAGTTTGCTATTAACTTAGTTCTCTTCCGTAATACTACGTTCATTTCACAAACTGAATTACCTTTGTGACAATGGATTGTTGGTTACTTGATTGTCTACCGTGTATATTGCTTGTTCCTGATCTTAAACAACTTTTGGACAAGTCAACAGGTAAGAAAATTTTGCTGCTTTTTCTATTTAGAAATGGGATTAAATTGCTGTTTTCATCGTTTTACTTGGTCAGTTTGCAAGCATTGGAACATTTTGGTGAAACGAGTTGAAAAAATTCGACATTTACATGGTAAGTCAAGTTCATATCGCTCATTGGAAAGGTTAGATTAATTCTGTTTTCTTTGCACCATTCTTCTAATTAAGTCGAGAGAAAATTATTCATCATATGTCCTTTTCGTCTGACAATCATCTACACGGATGATGTTGATTTAATGGAGAGTTGATGTCTCTCAGTTATTACCGAACCTCAAGGTGAGACTATTATAAGGATAAGAAACAAAATGACTCATCAATCTATTTCCAATTTAAACTTTTCCAGTTTTTATCCTTGAGTCCTGTTCATGGTGACAAATGTACTGGTAAAATGGTGGTCAATATTTTGTCATCAGCAGAACTGGTTGGACTCATGTGTGAAACTTGTGTGGTTGTTGTAATCTTTATCCCTTCTCTTGTAAATTGGTGCCTTCAAGTTAATGTCGATAAGATTGTTAAACACTGTGGAAGCCTAGAGTATATGACTATATTGGAACAATTTTTGAGACATTTATTTCTTCAAATATAAATTTGGACAAAATTTGAAATACTTTGACGGTTATATCAGAGAGTACGAAGTTGAATGTTTAGATGAATATGAATGAAGACGAAGATAAAGTTAAAGATAAAGAAGATGAATTATTATCGATCCATGCTCGACATAAAACTGCTGTGTCGCTGCTTGAAGAAAACGCCAAATCTTGAAGTTCTGCTTCTGAAAACCACAAAGTAATTATATCAAACAAGTTGATCATCTATTCTAATCATTTTTTCTTCTCGCCTACAGTTGAACCTCGTCTTTGGCCTTTACAAAAACAAAACTGAAGCTGAAAGAGATCAGATTTGACGATATATCCTCAAGTTCGCTGGTTTTCCGGTTCTTGCCTTTATTTCCTGATTTACGATTTTTCGCCATCAGTTGAACCTCGTCTTTGGCCTTTACCAAAATGAAACTGAAGAGATTCCATTCAAGAGAGATCAGAGTTCTTGATCTTCCAGTTCTTGCCTTTATTTCCTGATTTACGAAGTATCGAGTTGAATATTCAGCTAGTTAGGGATGAAGATGAAGATTTTCCTGATTCGCATACTCATCTGAATGTTCAAGATGTAGTTCTAAAGACAGACGCAGTAAGTTTTTTATCTTTATTCATTTCCGTTATTCTAATTTTCATTCTACTTATCATCCAGTATGTCAGCTCACCCGTCAGATTTTTGAATCTAATTAAAAGAATTATGGTCAAGTTCCCTAATTGTAAAAACTTTTCGTTCATATCTCACAAGAACTTTCTATAAATAATGAGGATTTGATCGAGATAATCAAAAATGTGCCCAATTTAACTCTATTGGTCTTGGATATAAAGAATTGGGGAGATGCAAATACTAATGAGAAACTAAACGAATTCTGCAAATCAACAGATCGAAGAATAAATTTCATCTTGCGTGGCGATGATCAAACAAGTGATCAAATCAGGGCTCGCTCACACACATATACACGATACGCATTGAACGAAGATGTTTCGAGTCCTTTAAAGATCGATAATGAATTCTTACAAAAGTTCGTTTATTGAAATTCTTATTCATTAAGCTCGAATTTGTAATCACTTAAACTTTTGTACTCAACATATCAAATGAAAAGTCAAGTGCTTTTTATTATTCGTTAGATTTCAAAATAAAGTTACAGTGAAAATTATCTTGAGTCTCAATAATAATCTTGTATCGTTTTCGATCTTGATATTAGCTTTTTAAACTTTTCAAATCGCGATCCAGTCATCTCTTTCGCTCTCTCCTGCTGTTGCTAATAACATTAGATCGTCAATACAATTCAGTTTCTATTTGTCAAGTGTTTGTTTACTAGTAACTCGAATCAATAAATGTTTCAAATCATTTATTTAACAGTAAAACTTTTGCAATCTTTGATACAGTCAAATCAGAATGAATATACCTTTAAGAAAGAATTAATGTTTCCAAAGAAAGTCAAAAACTAATCCTTTAGGAGGTGATTAGGATAATCTCCTTTCAAATTGAATTAATGGTTCGGAGTCAATTCCACAATCTTTTAAGTAAACATTGAAGTAAATCCTTTTGTCTTTAGCTAAATTTGAATAGAGAAAATTTAAATTTTCTAAGGTTCATAGGTATTGCTGCTGAATAGGTTAGGAATTCTGGGCCCTCCGGGCCATTCATTCATATTGAATACTAGGTTGAGAGTCCGAGGCCCTCCGAATATTAAAATCAAATTAATTAGTTACATCTCACACCTAACCAACCTAACCTAACCTAATCAAACCAAACCAAATCAGACAATCACCAAACTTTTCACCTCTTTTATTAGTTATTTATATCAAAATTTGATAAAATTGGTAAAACTTGTCCTTTCTCAAGCTAAACAACCTTTCAAAAGTTATCCAAAAGTTAAGATTTACTTTTAAGTTGTGGAATTGACTCTACACGAATTAATTTAGTAAAAGAAAGGACCAATGCAGTAAAAGTTTCAATTAACTTTCAATACTAATCTACAATGCAAACTTTCTCTCTTTTCTAACAAGCAGCCAGTCTTCAGGGCAAAATAGATTGACTTATATTACACGGCAAAACATTAAATCAATCTGAAAGTTATCTCAATTCCCCAACGGATTAGTCTGTTTTCTTTCTTTTCAAACATTAATTCTCTTAAAGTACAGTATAATAACTGAGATAAACTCTCTCAAAAGAGAATTTTTCTGAAATTTGATTCTATAATTAAGAAAATTCGATCATTTCTTAATGATTAATTAACAAAGCAAACAATTAAAAACACAGCTCAGTTGTCTTGACAATAGAAACTTATTTAAGATCTCATTATCTGTTGACTGTATATGAATAATTCTTTACTGAAATTAGAATATTATTAATCTTCAGTACATGAATCTTCTCGACTTGGCTAAACTTCATGATTCTGGATTCCTTTCGATTGGTCGGTAATTATAAATCGTCAAGTGAATTTAGATAATTGTGCTTTATTGTTCATCTATTGATTCAATTTTGTATCTGGAAAAAGGAAAAAGTCTTATTCAATCTCTTATCGATATGTTGAATAAGATTATTATATAATTATAATTATAATTAATTATAATTATAATATTATCTAATATTAATATTATCTTATAATTATTCGAGATAATCTGACCGCAGTTTCATCCAATTTCTGCATATTGTTGATTAACTGGATGAAATAAACCTAAGAAACGAAAACAAGTTAAACCAATTACAATTAAACAGAAACTTAATTGGTGATTAAAATTGTTCTCTTCAAATTGAAGACTTCAATATTTCATTTGTTTTCTAGAAATAGTTACATTTGTTACAATGGAATTGGGTAAATTACCTTACGATTGTTTATCATGTATATTTGATTTTTTTCGAATCTTAAACAGCTTTTGAATCTGTCAACAGGTAAGAGAACTTTTGTGCTTTTTTTCATTAGAAATAGAATTAAATTTATATTTCTATCATTGGTCAGTTTGTAAATAATGGAACATTTTGGTGAAACCGCGACTGAAAAAAATTCGACATTTACATGGTAAGTCAAACGCATTTCGATCATTGGAAAGGATAATTAATTCTGTTACTATTTTGAATCATTCTTCTAATTAATTAAGTGCAGAGTAAAGACGATTTACCATTTACCTATTTTTCATCTGACAATCACATCTACACGGATGATGTTGGATTAATGGAGAGTTAATGTCTCACAGTTTTTATCGAACCTCAAGGTGAGATCATGTGCTATCTTATGAATTTATCTGAATTTCGAATTCTATCCACCATCCAGAATCAAAATTCGCCTGTCGGATCGTTGAAGCTGATTAAAAGTCTTATGGTAAAGTTCCCTAATTGTAAAAACCTTACGATTCGTCTCATGGAAAGGCTGCCGATAACTAATGAAGATTTGATTGAAATAATCAAAATTTAACTCTCTTTGTTTTGGATACTTGGAATTGGGGAGATGCAAATAGTATTGAGATAATCGATAAATTCTGTCAATCTTCAGGTCGTCGAATATCCTTTTACTTGCGTCGCGATGATCGAATATGGAATAGCAAGACCAGAACTGGATCATATACACGATATGCATTAAACGAAGATGTACATTTTTAATTGTGAATCTTTGGTTGCATTTTAATTGAATTGCTGTTCTGAAAATGAAATAGTAAATGTTGATTTATTCTTTTATCGATTAATCGACAAGGATTAACTATGGAAAGTTAAATATAAGAAATTGGGTAAGACTCAAGGGTAAGACTCAAGATATGTCCGTCAGCTCGATATTTTAACTTTGAGCTGATTTTTTTCGGCTTAAAGTTCAAGCTTCATATGGAAATGGACTTAATTGTGTTTGTTTAAATTAGGTTAGGTTAGGTATTCGCTAATAAGGGTCACCATGACCAAAGAAAGGCCCAGAGGGCCTGAGACAATCAAACCGAACCTTAAGCCGAGAAAAAAAATCGACTGAAAATTTAGAATATCGAGCTGACGGACATGTCTTGAGTCCTACCGAAAATTGGTGGGCGTGTTGGTGGCGAATTAGCCAAGGGCATTTTGCTTTTCTTTTACAAAACTCCAGTTGAACTTATCAGTTTAGAAATTTTAACTTTCTGTTAAACATTGAATTTGTGTTCATACTTTCATAGAAATATTAATAATTAAATTTGTGAAAATGGAATTGACTGATTTACCCTACGATTGTTTATCGTGTATATTTGATTGTATTCCTGATCTTAAACAACTTTTGGACAAGTCAACAGGTAAGACAATTTTGCTGCTTTTTCTATTTAGAAATAGTATTAAAATCTTGTTTTCATCTTCATCGTTTTACTTGATTGGTCAGTTTGTAAGCAATGGAACATTTTGGTGAAACGGCGACTGAAAAAAATTCGACATTTACATGGTAAGTCAAGTTCATTTCGATCATTGGAAAGGTTAGATTAATTCTGTTTTTCTTGTGAATCATTCTTCTAATTAAGTCGTTAGTGAAGACTTTTTACCATATTTCCATTTTTCATCTGACAATCACATCTACACGGATGATGTTGAATTAATGGAGAGAGTTGATGTCTCTCAGTTATTACCGAACCTCAAGGTGAGACTATTACTTAAAGATAAGAAACAAAATGACTCATCAATCTATTTCCAATTTTAACATTTCCAGTTTTTATCCTTGAGTCTTTATCCGGGTCAAAAATGTACTGGTAAAATGTTAGTCAATATTTTGTCATCAACAGCGAAACCGCTGGTTGGACTCACATGTAAAAATCAATGCTGTATGAGCAATGATTCCCTACAATCTGGTCATGTCGATATCGAAGAGATTGTTAAACACTGTGAAAGTCTCGAGTATATGAATATATGGAATCAGTTTTTTCGAGACATTTATTTCTTCAAATATAAATTTGGACAAAATTTGAAATACTTTGACGGTTGTACCTTACCGTGGTACAATGAAGATTATGATTCCATGATGGAAGAAATAAATTTATTATGCTGCTACGCCGCGCGAATGCCAAATCTTGAAGTTCTGATTCTGAAAAAACCACTAAGTAAGTTATATCAAATAAATTATTGATCATTTATACTAATCGTTTTTTCGCATTTAGATGAACCTCGTCTTTGGTGTTTACCAAAAATGAAACTGAAAGAGATTAAATTCCAACATATATCCTCAGGTTCGCCTGTCTTCCAGTTCTTGCCTTTATTTCCTGATTTACGAAGTATCAAGTTGAGTATTCTTAAAGTCAAGAATAAAGATGAAGGATTTCCTGATTCACATACTCATCTGAATGTTCAAGATGTAGTTCTAAAAATACACAAAGTAAGTTTTTCAGCTTTATTTATTAATATTTTGGTTATTTAGATTTTGATTTTGATTGCATTTATTATTCAGCACAAAGGGCCAACTATGGGATGTTTCAAGCATATTAAAAGTATTTTGGTCAAGTTCCCTAATTGTACAAACCTGTACATTAATTTGAAAAATTGTGAAGAGCGAAAATTGTTGCTTACTAAAGAACATTTTATCGAGATGATAAAAATTTTGCCGAATTTAACTCTCATTGTCTTGAATAGTAAGAATTGTGGGGATGCAAATACTATTGGGACACTCGATAAATTTTGTAAATCAACAGGTCGAAGGATCAATTTTATCTTGCGTGGCGATGACCGAGCAAATGATGGAACCAGGGTTCGCTCATGTACTCGATTTGCATTGAACGAAGATGTTGCAAGTCCTTTAAAGATCGATAATGAGTTCTTACAAAAGTACGTTTATTGAAATTCGTATTAGTTAAGCTCGAATTTTTAATCACTTCAACTTTTTACTCAACATACTGATCAACACTTACAACTGATCTATATACACGAATTGAACGAAGATGCTGTCAAACATTTCGAGACCGACAGCAAATTCATTCGGAGCTTTTTTCGTTGTAAAAAGTATTGAATTTTTCTGCAACCAATTGATTGTTCAACGTTAGGCTTTTCTTATTAAATAAACAATGAAAATTATCTTGAGTCCCAATAATAAACTATTAATAAGTATCGTTTTCGATCTTGATATTAGCTTTCTAAACCTTTCAAAGCGCGATCAGTCATCTCTTCATCTCTCTGCTGCTGTTATAACTTTAGATCGTCAAGACGATGCGATTCGGTTTCTAATTGTCAAGTGTTCGTTTACCTTGAATCAATAAATGTTTCAATGAAAGTGAATTTGCTGAAATTGATTTGCTGAATTTACCCATCATCCAATTTACAAAAGGATCAAACTAGAGATTTATTATTTACTTAAAAGATTAACGAGAGGTCATTATGAAAGTCGTTAATCTTTTAAGTAAATAATAAATCTCTAGTTTAATCCTTTTGTCTTAGTAAATTAGTACTATTTCGGGCTTAAATTTTTAGAGAATTCAATTGATAGATTTGGTTAAAACTGTTGGTGCTGAATGAAGTTTGGTCATTTTTGGTTTGGTTTGATTAGGTGAGGTTAGGTTTGGTTGGGTGAAGTAAACCTAATTAATTATAACAATTAGCTCGGAGGGCCTCGGACTTGCAACATAATTAATAAAATGACCAAGGGCCCGGAGGGCCTCGGACACTCAACCTACTCAGCTACAATACCTATGAATAGCAAAAATTTTATATTCATCCCATTTAAATCTAGCAAAAACAAAAAAATTAACTTTAATGTTTACTTAAAATATTGTGAAAACGAGGAAGAATCGAAATTTTGGTCGGCGTGTTGGTGGCGAATTAGCCAAGGGGCATTTTGCTTTTCTTTTACAAAACTCCAGTTAAACTTATCAGTTGAGAAATTTTAACTTTCTGTTAAATATTGAATTTGTGTTCATACTTTCATTTACTTTCATAGAAATATTAATAACCAGTTGAACTTAACAGTTCAAAAAATTAAACGTTCTGTTCAATATTTCTAAAAATAATTAAATTTATGACAATGGAATTGACTGATTTACCCTACGATTGTTTATCGTATATATTTGATTGTATTCCTGATCTTAAACAACTTTTGGACAAGTCAACAGGTAAGAAAATTTTGCTGCTTTTTCTATTTAGAAATGGGATTAAATTGCTGTTTTCATCGTTTTACTTGATTGGTCAGTTTGCAAGCATTGGAACATTTTGGTGAAACAGAGATTGAAAAAAATTCGACATTTACATGGTAAGTCAAGTTTATATCGCTCATTGGAAAGGTTAGATTGACTCTGTTTTTCTTGTGAATCATTCTTCTAATTAAGTCGAGAGAGAAAATTATTTATCATATGTCCCTTTTTCATCTGACAATCACATCTACACGGATGATGTTGAATTGATGGAGAGAGTTAATGTCTCTCAGTTATTACCGAACCTCAAGGTGAGACTATTACTTAAGGATAAGAAACAAAATGACTAATCAATTTAAACTTTTTCAGTTTTTATCCTTGAATCCTAATCTGTATGACAAATGTACTGGTAAAATGATGGTCAATATCTTGTCATCAACGGCGAAACCACTGGTTGGACTCATGGGTGAAAGTACATGTTGTTCGAGCGATTATTACCGACAATCTGGTCATGTCGATGTCGATGATATTGTTAAACACTGCGGCAGTCTCAAGTATATGAATATATTGAATCAACGTTTTCGAGACAGATATTTCTTTAAATATAAATTCGGACAAAATTTGAAACACTTTAACGGTTATATCTTACGGTCCTACAATGAAGATGAAGATTATGATTCCATGGAGGAAGAAATAAATTTATCATGTCGCTACTTGGAGCAAATGCCAAATCTTGAAGTTCTGAATCTGGAAAACCCACTAAGTAAGTTATATCAAATAAATTATTGATCATTTATACTAATCGTTTTTTTCGCCATCAGTTGAACCTCGTCTTTGGCCTTTACCAAAAATGAAACTGAAAGAGATTCAATTCCAAGAGAGATCGAGTTCGCCAGTCTTCCAGTTCTTGCCTTTATTTCCTGATTTACGGAGTATCGATTTGAATATCCATTCAGTTGAGGATGAAGATTTTCCTGATTGCCATACTCATATGAATGTCCAAGATGTAGTTCTAAACATATCCGGAGTAAGTTTTTTATCTATCTACAAACTTGAATAAGATAAGCTCAAATTTTGGGTAAAGATTGTGCTCAAGATAAAAGGATTCTATGAGATGTTGAGGTACCAAAAAATAGAGCGGAAAATACTACAGTTACAAAAAATAGTACGAACAAAATCTGAATAGCCGTTCATGAGAAATTCTGACTCAAAGATTTATATGTACGCATGCGCAGATTTGCTTTTTTACAGCGCGCATTTCAAAAAGAAAGAGAAAGAGAGAAAGAGAAAGAGAAAGAGAGAGAGAGGAAAACAGAAAAGAGAAAAACAGAAAAGAGATTTGATTGTTCAAGTTAGAGACTTGAAGTCTTTACGACTGTCATATGACTGAGTGCCCTCTAGTGACACCCTCGTGAAGGTCATATATATTAGTCGACCTCCTCCTGGTACAGGATCAAAGTACCAGTATACTGCCCTTGCCGGGAGTCGAACCGCAACCACCAAGCATTAACCTGACCAATGAGAAGGCAGGACACTGGGGTTATACCACTTGACTACGACAAGAGAGAAAAAGAGAAAGAGACGAGAAAGAAAGAGAGAAAGAGAAAGAGAGAGGAGAGAAAAAGAAAAAGAGATGAGAAAGAAAAAGAGAAAGCAAGAGACGAGCAAGAAAGAGAAATTTAGTTTTGAATTTTTCGATTAAAAAACGATTCCCATTTCAATAAACCACGGGTCTGGCAAACAACATTTGCCAAATCTGCCGCTTGCCAAATCTTGAAGTTATGAATCTGAAAACCCCATTAAGTAAATTATATCAAATAAATTATTGATCATTTATACTAATCATTTTTTTCGCCCTCAGTTAAACCTCGTCTACGGCCTTTACCAAAAATGAAACTAAAAGAGATTCGATTCGAAGACATGTCATTGAGATCACCAGTCTTCTAGTTATTGCCTTTGTTTCCTGATTTACGAAGTATACATTTGCATATTCGTGGAGTCAAGAGTAAAGATGAAGGATTTCCTCATTCGCATACTCATCTGAATGTTCAAGATGTAGTTCTAAAAATACACAAAGTAAGTTTTTCAGCTTTATTTATTAATATTTTGGTTATTTTGATTTTGATTTTGATTGCATTTATTATTCAGCGCAAAGGGCCAACTAACGTATGTTTCAAGCATATTAAAAGTATTTTGGTCAAGTTCCCTAGTTGTACAAACCTGCACATTAATTTGAAAAATTGTGAAGAGGAAAATTGTTGCTTACTAAAGAACATTTTATCGAGATGATAAAATTTTGCCGAATTTAACTCTCATTGTCTTGAATAGTAAAATTGTGGGGATGCAAATACTATTGGGACACTCGATAAATTTTGTAAATCAACAGGTCGAAGGATCAATTTTATCTTGCGTGGCGATGACCGAGCAAATGATGGAACCAGGGTTCGCTCATGTACTCGATTTGCATTGAACGAAGATGTTGCAAGTCCTTTAAAGATCGATAATGAGTTCTTACAAAAGTACGTTTATTGAAATGTATTAGTTAAGCTCAATTTTAATCACTTCAACTTTTACTCAACATACTGATCAACACTTACAACTGATCTATACACAATTGAACGAAGATGCTGTCAAACATTTCGAGACCGACAGCAAATTCATTCGGAGCTTTTTTCGTTGTAAAAAGTATTGAATTTTTCTGCAACCAATTGATTGTTCAACGTTAGGCTTTTCTTATTAAATAAACAATGAAAATTATCTTGAGTCCCAATAATAAACTATTAATAAGTATCGTTTTCGATCTTGATATTAGCTTTCTAAACCTTTCAAAGCGCGATCCAGTCATCTCTTCATCTCTCTGCTGCTGTTGCTATTAACTTTAGATCGTCAAGACGATGCGATTCGGTTTCTAATTGTCAAGTGTTCGTTTACCTTGAATCAATAAATGTTTCAATGAAAGTGAATTTGCTGAAATTGATTTGCTGAATTTACCCATCATCCAATTTACAAAAGGATCAAACTAGAGATTTATTATTTACTTAAAAGATTAACGAGAGGTCATTATGAAAGTCGTTAATCTTTTAGTAAATAATAAATCTCTAGTTAATCTTTGTGTTAAATAGTACTATTTCGGGCTTAAATTTTAGAATTCAATTGATAGATTTGGTTAAAACTGTTGGTGCTGAATGAAGTTTGGTCATTTTTGGTTTGGTTTGATTAGGTGAGGTTAGGTTTGGTTAGGTGTGAGAAGTAAACCTAATTAATTATAACAATTAACAGCTCGGAGGGCCTCGGACTTGCAACATAATTAATAAAATGACCAAGGGCCCGGAGGGCCTCGGACACTCAACCTACTCAGCTACAATACCTATGAATAGCAAAAATTTTATATTCATCCCATTTAAATCTAGCAAAAACAAAAATTAACTTTAATGTTTACTTAAAATATTGTGAAACAGGAAGAATCGAAATTTTGGTCGGCGTGTTGGTGTGAATTAGCCAAGGGCATTTTGCTTTTCTTTTAAAACTCCAGTTAAACTTATCAGTTGAGAAATTTTAACTTTCTGTTAAATATTGAATTTGTGTTCATACTTTCATTTACTTTCATAGAAATATTAACCAGTTGAACTTAACAGTTCAAAAATTAAACGTTCTGTTCAATATTTCTAAAATAATTAAATTTATGACAATGGAATTGACTGATTTACCTACGATTGTTTATCGTATATATTTGATTGTATTCCTGATCTTAAACAACTTTTGGACAAGTCAACAGGTAAGAAAATTTTGCTGCTTTTTCTATTTAGAAATGGGATTAAATTGCTGTTTTCATCGTTTTACTGATTGGTCAGTTTGCAAGCATTGGAACATTTTGGTGAAACAGAGATTGAAAAATTCGACATTTACATGGTAAGTCAAGTTTATATCGCTCATTGGAAAGGTTAGATTGACTCTGTTTTTCTTGTGAATCATTCTTCTAATTAAGTCGAGAGAGAAAATTATTTATCATATGTCCCTTTTTCATCTGACAATCACATCTACACGGATGATGTTGAATTGATGGAAGTTAATGTCTCAGTTATTACCGAACCTCAAGGTGAGACTATAAGGATAAGAAACAAAATGACTAATCAATTTAAACTTTTCCAGTTTTTATCCACGATTCATTATCTGTATGGCAAATGTACTGGTAAAATGATGGTCAATATTTTGTCATCAACAGCGAAACCGCTGGTTGGACTCATGAGTAAAAGTACATGTTGTTCGAGCAATTATTACCGACAATCTGATCATGTCGATGTCGATGAGATTGTTAAACACTGCGGCAGTCTCGAGTATATGAATATATTGGATAAACGTTTTCGAGACAGTTATTTCTTTAAATATAAATTCGGACAAAATTTGAAACACTTTGACGGTTATATCATACGGTCCTACAATGAAGATGAAGATTATTATTCCATGGTGGAAGAAATAAATTTATCATGTCGCTACTTGGAGCAAATGCCAAATCTTGAAGTTCTGAATCTGAAAAACCCACTAAGTAAATTATATCAAATAAATTATTGATCATTTATACTAATCGTTTTTTTCGCATTTAGTTAAACCTCGTCTTTGGCCTTTACCAAAAATGAAACTGAAAGAGATTCAATTCAAGAGAGATCAGGTTCCTTGATCTTCCAGTTCTTGCCTTTATTTCCTGATTTACGGAGTATCGATTTGAATATCCATTCAGTTGAGGATGAAGATTTTCCTGATTGCCATACTCATATGAATGTCAAGATGTAGTTCTAAACATATCCGGAGTAAGTTTTTTATCTATCTACAAACTTGAATAAGATAAGCTCAAATTTTGGGTAAAGATTGTGCTCAAGATAAAAGGATTCTATGAGATGTTGAGGTACCAAAAAATAGAGCGGAAAATACTACAGTTACAAAAAATAGTACGAACAAAATCTGAATAGCCGTTCATGAGAAATTCTGACTCAAAGATTTATATGTACGCATGAATTTGCTTTTGACATTTCAAAAGAAAGAAAGAGAGAGAAGAGAAGAGAAAGAAAGAGAGAGAGAGACAGAGAAAGAGAGAAAAGAAAAGAAAGAAGAGAGAGAAAAGAAAGAGAGAAACAGAAAGAAAAACAGAAAAGAGATTTGATTGTTCAAGTTAGAGACTTGATTGTCTTTACGACTGTCATATGACTGAGTGCCCTCTAGTGACACCCTCGATAGGGTCATATATCTAACCCTCTCCTGGTACAGGATCAAAGTACCAGTATACTGCCCTTGCCGGGAGTCGAACCGCAACCACCAAGCATTAACCTGACCAATGAGAAGGCAGGATACTGGGGTTATACCACTTGACTACGACAAGAGAGAGAAAAGAGAAAGAGACGAGAAAGAAAGAGAGAAAGAGAAAGAGAGAGGAGAGAAAAAGAAAAAGAGATGAGAAAGAAAAAGAGAAAGCAAGAGACGAGCAAGAAAGAGAAATTTAGTTTTGAATTTTCGATTAAAAACGATTCCATTTCAATAAACCACAGGTCTGTAAAACAACATTAACAAATTTGCCAAATTTGCCAAAAATCTTGAAGTTATGAATCTGAAAACCCCATTAAGTAAATTATATCAAATAAATTATTGATCATTTATACTAATCATTTTTTCGCCCTCAGTTAAACCTCGTCTACAGCCTTTACAAAAATGAAACTAAAAAGATTCGATTCGAAGACATGTCATTGAGATCACCAGTCTTCTAGTTATTGCCTTTGTTTCCTGATTTACGAAGTATACATTTGCATATTCGTGGAGTCAAGAGTAAAGATGAAGGATTTCCTCATTCGCATACTCATCTGAATGTTCAAGATGTAGTTCTAAAAATACACAAAGTAAGTTTTTCAGCTTTATTTATTAATATTTTGGTTATTTGGATTTTGATTGCATTTATTATTCAGCACAAAGGGCCAACTAACGGATGTTTCAAGCATATTCCAAGTATTATGGTCAAGTTCCCTAATTGTACAAACCTGTACATTAATTTGATGCGAAAATTGTTGCTAACTAAAGAACATCTTATCGAGATGATAAAAATTTTGCCCAATTTAACTCTTATTGTCTTGAATAGGGAGAATCGTGGTGATGCAAATACTATTGGGACACTCGATCAATTCTGCAAATCAACAGATCGAAGAATAAATTTCATCTTGCGTGGCGATGACCGAGCAAATGCTGGAATCAGGGTTCGCTCATATACTCGCTTTGCATTGAATGAAGATGTTTTGAGTCCTTTAAAGATCGATAATGAATTCTTACAAAATCACGTTTATTGAAATTCGTATTAGTTAAGCTCGAATTTTTAATCACTTCAACTTTTTTACTCAACATAACCTTAAATCCAAATTCTGTTGCTCATCCAGCATCAGAGACCAGAAATTATTTTTCAGACCCTTGAATCTAATTAAAAGTATTATGATCAAGTTCCCTAACTGTACAAACGTGTACATTCAGTTCATGGAGAGGTTTCCGATAACTAATGAGGATTTGATCAACCTTCGGTTTTTCTTATTAAATGAACAGTGAAAATTATCCTGAGTCTCAATAAACTAGTAGCGTTTTCAATCTTTATACATGTATTAGCTTTGTATACTAAAGCGCGATCCAGTCATTTCTTTCTCTCTGCTGTTGTTGCTATTTAGATCGTCAAGACGATTCGGTTTCTAATTTTCAAGTGTTTTGTTTACTAGTTACTTTAATAAATAAATGTTTCAAATCATTTATTTGAACAGTAAAAACCTTTTAATCTTCGATAAATAAAAATATTATTAAAAGCGTTTCTTTTATAAAACTCCAGTTGAACTTATCAGGATAGACATTTTAACTATTAATAGAAAACTAGAAACTTTTCTACAAATAATTACATTTGATACAATGGAATTGACTGATTTACTTTACGATTGTTTATCGTGTATATTTGATTGTATTCCTGATCTTAAACTACTTTTGGATCTGTCAACAGGTAAGACAATTTTTGTGGTTTTTTGACTTGAAATAAAATAAAATTCATATTTTCATCATTGATCAGTTTGTAAACAATGGAACATTTTGGCGAAACGAAGACTGAACAAAATTCGACATTTACATGGTAAGTAAATAATAATAAGATAATTTCATTGTGAATTACAAAAAGATTATATTAACTCTGCCATCTTTTCAATTCTCCTTAAACGTGGCCACAGCACAGCAAGATATCGATTCTAACCTTTCAGCATCTCCCAACCATCTTTATACGAACGATGTCGAATTGATGGAGAGAGTAAATGTCTCGAAAATCTTCCCCAATCTCAAGTTTTTCTCCAAATGTTATACTCTCGAAAAAATGTGTACCTGCAAAATGTTGGTCAATGTTTTGTCAACTTCAAAACCGTTGATTGGACTCATTTGTGAAGCGCCATGTCTTTTCTCAAGTCCAGAGCATCTTGGCTCTCGCTGCCACGTTGATGTCGATGAGATTGTTAAACATTGTGGGAGCCTCGAGTACCTGGTTACATTGTATCGACCTTTTCTTCGTAGTTATTTCTTAAAATACAAATTCGGCCGAAATTTGAAATATTTCGAAGGTTCGATTGAAGGTAGCGAATATGAGGAAGATAGAGATTATAATTTCATATTCAAAGAAATGTATCTAATATGTTATTACTTGCATCAAATGCCAAATCTGGAAGTTCTGCATATGAAAGAGCCGCCATGTAATCTTCAAATGATTTTGTAATTAATTGTATCAGTAAATGGCTCAAATCATTAGTTCAAAGAGTGAAAACTTTTTTGATAAAAGTGATTAATGAAAATATCCTTTTGTTCAAGAGAATCAAATAAAATACAAGCAAATGATTTTAGCTATAAAACTGAACTTAAATGTTTCGTTATTTGCTGGAATCTTTTCGATTGATTCGTAATATGAACTTAATACGAATACTTCATAAAATAAGCTAAAACTCCTATTTCAAATTGATCAGTTTGTAAACAATGTAACATTTTGGCGAAACGAAATTCGAAATTTACATGGTAAGTTGATAATAATAAAGTAATTGTAAATGTAGCAACAAGTCAATCAAACAGATGAACCGGGAAGTGAGAAACTGTAAAATTAACCAATTTTACACAATAAAAAAAATTGAATTGTCGTCGGAAAATTAGAAACTTTCGCCATCTGGTGACAGCGAATCGACTCAGTTTTAAATCTCACGTTGATTAAAGATACTCTTATTATAAGAGTCAATTTAATCCAGTTTATGAAAATTTGTTCTTCTTTTAGTATTTTCATTCATTTTCTAGAATAAGTTGAATTTGTTAAAATGGAACTAATTGATTTACCCTACGATTGTTTATCGTGTATATTTGATTGTTTTTCGAATCTCAAACAGCTTTTGGATCTGTCAACAGGTAAGAAAATTTTTGTGCATTTTCTATTGAGAAATGAGATGACAGATGAGAGAAATCATGTTTTCATCGTTTTACTTGATTGGTCAGTTTGTAAACAATGGAACATTTTGGTGAAACGGCGACTGAAAAAAATTCGACATTTACATGGTAAGTCAAGTTCATTTCGATCATTGGAAAGGTTAGATTAATTCTTTTTTTCTTGTTCATCATTTTTCTAATTAAGTCGAGAGAGAACATTATTTATCATATGTCCCTTTTTCATCGGACAATCACATCTACACGGATGATGTTGAATTAATGGAGAGAGTTAATGTCTCTCAGTTTTTACCGAACCTCAAGGTGAGATCATTACTAAAGGATAAGAAACAAAATGACTAATCAATTTAAACTTTTTCAGTTTTTATCCTTGAATCCTAATCTGTATGGCGAATGTACTGGTAAAATGGTGGTCAATATTTTGTCAACAACAGCGAACCCGCTAGTTGGACTTATGTGTGAAACTCAATGTTGTTCCAGCGATGAAATACACTCTAAATGTCAAGTCAATGTCGACGAGATCGTTAAACACTGTGGCAACCTCAAGTATATGGAAATATTGGATGAACCTTTTCTTGAAAGTTATTTCTTTAAATATAAATTCGGGCAAAGTTTGAAATACTTTGAAGGTTATATCACAGAGTACGACATTATTGAAAAAGATGAAGATTATGATTACAACTTTGAAGAAATAAATTTACTATGTCGCTACTTGGAGCAAATGCCGAATCTTGAAGTTCTGAGTCTGAATGAACCAATAAGTAATTATATTAGAAAAGTGATTGATCATGTATTCTAATCGTTTTCTTTTCGCCTTCAGTTGAACCTCGTCTTTGGCCTTTACCAAAGATGAAACTAAAAGAGATTCGATTTCTAGACATAAGATCAAGTTCGTCAGTCTTCCAGTTCCTGCCTTTTTTTCCTCACTTACGAACTATCCGTTTGTATATTCGTGAAGTCAAGGGTAAAGATGAAGGATTTCCTGATTCGCATACTCATCAGAATGTCCAAGATGTAGTTCTAAAAATACACAAAGTAAGTTTTTCAGCTTTATTTATTTTCGTAATTCTAATTTTAATTCTATTTATCATTCAGTATCAAGGCTCACCCGTCGAATCATTAAATCTAATTAAAAGTATTATGGTCAAGTTCCCTAATTGTAAAAACCTTTCCATTGATATCCTACGAAGGGTTTTCACGATAACTAATGGAGATCTTATCGAGATAATCAAAGTTCTGCCAAATCTAACTCTATTTGTCTTGACTGTAGAGAATTGGGAAGATGCAAATATCATTGAGACACTCGATAAATTCTGTAAATCAGCAGGTCGAAGAATAAATTTCATCTTGCGTAGCGATGGCCAAACAATCGGCGCTCGCTCATATACACGATACGTATTGAACGAAGATGATGCGAGTCCTTTAAAGATCGATTATGAATTCTTACAAAAGTGCCACGTTTATTAAAATACGTATTAATTAAGCTCGAATTATTAATCACTTCGCCTTTTTTATGTAATATATCAAAAGATACTGTTAGTGTTTTCTATTCATTGTCAAAATAAAGTTGTTTTTATGAGAAGACAATTTTTAATTGTGAATCTTTGGTTGCTTTTTATTAATAATTGAATTGTTTTTGTTTCTTCTATTCTGAAAATGGAATAGCAAATGTTGATTTATTTACGAACGATGTCGAATTGATGGGTAGAGTAAATGTCTCGAAAATGTTCCCCAATTTCAAGTTCAAATGCCAAATCTGGAAGTTCTGCATATGAAAGAGCCATTATGTAATGAATTATTTGTCGTAGATTGGTACAATAATGACTTTTCTTTCAATTAGTTGAAGCTTGTTGGCCTTTTCCGAAAAACATGAACCTGAAACAGATCGAATTTGAAATCGTGTCGACTGAATCATTCGCCTTGCAGTTCGCATCTCTTTTTCCCGATTTACGGAGTGTTTCTCTTGATATTCGAACAGTGGAAGATAAAGATGATGTTTTCGAAGTTTCCAATGCTCTTGAATATCCAAGAATGCGCTCTACACATTGAAATAGTAAGTATTCTGTAGTATCTTATGAATTTTATTTAATTCTAAATTCTTTTTATCAGTTTCAGTATCAATGTCCAGAAGTCGACCCAATGAATCTAATTAAAAGTATTATGGTCAAGTTCCCTAATTGTAAAAACCTTTTCATTTGTCTCATGGAAAGGCTGTCGATAACTAATGAGAGTTTGATCGAGATAATCAAAGTTTTACCCAATTTAACTCTTTTTGTCTTGGATATAAAGAATTGTGGAGATGCGAATACTATTGATATAATTGATAAATACTGTAAATCAACAGGTCGTCGAATATCCTTTTACTTGTTTCGCGATGATAGAAAATGGAATCACACACTTGGAAATCGAACATATACACAATATGCACTAAACGAAGATGTTGCGAATCATCTCGAGGCCGACAGCAAATTCGTTCGCTCGGAGTTTTTGCGTTGTGAATGAAAAAAGTTTTTTTTCTCTTTAACCGATCGATCGACTCAGTTATCATTTTCTTTTCTTTTCTTTTTTTAAATCAACAATTGATTGATAAGAGTCAATTTATTCCAGTTTATGAAAGTTTGTTCTTTTTTGTATTTTCATTCATTTTCTAGAAATAATTACATTTGTTACAATGGAATTGGGTGATTTACCTTACGATTGTTTATCGTGTATATTTGATTGTTTTTCGAATCTTAAACTACTTTTCAATCTATCAACAGGTAAGACAATTTTGCTGCTTTTTTATTTAGAAATGAGATTAAATTGTTGTTTTCATCGTTTTACTTGATTGGTCAGTTTGTAAACAATGGAACATTTTGGTGAAACAGAGATTGAAAAAAATTCGACATTTACATGGTAAGACAAGTTCATTTCGATCATTGGAAAGGTTAGATTAATTCTGTTTTTCTTTGCATCATTCTTCTTATCAAGTCGCTAGTGAATCCTATTTACCTTATGTCCCTTTTTCATCTGACAATCACATCTACACGGATGATGTTGAATTAATGGAGAGAGTTAATGTCTCTCAGTTATTACCGAACCTCAAGGTGAGACTATTATTTAAAGATATGAGACAAAATTACTCATCAATCTATTTCCAATTTTAACTTTTCCAGTTTTTATCCCTGAGTCCTGTTCATGGTGACAAATGTACTGGTAAAATGATGGTCAATATTTTGTCATCAATAGCGAAGCCGCTGGTTGGATTTATGTGTGACACTCAATGTTGTTCCAGCAATATAGTCCAACACTCTGGTCAAGTCCATGTCGATGAGATTGTTAAACACTGTGGCAGTCTCGAGTATATGAATATATTGGATGAACATTTTCGAGACAGTTATTTCTTTAAATATAAATTCGGACAAAATTTGAAACACTTTGACGGTTATGTCATACGGTTCTACGATGAAGATGAAGATTATGATTCCATGGAGGAAGAAATGAATTTATCATGTCGCTACTTGGAGCAAATGCCAAATCTTGAAGTTCTGAATCTGGAAAACCCACTAAGTAAATTATATCAAATAAGTTATTGATCATTTATACTAATCGTTTTTTTCGCCCTCAGTTGAACCTCGTCTTTGGCCTTTACCAAAAATGAAACTGAAAGAGATTCGATTCGAAGACATGTCATTGAGATCACCAGTCTTCCAGTTCTTGCCTTTGTTTCCTGATTTACGAAGTATACATTTGCATATTCGTGAAGTCAAGAGTAAAGATGAAGGATTTCCTGATTCGCATACTCATCTGAATGTTCAAGATGTAGTTCTAAATATATACGGAGTAAGTTTTCATCTTTATTCATTAATATTTTTGTTATTTTGATTTTGATTGCATTTATTATTTAACAGAAAGAGCCAACCAACGGATGTTTCAAGCTTATTGAAAGTATTATGGTCAAGTTCCCTAATTGTACAAACCTGTACATTGATTTGATGCGAGAATTGTTGCTAACTAAAGAACATCTTATCGAGATGATAAAAATTTTGCCCAATTTAACTCTTATTGTCTTGAATAGGGAGAATTGTGGGGATGCAAATACTATTGGGACACTCGATCAATTCTGCAAATCAACAGATCGAAGAATAAATTGCATCTTGCGTGGCGATGAGCGAGCAAATGATGGAACCAGGGTTCGCTCATATACTCGATTTGCATTGAACGAAGATGTTGCGAGTCCTTTAAAGATCGATAATGAATTCTTACAAAAGTTCGTTTATTGAAATTTTTATTCATTAAGCTCGAATTTGTAATCACTTCGACTTTTTTACTCAACATAGCCTTAAATTTGAATTCTGTTACTCATCCAGCATCAAAGCTTATCTTTCAGACCCTTGAATCTAATTAAAAGTATTATGATCAAGTTCCCTAATTATAAAAACGTGTGCATTCAGTTCATGGTTGTCGATAACTAATGAGGATTTGATCAACATTCGGTTTTTCTTATTAAATGAACAGTGAAAATCATCTTGAGTCTCAATAATAAACTACAGTATGTAGTATTGTTTTCAATCTTGATATTAGCTCTTTACATGTATAATTTCAAAGCGCGACCCAGTCATCTCTTCATCTCTCTGCTGTTGCTATTAACTTTAGATCGTCAAGACGATACGATTCAGTTTCTAATTGTCAAGACGACTGTCATTGTTTACTTACTACTTGAATCAATAAATGTTTCAAATCATCTACAAACTTGAATAAGATAAGCTCAAATTTTGGGTAAAGATTGAGCTCAAGATAAAAGGATTCTATGAGATGTTGAGGTATCAAAAAATAGAGCAGAAAATACTACAGTTACGAAAAAATCTGAGTAGCCGTTCATGAGAAATTCTGACTCAAAGATTTTTATGTAAGCATGCGCAAATAAGCTTTTTACAGCGCGCATTTTAAAAGAAAGAAAGACAGACAGAGAGAGAGAAAAGAAAGACGAGAAAGAAGAAATTTAGTTTTGAATTTTCGATTAAAAACGATATCCATTTCAATAAGCCACGGGTCTAACTAACCTTAAAAACTTTCGTAAGAAAGTTTTTCCACTGTTATTTGAATAGTATAAACCTTTTTAATCTTTGATAAATAAAAATATTATTATTTAATTATTAGTTCTAAAGAATCAAAAAATATCAGCGAATGATTTTGGCTGAAAAACTGAGCTTCGAAGTTTCGTTTTATTTTCTGGAATCCTTTCGATTGATCGGTAATCATACAGCCACAGAAATTTAGTTTGGAGCAAAAATTATCTCACTTTGCGATTTGAGTGATTAAACTGTGGTTATTTTGATTAACTAATCGAAAACCTAATGTTTTTCAATCCTCTCAATTTAAAGATTAATGATTCAATTGATTGTGTACTGTTGTTCATCTTTTATTAAATTTTGCTTCTAGAAAAAAGAAAAAATCTTATTTAATCTCTTATCGATTAGTCGAATAATTAGATTTATTTAGAAATGAGATTAAATTAATATATTTATTCTTGATCAGTTTGTAAACAATGGAACATTTTGGTGAAACGAAAATTGAGAAAAATTCGACATTTACATGGTAAGTTAATAATAATAAGATAATTTTCATTGTGATTTACGGAAAGGTTGAATTAACTCTACCATATTCTCAATTCCAATTGCCATCAAAGTTGAGAGCGATATCTATTCTAATCTTGCAGCATCTCCCACATATCTTTACACAGACGATGTCGAATTGATGGAGAGAGTAAATGTCTCTCAAATTCTTCCAAACCTCAAGGTGAGTCCATTTAACGAGAAGAAAAAAGTCTTTTTCTAATCATTTTCATATCGAACTTCAAGTTTTTAACCAAAGGTTATACGCGCGGAACCACATGTACCTGTAGAATGTTGGTCAATGTTTTGTCAACTTCGAAACCGTTAGTTAGAGGATCGACAAGAACTTCAACTTTCCAGTTCTTATCTCTTTTTCCTGATTTACGAAGTATCTTTTTGAATATTCGTTGCATTAGAAACGAAGATGAGGTTTTTTCTGTTTCCGACATTCACCTGAATATCCAAGATTGTGTCCTTCGTATTATCGTAACTGTAAGTTCTATTTATTATCTTTATTTCAGCTTATGTTTAAATTCTTTTTATTTTTAGTGTGAATTGCCCCGTATCAAGCTGATTAAAAGCGTTATGGTCGAGTTCCCTAATTGTTGTTTTATCCATCCAAAGTAATCTACTTTGAACTGACTGAAATAACCTTGAAAAATATGAAATTTATTATGAAAAAACATTTCTTCTCATAAAAATGATATTATTTCTCAGAAATTGATTGGTAATTATAAAATTAGATAATTATATTGATACATTATTGTTTATCGTTTAATTGAACTAAAAGAGAAAGGAGAAGTAAAGAGTAGGCCATTTTAATTCAATCTTTTATCGATCAGTCGAAATAGATTAAGTTTCGACAAGTGAATATAAATTCATTGACTTGTTGGCCAGTGAATGGCTAACGGATCAGGTAAAGTTCGGTCTTTTATCACCTATGGAGTCGAAAAGTTAGAAGCCTCAGTTATTTAGTGGCCTTATACATCCTAGAAAATTGAGTTCGACTAAACATTCAATTGAAGAACGCATACAAGTGATATTTTATCCATTTAGTTATGAATTTACGGCGAAAATTGATAATATATTACTCTTTACTCTGTATTGAGTTGTTCATCCATTGGTTCACAACATACTTGAGAATTTATTTCAAATAATATTAGATAGAGAATTAGGAAGGTTGAGGTGTTATTCACACTATCGGTAAATCCTGTAAGCAATGGAATAGTATCGCATCATGGAAATAGATGTTCAAGTTCTTGGAATGGTTTTATGTGCTCAATATGCGTCGAATCAAAATGTTTGAGGCTCTTTTGCGATCAATAATTTCAAACAAACGCATTTTCATATTGATAAAGTTCAAACTTTTACTTTTAATTCAATTGTTATTCTTTTTAACTCAAACTTTTTTGGCTTAAGGTTCGGTTTTGTAAAAGGGAGGAGAAATTTTATTTAACTAAAAATTGATAAGTTTATCGAAAAGGATAAACTATCAGCAAGTTCGCAGTGAATGCGCTCCGGGGCTTCATTAGTTTGCTTTTCTTTTGAAAAATATTAGTTGATTTAAACCAGTTGACCTTAACAGTTGAGATATTTCAACTTGTGAATTTAGTAGTTTCCACTTTCTGTTCAATATTTTTACAAATAATTAGACTTTTTACAATGGAATTGGGTGATTTACCTTACGATTGTTTATCGTGTATGTTTGATTGTATTCCTGATCTTAAATCGCTTTTGGATCTGTCAACAGGTAAGATAATTTTGCTACTTATTTTATTTAGAAATAAACTTGATTCATATTTCTATCATTAATCAGTTTGTAAAGAATGGAAAATTTTGGCGAAACAGAGACTGAAAAAAATTCGACATTTACATGGTAAGTTAACTATAGTAAGGCAATTTCATTTTGATTTACGAAAAGATTATATTAACTTCGCCATTTTATTAATTCTCCTTATCTCTGACCAAAGTTGAGCGCGATATCGAATCTGACCTTGCAGCATCTCCCAATCATCTTTATACAAACGATGTCGAATTGATGGAGAGAGTAAATGTCTCGCAAATGTTTCCAAATCTCAAGGTGAGTCCATTTATCAAGAAGAAAAATTCTTTTCTAATCAATTTTTCCTTAAACTCGCAGTTTTTCACGAAAGAGTATACGCTGGAAGACATTTGTACCTGTAAAATGTTGGTCAATGTTTTATCAACTTCGAAATCATTGACTGGACTCATTTGTGAAGCTCCATGTCTTGCCGTGGCTCCTATGACGATAGACTTTTGCTGTCATGTCGACATCGATGATATTGTTAAACACTGTGGTAGCCTAGAGTACCTGGTTTCATTGTATCGACCTTTTCTTGGCAGTTATTTCTTAAAATATAAATTTGGTCAGAATGTCAAATACTTCGAAGGTTCAATTGAAGGATACGACGACGATGAGGAAGATAAAGATTATGATTTCATGTTCAAACAAATATATTTGCTATGTTATTACTTGAAACAAATGCCAAATCTTGAAGTTCTGCATCTGAAAGAACCACCAAGTAATTACAATAATTTATAATTTATTATCTGAAATTATTTGTTATATTAATGACTTTTTCTTACTTAGTTGAGCCTCGTCTTTGGCCTTTACCGAAAACATGAAACTGAAGCAGATCGATTTTGACAACATTACGATAAAAACATTGGCCTTCCAGTTCTTATCTCGTTTTCCCAACTTGCGAAGTGTTTCTTTCAGCATTCGACCAGTTAGAGATGAAGATGAAATTTTCAAGTTTCCAATACTTATCCGAATATCCAAGACTGTGCGTTTTACATTGAAGGAATAGTAAGTTTTCTGTGCTATCTTATGAATTAATCTTAATTCCGAATTCTATTAATATTTATCATCCAGAATCAAAACTTGCCTGTCGGGTCGTTTAAGCTGATTAAAAGTCTTATGGTCAAGTTTCCTAATTGTACAAACCTGTGCATTCATCTCTGAGAAATACTGCAATAACTGATGAGGATTTGACCGAAATAATCAAAATGTTGCCCAATTTAACTCTATTAGTCTTGAATATAAAGAATTGGGGTGATGCAAATATTACTATTGAGACAATCGATAAGTTTTGTCAATCAATAGGTCGTCGAATATCCTTTTACTTGCTTCGCGATGATCGAAGGTGGAATCGCACGGCCTGGACAGGATCATTTACGATATACATTGAACGAAGATGTTACGAATCATTTGAAGACCGACAACAAATTCATCCGGAGCTTTTTCGTTGTTAATGAAAAGTATTGAATTTCTTTTCAATCTTTAAATTGTTCAATATTCGGTTTTTCTTATTACATGAAACGAACAATGAAAATTCTGCACTTTAGTTTTTAAACTTTAAAGTGTCTGTTCACTAGTATATTGAACCAATTAATTCTATTTATCATTCAGTATCAAGGCTCACCCGTCGAATCATTAAATCTAATTAAAAGTATTATGGTCAAGTTTTCTAATTGTAAAAACCTTTCCATTGATATCCTACGAAGGGTTTTCACGATAACTAATGAAGATCTTATCGAGATAATCAAAGTTCTGCCAAATCTATTTGTCTTGACTGTAGAGAATTGGGAAGATGCAAATATCATTGGTACACTCGATAAATTCTGTACATCAGCAGGTCGAAGAATAAATTTTATCTTGCGTAACGATGGCCAAATATTCGGCGCTCGCTCATATACACGATACATATTGAACGAAGATGTTGCGAGTCCTTTAAAGATCGATTATGAATTCTTACAAAAGTGGCGCGTTTATTGAAATTCATATTACAGTAGACTACACACTTATCGCAAGATCAGTGTGCTATGTAGACTAAGAGCTCAATGTTAAGTTAACATTGTTAACCCTTTACTCATTTCTAATTATCACACCAAATGTAAGGGTTCAACATGCCTAAATAACTAAGAAACACTACATGGTGACTTTCAAACAAAAATTACGATAAGTGTAGTCCACTGTAATTGAGCTCGAATTTTCAATCAATTCTTCGTGTTTTAATTATTTGTGATCGATTCTTTAAGACTAATTGACTAAAACTAATAAAATTTGTTACAATGGAATTGGCTGATTTGTCTTACGATTGCTTATCGTGTATATTTGATTGAAGAAATATGTCTACTATGAAACAAATGCTAAATCTTGAAGTTCTTCGTCTGAAAGATTTACCGAGTAATTATAATAATGAATTATGATCGTCCAAAATCTTTTGGTATACTAATGACTTTTTCTTTACTAAGTTGAACCTCGCGTTGACCTTTATCAAAAACCATGAAACTGAAGCAGATCGATTTTGACAACATATCGACAAAGACATTGGCCTGTCTGTGCTATCTTATGAATTTATCTCAATTTCGAATTCTGTCAATCATTAGTATCAAAATTCGCCTGTCGAATCGTTGAAGCTGATTAAAAGTCTTATGGTCAAGTTTCCTAATTGTAAAAACCTGTGCATGCATCTCATTGACAAAATTTCCATTACGAATGAGGATTTGGATTTTTTCATATTGATAAAGTTCAAACTTTTACTTTTAATTCAATTGTTATTCTTTTTAACTAAACTTTTTTGGCTTAAGGTTCGATTTTTGTAAAAGGGAGGAGCCATTATATTTAACTGAAATTGATAAGTTTATCGAAAAGGATAAACTATCAGCAAGTTCGCGGTGAATGCGCTCCGGGGCTTCATAAGTTTTCTTTGCTTTTGAAAACAAAACATCAGTTGATTTAAACCAATTGACCTTATCAGTTAAGATATTTCAACTTCTGAATTTAGGAATTTCCACTTTCTGTTCAATATTTTCTAGAAATAATTAGATTTTTTACAATGGAATTGGGTGATTTACCTTACGATTGTTTATCGTGTATATTTGATTGTATTCCTGATCTTAAATCGCTTTTGGATCTGTCAACAGGTAAGACAATTTTGCTACTTATTTTATTTAGAAATAAACTTGATTCATATTTCTATCATTAATCAGTTTGTAAAGAATGGAACATTTTGGCGAAACAAAGATTGAAAAAAATTCGACATTTACATGGTAAGTTAACTACAGTAAGGCCATTTCATTTTGATTTACGAAAAGATTATATTAACTTCGCCATTTTATTGCTTCTCCTTATCTCTGACCAAAGTTGAGCGCGATATCGAATCTGACCTTGCAGCATCTCCCAATCACCTTTATACGAACGATGTTGGATTGATGGAGAGAGTAAATGTCTCGCAAATGTTTCCAAATCTCAGGGTGAGTTCATTTATCAAGAAGAAAAATTCTTTTCTAATCAATTTTTCCACCGAAATCGCAGTTTTTCACGAAAGATGGTTCGCTCGAAACCACGTGTACCTGTAAAATGTTGGTCAATGTTTTATCAACTTCGAAACCTTTAACTGGACTCATTTGTGAAGCTCCATGTCTTTCCGAAGCTCCTATGACGATAGACTTTTGCTGTCACGTCGATATCGACGATATTGTTAAGCACTGTGGTAGCCTCGAGTATCTGGTTTCATTTTATCAACCTTTTCTTCGTAGTTATTTCTTAAAATTTAAATTTGGTCAGAATGTCAAATACTTCGAAGGTTCAATCAGAGGATACAACGACAATGAGGAAGATAAAGATTATGATTTCATGTCCAAAGAAATCTATCAACTGTGTTACTACTTGAAACAAATGCCAAATCTTGAAGTTCTTCGTCTGAGAGATCCACCAAGTAATTACATTAATTTATTTGTTACCATTTGAAATCATTCGGTATACTAATGGCTTTTTCTTTACTTAGTTGAACCTCGTCTTTGGCTTCTACAAAAAAAACATGAATTTAAAGCAGATCAATTTTGACAACACATCGACAAAAAAATTGGCCTTCCAGTTCTTATCTCGTTTTCCCAGCTTGCGAAGTGTTTCTTTTGACGTTCTATCACTGGTAGATGAAAATTTCGAAGTTTCCAATGCTCATCCACATGTTCAAGATTGCGCTCAATATATTGGAGGAATAGCAGGTTTTCTGAGCTATCTTATGAATTATTCTTCCGAATTACCTTGAATTTAAATCTAAATTCTATTTATCATCCAGTATCAAAACTCATCTATTGGATCATTGAAGCTGATTAAAAGTATTATGGTCAAGTTCCTTAATTGTAAAAACCTCTTCATCCATCTCATGCAAAACGTCTCAATAACTAATGAGGATTTGATCGAGATAATCAAAATGTTACCTAATTTAACTCTATTAGTCTTGGTTATAGAAAATTGGGGAGATGCAAATACTATAATAAATCCATTTAAGTCAAAAACGTAAAAACTTTTTAATCTTCGATAAAATTGAAAAATTGATTCATGAAGATAATAGATGTTGATTGATATGATATTTGAATAAACGATAAAAGTGATTAAGGGAAATATCTTTTTGTTTAAGAGAAGCAAAAAAATATCAGCAAATGATTTCAGCTGAAAAACTGAGCTTCAAAGTTTCGTTGTATTTTCTGGAATCCTTTCGATTGATCGGTAATTATAAATCGTCATGTAAATTTAGATAATTATGCATCGTTGTTTCTTGTCTTCGTCACCAATTCCAGCTTTGATAGCTTCCATAATTACCTGGAGATTGGATGATAAAAAATGTCAATTGAGATCAAATTGTACATATGAATAAATAATAAAATAAATTACATTTTCTATTCCAACAAGACTTTTAGCTGAACATTCAACGTAACAGGAAGCATTCAGTTTACGAGCTAATTTACGACCCATGTCCGTGGTAATAAAAGTTTCCTCAGATCCTTTGATTGAGATGTCAAGTCGATGCACTTTGATCGATACCAAGGAGATGAGGATTTATCATCAGGTCTGAGATCACTTTTGGTTCCAACCAAAACGAACGGGACTTTCGGTGCATGTTCCCTGATTTCTGGAAACCATTTAGTTGTAATATTTTGATAGGAATTTAAATTGGCAACACTGAAACATAATAGAAACACATTGGTCTATGGGAAGAGAGAGAGAGAGAGAGAGATCAAGTTAGTCATTGACAAATAATCATTTTGAGATACTGAATTTAAAGCAACTTGTTAATTAGTAGATGTTATTTCATTAAACTTTTAATAGGAAGATGAATAAAATGACAACAATCAATTCCCCATCACCACCCAAATATGTGGTTTCTTTCCTATGTAATTTGAATAATTATTATACTAATCGTTTTTTTCGCCCTCAGTTAAACCTCGTCTTTGGCCTTTACCAAAAATGAAACTGAAAGAGATTCGATTCGAAGACATGTCATTGAGATCACCAGTCTTCCAGTTCTTGCCTTTGTTTCCTGATTTACGAAGTATACATTTGCATATTCGTGAAGTCAAGGATAAAGATGAAGATTTTCCTGATTCGCATACTCATCTGAATGTTCGGGATGTAGTTCTAGATATATACGGAGTAAGTTTTTCAGCTTTATTTATTAATATTTTGGTTATTTTGATTCTGATTGCATTTATTATTCAGCACAAAGGGCCAACTAACGGATGTTTCAAGCTTATTAAAAGTATTTTGGTCAAGTTCCCTAATTGTACAAACCTGTACATTGATTTGATGCGAGAATTGTTGCTAACTAAAGAAGATCTTATCGAGATGATAAAAATTTTGCCGAATTTAACTCTTATTGTCTTGAATAGGGAGAATTGTGGGGATGCAAATACTATTGGGACACTCGATCATTTCTGCAAATCAACAGATCGAAGAATAAATTTCATCTTGCGTGGCGATGACCGAGCAAATGATGGAATCAGGGTTCGCTCATATACACGACACGCATTGAACGAAGATGTTGCGAGTCCTTTAAAGATCGATAATGAGTTCTTACAAAAGTACGTTTATTGAAATTCGTATTAATTAAGCTAAAATTTTCATTCACTTCAACTTTTTTACTCAACATAACCTTAAATTTGAATTCTGTTACTCATTCAGCATCAAAGCTTACCCTTCAGACCCTTGAATCTAATTAAAAGTATTATGATCAAGTTCCCTAACTGTACAAACGTGTGCATTCAGTTCATGGAAAGGTTGTCGATAACTAATGAGGATTTGATCAACATTCGGTTTTTCTTATTAAATGAACAGTGAAAATCATCTTGAGTCTCAATAATAAACTAGTATCGTTTTCAATCTTGATATTAGCTCTTTACATGTATAATTTCAAAGCGCGACAGTCATCTCTTCATCTCTCTGCTGTTGCTATTAACTTTAGATCGTCAAGACGATACGATTCGGTTTCTAATTGTCAAGTCAATTGTCATTGTTTGTTTACTAACTACTTGAATCAATAAATGTTTCAAATCATCTACAAACTTGAATAAGATAAGCTCAAATTTTGGGTAAAGATTGAGCTCAAGATAAAAGGATTCTATGAGATGTTGAGGTATCAAAAAATAGAGCAGAAAATACTACAGTTACGAAAAAAATCTGAGTAGCCGTTCATGAGAAATTCTGACTCAAAGATTTTTATGTAAGCATGCGCAAATAAGCTTTTTTACAGCGCGCATTTTAAAAAGAAAGAGAAAGACAGACAGAGAGAGAGAGAAAAAGAAAGACGAGAAAGAAAGAGAAATTTAGTTTTGAATTTTTCGATTAAAAAACGATATCCATTTCAATAAGCCACGGGTCTGGCAACTAACCTTAAAAAACTTTCGTAAGAAAGTTTTTTCCCGCTTGTTTATTTGAATAGTATAAACCTTCTTAATCTTTGATAAATAAAAATATTATTATTTAATTATTAGTTCAAAAGAGTCAAAAAATATCAGCGAATGATTTTGGCTGAAAAACTGAGCTTCGAAGTTTCGTTTTATTTTCTGGAATCCTTTCGATTGATCGGTAATCATACAGCCACAGAAATTTAGTTTGGAGCAAAAATTATCTCACTTTGCGATTTGAGTGATTAAACTGTGGTTATTTTGATTAACTAATCGAAAACCTAATGTTTTCAATCCTCTCAATTTAAAGATTAATGATTCAATTGATTGTGTACTGTTGTTCATCTTTTATTAAATTTTGCTTCTAGAAAAAGAAAAATCTTATTTAATCTCTTATCGATTAGTCGAATAATTAGATTTATTTAGAAATGAGATTAAATTAATATATTTATTTTGATCAGTTTGTAAACAATGGAACATTTTGGTGAAACGAAAATTGAGAAAAATTCGACATTTACATGGTAAGTTAATAATAATAAGGTAATTTTCATTGTGATTTACGGAAAGGTTGAATTACTCTACCATATTCTCAATTCCAATTGCCACCAAAGTTGAGAGCGATATCTATTCTAATCTTGCAGCATCTCACATATCTTTACACAGACGATGTCGAATTGATGGAGAGAGTAAATGTCTCGCAAATGCTTCCAAATCTCAAGGTGAGTCCATTTAACGAGAAGAAAAGAGTCTTTTTCTAATCATTTCCACATCGAACCTCAAGTTTTTAACCAAAGATTATGTGTGCGAGACCACATGTACCTGTAAAATGTTGGTCAATGTTTTGTCAACTTCGAAACCGTTAGTTAGAGTATCGACAAGAACTTCAACTTTCCAGTTCTTATCCCTTTTTCCTGATCTACGAAGTATCTTTTTGAATATTCGTGATATTAGAAACGAAGATGAGGTTTTTTCTGTTTCCCACACTCACCTGAATATCCAAGATTGTGTCCTTCGTATTATCGTAACTGTAAGTTCTATTTATTATCTTTATTTCAGCTTATGTTTAAATTCTTTTTATTTTTAGTGTGAATTGCCCCGTATCAAGCTTATGAAGCTGATTAAAAGCGTTATGGTCGAGTTCCCTAATTGTTGTTTTATCCATCCAAAGTAATCTACTTTGAACTGACTGAAATAACCTTGAAAAATATGAAATTTATTATGAAAAAACATTTCTTCTCATAAAAATGATATTATTTCTCAGAAATTGATTGGTAATTATAAAATTAGATAATTATATTGATACATTATTGTTTATCGTTTAATTGAACTAAAAGAGAAAGGAGAAGTAAAGAGTAGGCCATTTTAATTTAATCTCTTATCGATCAGTCGAAATAGATTAAGTTTCGACAAGTGAATATAAATTCATTGACTTGTTGGCCAGTGAATGGCTAACGGATCAGGTAAAGTTCGGTCTTTTATCACCTATGGAGTCAAAAAAGTGAGAAGCCTCAGTTATTTAGTGGCCTTATACATCCTAGAAAATTGAGTTCGACTACACATTCAATTGAAGATACGCATACAAGTGATATATTATCAATTTAGTAATGAATTTACATCGAAAATTGATAATATATTACTTCTTACTCTGTATTGAATTATTCATCCAGAGGTTCACAACATACATGAGAACTTATTTCAAATAATATTAGATAGAGCATTAGGAAGATTGAGGTGTTATTCACACTATCGGTAAATCCTGTAAGCTATAGAATAGCATCTCATCATGGACATAGATGTTCAAGTTCTCGGACTGGTTTTATGTGCTCAATATGCGTCGAATCAAAATGTTTGAGGCTCTTTTGCGATCAGATCGGAAATTTCAAACAAACGCATTTTCTTATTGATAAAGTTCAAACTTTTACTTTTAATTCAATTGTTATTCTTTTAAACTAAACTTTTTTGGCTTGAGGTTCGGTTTTTGTAAAAGAGAGGAGAAATTTTATTTAACTAAAAATTGATAAGTTTATCGAAAAGGATAAACTATCAGCAAGTTCGCAGTGAATGCGCTCCGGGGCTTCATTAGTTTTCTCTGCTTTTGAAAAAAATCAGTTGATTTAAACCAGTTGACCTTAACAGTTGAGATATTTCAACTTGTGAATTTAGTAGTTTCCACTTTCTGTTCAATATTTTTACAAATAATTAGACTTTTTACAATGGAATTGGGTGATTTACCTTACGATTGTTTATCGTGTATATTTGATTGTATTCCTGATCTTAAATCGCTTTTGGATCTGTCAACAGGTAAGAAAATTTTGCTACTTATTTTATTTAGAAAAGAAATTAATTCATATTTCTATTATTGATCAGTTTGTAAGGAATGGAATATTCTGGCGAAACAAAGACTGAACAAAATTCGACATTTACATGGTAAGTTAACTATAAAAAGGTAATTTCATTGTGATTTACGAAAAGATTATATTAACTTCGCCATTTTATTAATTCTCCTTATCCATGACCAAAGTTGAGCGCGATATCGAATCTGACCTTGCAGCATCTCCCAATCACCTTTACACGAACGATGTTGGATTGATGGAGAGAGTAAATGTCTCGAAAATGTTTCCAAATCTCAAGGTGAGTTCATGCATCAAGAAGAAAAAAATCTTTTCTAATCAATTTTTCCACCGAACTGGCAGTTTTTCACGAAAGAGTATACGCTGGAAGACATTTGTACCTGTAAAATGTTGGTCAATGTTTTGTCAACATCGAAACCTTTGACTGGACTCATTTGTGAAGCTCCATGTCTTGCCGCTGGTCCTATGACGATAGACTTTTGCTGTCACATCGATATCGACGATATTGTTAAACACTGTGGTAGCCTCGAGTATCTGGATTCCATGTATCGACCTTTTCTTGGCAGTTATTTCTTGAAATTTAAATTTGGTCAGAATGTGAAATACTTCGAAGGTTCAATTGAAGGATACGACGACGATGAGGAAGATAAAGATTATGATTTCATGTTCAAACAAATATATTTGCTATGTTATTACTTGAAACAAATGCCAAATCTTGAAGTTCTGCATCTGAAAGAACCACCAAGTAATTACAATAATTTATAATTTATTATCTGAAATTATTTGTTATATTAATGACTTTTTCCTTACTTAGTTGAGCCTCGTCTTTGGCCTTTACCGAAAAACATGAAACTGAAGCAGATCGATTTTGACAACATTACGATAAAAACATTGGCCTTCCAGTTCTTATCTCGTTTTCCCAACTTGCGAAGTGTTTCTTTCAGCATTCGACCAGTTAGAGATGAAGATGAAATTTTCGAAGTTTCCAATACTTATCCGAATATCCAAGACTGTGCGTTTTACATTGAAGGAATAGTAAGTTTTCTGTGCTATCTTATGAATTAATCTTAATTCCGAATTCTATTAATATTTATCATCCAGAATCAAAACTTGCCTGTCGGGTCGTTTAAGCTGATTAAAAGTCTTATGGTCAAGTTTCCTAATTGTACAAACCTGTGCATTCATCTCCTGAGAAATACTGCAATAACTGATGAGGATTTGACCGAAATAATCAAAATGTTGCCCAATTTAACTCTATTAGTCTTGAATATAAAGAATTGGGGTGATGCAAATATTACTATTGAGACAATCGATAAGTTTTGTCAATCAATAGGTCGTCGAATATCCTTTTACTTGCTTCGCGATGATCGAAGGTGGAATCGCACGGCCTGGACGGGATCATTTACACGATATACATTGAACGAAGATGTTACGAATCATTTGAAGACCGACAACAAATTCATCCGGAGCTTTTTTCGTTGTTAATGAAAAGTATTGAATTTCTTTTCAATCTTTAAATTGTTCAATATTCGGTTTTTCTTATTACATGAAACGAACAATGAAAATTCTGCACTTTAGTTTTTAAACTTTAAAGTGTCTGTTCACTAGTATATTGAACCAATTAATTCTATTTATCATTCAGTATCAAGGCTCACCCGTCGAATCATTAAATCTAATTAAAAGTATTATGGTCAAGTTTTCTAATTGTAAAAACCTTTCCATTGATATCCTACGAAGGGTTTTCACGATAACTAATGAAGATCTTATCGAGATAATCAAAGTTCTGCCAAATCTATTTGTCTTGACTGTAGAGAATTGGGAAGATGCAAATATCATTGGTACACTCGATAAATTCTGTACATCAGCAGGTCGAAGAATAAATTTTATCTTGCGTAACGATGGCCAAATATTCGGCGCTCGCTCATATACACGATACATATTGAACGAAGATGTTGCGAGTCCTTTAAAGATCGATTATGAATTCTTACAAAAGTGGCGCGTTTATTGAAATTCATATTACAGTAGACTACACACTTATCGCAAGATCAGTGTGCTATGTAGACTAAGAGCTCAATGTTAAGTTAACATTGTTAACCCTTTACTCATTTCTAATTATCACACCAAATGTAAGGGTTCAACATGCCTAAATAACTAAGAAACACTACATGGTGACTTTCAAACAAAAATTACGATAAGTGTAGTCCACTGTAATTGAGCTCGAATTTTCAATCAATTCTTCGTGTTTTAATTATTTGTGATCGATTCTTTAAGACTAATTGACTAAAACTAATAAAATTTGTTACAATGGAATTGGCTGATTTGTCTTACGATTGCTTATCGTGTATATTTGATTGAAGAAATATGTCTACTATGAAACAAATGCTAAATCTTGAAGTTCTTCGTCTGAAAGATTTACCGAGTAATTATAATAATGAATTATGATCGTCCAAAATCTTTTGGTATACTAATGACTTTTTCTTTACTAAGTTGAACCTCGCGTTGACCTTTATCAAAAACCATGAAACTGAAGCAGATCGATTTTGACAACATATCGACAAAGACATTGGCCTGTCTGTGCTATCTTATGAATTTATCTCAATTTCGAATTCTGTCAATCATTAGTATCAAAATTCGCCTGTCGAATCGTTGAAGCTGATTAAAAGTCTTATGGTCAAGTTTCCTAATTGTAAAAACCTGTGCATGCATCTCATTGACAAAATTTCCATTACGAATGAGGATTTGGATTTTTTCATATTGATAAAGTTCAAACTTTTACTTTTAATTCAATTGTTATTCTTTTTAACTCAAACTTTTTTGGCTTAAGGTTCGGTTTTTTTGAAAGGGAGGAGTCATTATATTTAACTGAAATTGATAAGTTTATCGAAAAGGATAAACTATCAGCAAGTTCGCAGTGAGTGCGCTCCGGGGCTTCATTAGTTTTCTCTGCTTTTGAAAAAAAAAACATCAGTTGATTTAAACCAGTTGACCTTAACAGTTGAGATATTGTTAATCTTCATTCAACTTGTGAATTTAGTAATTTCCACTTTCTGTTCAATATTTTTACAAATAATTAGATTTTTTACAATGGAATTGGGTGATTTACCTTACGATTGTTTATCGTGTATATTTGATTGTATTCCTGATCTTAAATCGCTTTTGGATCTGTCAACAGGTAAGAAAATTTTGCTACTTATTTTATTTAGAAATAAACTTGATTCATATTTCTATCATTAATCAGTTTGTAAAGAATGGAAAATTTTGAAACAGAGACTGAAAAAATTCGACATTTACATGGTAAGTTAACTATAGTAAGGCAATTTCATTTTGATTTACGAAAAGATTATATTAACTTCGCCATTTTATTAATTCTCCTTATCTCTGACCAAAGTTGAGCGCGATATCGAATCTGACCTTGCAGCATCTCCCAATCATCTTTATACAAACGATGTCGAATTGATGGAGAGAGTAAATGTCTCGCAAATGTTTCCAAATCTCAGGGTGAGTTCATTTATCAAGAAGAAAAAATCTTTTCTAATCAATTTTTCCACCGAACTCGCAGTTTTTCACGAAAGATGGTTCGCTCGAAACCACGTGTACCTGTAAAATGTTGGTCAATGTTTTATCAACATCGAAATCATTGACTGGACTCATTTGTGAAGCTCCATGTCTTGCCGTGGCTCCTATGACGATAGACTTTTGCTGTCATGTCGACATCGATGATATTGTTAAACACTGTGGTAGCCTCGAGTATCTGGTTTCATTTTATCAACCTTTTCTTCGTAGTTATTTCTTAAAATACAAATTTGGTCAGAATGTGAAATACTTCGAAGGTTCAATCAGAGGATACAACGACAATGAGGAAGATAAAGATTATGATTTCATGTCCAAAGAAATCTATCAACTGTGTTACTACTTGAAACAAATGCCAAATCTTGAAGTTCTTCGTCTGAGAGATCCACCAAGTAATTACATTAATTTATTTGTTACCATTTGAAATCATTCGGTATACTAATGGCTTTTTCTTTACTTAGTTGAACCTCGTCTTTGGCTTCTACAAAAAAACATGAATTTAAAGCAGATCAATTTTGACAACACATCGACAAAAAAATTGGCCTTCCAGTTCTTATCTCGTTTTCCCAGCTTGCGAAGTGTTTCTTTTGACGTTCTATCACTGGTAGATGAAAATTTCGAAGTTTCCAATGCTCATCCACATGTTCAAGATTGCGCTCAATATATTGGAGGAATAGCAGGTTTTCTGAGCTATCTTATGAATTATTCTTCCGAATTACCTTGAATTTAAATCTAAATTCTATTTATCATCCAGTATCAAAACTCATCTATTGGATCATTGAAGCTGATTAAAAGTATTATGGTCAAGTTCCTTAATTGTAAAAACCTCTTCATCCATCTCATGCAAAACGTCTCAATAACTAATGAGGATTTGATCGAGATAATCAAAATGTTACCTAATTTAACTCTATTAGTCTTGGTTATAGAAAATTGGGGAGATGCAAATACTATAATAAATCCATTTAAGTCAAAGAGTAAAAAACTTTTTTAATCTTCGATAAAATTGAAAAATTGATTCATGAAGATAATAGATGTTGATTGATATGATATTTGAATAAACGATAAAAGTGATTAATGGAAATATCTTTTTGTTTAAGAGAAGCGAAAAAAATATCAGCAAATGATTTCAGCTGAAAAACTGAGCTTCAAAGTTTCGTTGTATTTTCTGGAATCCTTTCGATTGATCGGTAATTATAAATCGTCATGTAAATTTAGATAATTATGCATCGTTGTTTCTTGTCTTCGTCACCAATTCCAGCTTTGATAGCTTCCATAATTACCTGGAGATTGAATGATAAAAAAATGTCAATTGAGATCAAATTGTACATATGAATAAAGAATAAAATAAATTACATTTTCTATTCCAACAAGACTTTTAGCTGAACATTCAACGTAACAGGAAGCATTCAGTTTACGAGCTAATTTACGACCCATGTCCGTGGTAATAAAAGTTTCCTCAGATCCTTTGATTGAGATGTCAAGTCGATGCACTTTGATCGATACCAAGGAGATGAGGATTTATCATCAGGTCTGAGATCACTTTTGGTTCCAACCAAAACGAACAGGACTTTCGGTGCATGTTCCTGATTTCTGGAAACCATTTAGTTGTAATATTTTGATAGGAATTTAAATTGGCAACACTGAAACATAATAGAAACACATTGGTCTATGGGAGAGAGAGAGATCAAGTTAGTCATTGACAAATAATCATTTTGAGATACTGAATTTAAAGCAACTTGTTAATTAGTAGATGTTATTTCATTAAACTTTTAATAGGAAGATGAATAAAATGACAACAATCAATTCCCCATCACCACCCAAATATGTGGTTTCTTTCCTATGTAATTTGAATAATTATTATACTAATCGTTTTTTTCGCCCTCAGTTAAACCTCGTCTTTGGCCTTTACCAAAAATGAAACTGAAAAAGATTCGATTCGAAGACATGTCATTGAGATCACCAGTCTTCAAGTTCTTGCCTTTTTTCCCTGATTTACGAAGTATACATTTGGATATTACTGAAGTCAAGGATAAAGATGAAGGATTTCCTGATTCGCATACTCATCTGAATGTCCAAGATGTAGTTTTAAAAATACACAAAGTAAGTTTTTCAGCTTTATTTGTTAATATTTTGGTTAATTTGATTTTGATTTTGATTTTGATTTTGATTGCATTTATTATTCAGCACAAAGGGTAAACTAAACGGATGTTTCAAGCATATTCAAAGTATTTTAGTCAAGTTCCCTAACTGTAAAAACGTGTGCATTCAGTTCATGGTTGTCGATAACTAATGAGGATTTGATCAACATTCGGTTTTTCTTATTAAATGAACAGTAAAAATTATCTTGAGTCTCAATAATAAACTAATATCGTTTTCAATCTTGATATTAGCTTTGTATACTTTTCAAAGCGCGATCCAGTCATCAATTCATCTCTCTGCTGCTGTTGCTATTAACTTTGAATCATCAAGACGATGCGATTCAGTTTCTAATTTTCAAGTGTTTGTTTACTTGTTACTTGAATCAATAAATGTTTCAAATCATTTATTTGGTGTCTCCTTGTTTTCATAATGACCTCTCAATAATCTTTTAAATAAATAGTAAATCTATTGTTTAATCCTTTTGTCTTTGTAAATTAGTGAAACGAATGTTTCTTAATTCACCTTAAGAATCAACCTTATGTTAACTAATTATTATTATCTTATCACAATTATATAAAATATATCTTAAACATAAACTTTAATGTTACTAAAGGGAAGAGGAAGTGGGACTGATCATACAATGAAAAGATACAATG